TTAATATTTGGAAATACTTTATCCATGGAACGATGTAATATCTTTGTATGCAACAAGCTAAGAAGCTACTTAAATATTTTTTTAAATAACTTTATTTACACTTCTGTAGAAAGTATTTATTATATAGAAAATCCAATATCCTGGCTGTGTTTATACTGGCTGATTGTTAAATTGGACAGGGGATTACTTTTTATTTTCTGTTCATCCTCAAAGTAATGTACATATTCGTATTTCAATTTCTAAAATCTTTGCAAAATTATGTAGTTTTTATGACAGCTGTAAATTGGAACGATCTGTCACAATCTGTATTGGCATATACTTGTAGTAACATCCGTAAATGTCAAAAAACCGGTTCAGTGGTAAATTTTAAAGTATGAGAAAATACTGGTAGGCAAGCGGGTTTCTATTCTCTCTTATGGTTGTCTAACATTCTTTTATTTAAAAATGTGTGGGCGAGATTGAAATACACAAAGAATCGACATTCCTTTTCATGGCTGTATACTATTCTTTCCTTTTGGGTCTTGCAAACATACACTCCCTACAGTTTTCAGCGTAGGGCATAAGAAGAACATCAACGTCGACGCTGCCGAGACATAGACGGCGTTTCTGTTTCTTAGAATTGATTGGCCGTGGACTTCACAATTGTGCTTTTCTTTCTTTCTTGTTTTCTTTTCTTTCTTTTTTTTGCATTGCATTCTTGTGGCTTTCATCTGTTGCACCTGTCGTAGTCGGTTGTCGTGGTTCTGCAGCATTAACTTGACACAACACACACACATATATATATATATATATATATATATATAGATATATATATATATATATATAATATATATATATATATATATATATATATATATATATATATATATATATATATATATATATATATATATATATATATATATATACATATATATTTATATATATATACAAGTATATAAGTGTGTTTGTGGAAATGCATGTGCGTATGCGTCTTGCAGACACTGGGGAGACATTGAGCCTTGCGATTAAATAACGTTTTACTCACCGGGCATCATACGCTTCATTAGCCAGACGTGGGCCGCTTAAGCAACATTGTTGCCTGAGCCATGTCTGGATGTCTCTGATACCCTTCGAGAAACGAGAAATATTCGTATAAAATACCAGATTTAAGGCAAACACATTATTACAACAAAGGCGTACACAGATTTTCGTAAAGTTAAATTTTGTTTTTAACACTCTTTATACCCTTTACCCACCGTGTAAAGGGGCATACTAGACTTTCGCGAATGTATGTACAATACAGAAGGGAGGGGGGAAAGATCCCATAAAATAAATGGTTTTTGAATCAGTATGTCGATATTTTTTTGTGTGTCCGTCTGTATGAACGCAATTATCTCGGAAAGTATAAGGGCTAGAGCAACCCGAGGCACAAGTTTGTGGTTTTTTCCCGAATTGTAAATTGTAAAGGAAGTTATACATTTTCGTAGACATGCTTATACTTGTATTTGCCATACTTGTTTGTCAATTTATGTGATCTTCAATTTCTTTATTCTATTCTTTAAATGTTATACCATTTTTAAAATAACCATTTCTACAATATACCAATAATTATGATTCGTTACTTTTCTTGAGAATTGATATGATCTTCAAATCCTATTTACCTTTTCCTAATAGTTTTGATTCTTAATGGCATAATTTGGGAGCAAATTGTAGACATAATCATATTTATGTTCCCTCAATATTTATATTCTCAATTTTAAGGTTTAAATTGAGAAAATATTCCCCAAATTATACGTTTTTTCTCATTATTATTGTTTTTTGAGATCATATATAACTTGAGTGCAGATGGTAAATATTATCATAACAATGGAGTATGATCTAAACTCTCCATTATATTACCTTTTATTCTCACTTTTTGGATAATTTATATGGTCTGAAGATGCTAGTACTGCCTAGGTTTTATCAGAACAGTGGCAAGCTAGCAGTGCAGGGCATTGTTTTTACGAGGAGGTTGAAGACCGCCTTCTCTGTGGTTGTAGCAGTGGCGGTGGCGGTGGTTGCGGCAATGTGGCAAACGAGGCAGCAGTGGCCCACTGCACATTCCCATTCCACGCGACTCATGAATGTGGCATAATCATCAACAGCTGCAGCGCAGCCGCAGTCGCAGTCCTCAGTCTCAGCATTAGCTGCAACATCAATGTCTGAATTTGATTCCCTGTTTGTCAGTGTATATATACAATATATATATATATGTATAAATATTGGATACAGTATATACGTGTGCACAGTCATGTACAAAAAAATAGGCAGAAATCGCAATTAAGTCTAAAGTTATGTTTGTTCATAATGTTTAAATAGAAGAGAAATACTATAAGAAGTCTCTGAAAAATAATGGAGTTGCATTTATTTCACAAATTTTAATTCAAATCGATTTAAAACAATTTTACTATCATCACTGTTTTGAATATATTGGGGAATACTTACTTGGGAGACAAGAGAAGCAAAAACTGCTCCAATTTAAGCCCAGAAAGATAGAATGGCTTTTAGGTCTTGGATCTTTTGAGAACAAAAATTATCCAAAGATATAATCTTTGATTTTAATAACAATCGGAATCCTCAATGACTTCAATGTAGAGAAATAAACTGAAGAGTCATTTCATCTCAATTCGTACCAGACTGTGTAGGCTAGTGTTTGCAAATTTTCAATTGTGTTCAAGTGTCCATATTATTGTGCACATGAGTGTTTGTGCAATTGTTGCTTTGTGCTCTTTTATTCCTTTTTGAAACTTGGCGTGTAAATTATTGTCTGCTTCTCTGATTGGCATTGCGATGTGGCCAAGAACGGCACACTTTGCCTGTCGTATCAGCACGGCTTATTGTTGTTATTGTTGGTACTGTTGCAGTTGTTGTTGTTGTTGTTGCTGTTGTTGCTGTTGTTGCTGCTGCTGCAGACAAAGGCGAAGCTGTCATTTTAATTTCTGAACGCAGAATTTGCTGGCTCGCTGGTTCTTTTGGATTGCAAGCGATGGTCAGTTGAGCAGCCAATTTGGCTAAGTTGACTATTTGACTATTTTTGCAGCTAGCCATGTCTATAAAATGGCTTGCTTTGTTTTGGTTTGGTCTAGTTTTTGTGTTGCTTTTACAGCTGCTATGCTGCTGCTGTTGCTGCTTCTACTTGCTGTTCTATTGCGCTCATTTGATTCTGTTCTGTATCTGTATCTGTATCTTTTATTTCTTGACTTCAAGTATATCCGCCTGTCGCACAGATTTTACTAATTGTGGTATATACGAGTACTTCATATTCCTACTCTCCACTGACTGAGCTAAAAGCAGCTTAAAGAGTTGGGCATTAAGTTAAACTATCTTTGTCCATCGGCAGTTAATTATGCAGTTACTAAAAGTCTTTAGTCTGATCCCCCACAGACTCATCGCCAATCATCAGCCCAAGCAGCCCAAATATGTACATACGTACATACAAGTATATGGGTAGCAGGCAGTTGCCCGAAGTTATTATCTTTTAACGCCATATTCCATACACATATCGCATAAGTAGAACACATTCTGTCAGACAGTCAGACAGTCAGTCAGTCAGTTAGGCACTCAATGGAAACGAACGGGCACAAGCCATAGTCTGGGGACTGACTCCGACTCCGACTCTGAGACTGAGACTGAGAGACTAGACTCGAACTGACATCGAGATGTGTGTTACATATTTATGTGTATTTATGATTTGCGGTGGCTGAGCAGAGACAGCACAGCAAACACAAATTGTGAATGCAACAGAGGTAGCAGCACCACATAATGCCCTGCGCCACTGTCAATGCTAGGAATTTTAATGGAGTCACCATCACCTGATACCTCATACCTGTATCTGTAACTGTGCCTGTGCCGGTGCCGGTGCCTGTACCTGGCCTACCTGCTACCTAAAATGTCTCGCATAAAAGCACACTGGTCTCGAGCACGCACAAAACGCGCGAACCTCCAAATAGAATACTACTTCAAGCTAAACGAAATAAAGCAGGAGACTAGCTGAATTTTGGATTTAAATATTGGTCAATTCTTCAGCCTTCTTCTTAACTAAAACATTACGAAATAAAGCATGTGAAGAAATCAAGACTTGTAGCTTAAGCCACAAAGTTTATACATTTTCTTATAATGTATATATTTTCAGATCAAGCTAAACGAAATAAAGCAGGTAAGAGAACACCTGGATTTTGGGTTTGATTATTTTTTACAATTACACTTAGATAGGCCAATTATACAGCAAATAATAGCCATTATCTAAAAGATTACAAAATAAAGTATGTGAAGAAATTAAAATGTTAAGCTTAAGGCAAAAAATAGTTCATACAATGTATATACTTTTAGATCAAGCTACTTGTAAACGAAATAAAGCAGGTAAGAGAATAGCTGGATTTTGGATTTAAATATTTTTTACAATTACACCCAGATAGGCCAATTCTACAGCAAATTCTAACCATTATCTAAAAGATTACAAAAAAAGGATGCGAAGAAATTAAAATGTTAAGCTTAAGGCAAATAATAGTTTATACAATGTATATACTTTTAGATCAAGCTACTTGTAAACAAAATAAAACAGGTAATAGAGTAGCTGGATTTTGGATTTAAATATTTTTTACAATTACACCCAGATAGGACAATTCTATAAAGCAAATAATAGCCATTATCTAAAACATAAAGTATGCGAAAGAAGAAATTAAAATGCTCAGCTCAAGTTTATACATTTTCTTACAATGTAAAAATATATTTAGATCAGATAATTACTTTAAAACATAAAACAAAAATTGACATTACAATAACATAAGTTAATGGAAAACTTAATAGTATAACAAATTTCGTAACTAAATTAAAGACCAACACACTATGTGGCATCGAAGCCAGTGTGCGACCAAAACAGAGGTGTCAACAAAAATACACATAAATATTAGCTCGATCTATTCTAAATGCAAATAAGTAGGGATGAAGACATGATAGATCTTCTTCAGTTTGTTCATTTGCTTTTCTCCTCATTTGTAAGCGGCTTGAGTGCGAAAAAGAGTGCTACTTTTTAACTACTAGACTACAATACTCGTACACTAGAACTTTGGGCGACGCTTGTCGGGCATGAACCAGCCCATAACTATAATTAGCACGGATATGCCAAATAGGGTCCAGAAGACAACTTCACAGCTGCTGAAGAGCAGACGACCCAAGACGTTGCTGCCCACAACGGCCCCCAGACGACCCACCATCATAATGAAGCTCATGCTCATCGCATTGATCGAGGTCGGATAGAACTCGATGGCGATTGTGCCGATCAGCCCGCCACAGTTTCCAATCGCCATAATTATGGTAACAGCAATCACCACTAGGGCCATTTGATTGATCCATTGCAGAGCCAGCAGGCTAATGGTCGTAAGTGCGAACCAAATTACTGAGAAATATGTAAATTAATATCAATTTAATATGAAATATAACTTTGAAACTATTTAAGTATGTTCATATGAAATTTAATTGTTAAATAAATGATATTTAACACATTTCCTTAGAATCGGAAACTGGTCCGTTTCAAATGAAAATGTAAAAACGTTTAACCTACAATGAGTTGTAATATGTGGAAAAAGCAAATAGAGTTCGTTGATTTTCAAAACTAATTTAATTGAGTTGAAATCGTCCTTTAGTTGCTTTTAATAGAATTTTTCATAAAATGTGAAAGACCCTCAAAGAAAGCTGTGCTTTATAAATATCTTAATAAAGACCAAAGTTTTTATACTTATTCTTTCAATGACCGCTATATAGCATACTATAAGTCAACTGATTTTAATCACACAAGGAATTAAAAAAAAACACGAATACAAATTTTAGTTATCCTTTCGAGATCAACAAAGAAGTTTTTGGAACTCAGACTGGGTCTTAAAGCGATCTTTCGTAGGGCAGCTATATAACACATTGAGACGTAATAAGGCTTGATGGATAAGACATGTTTGCTGTCCCTGGCTAATACAGTTCAAAAGTTCTCGAAGTTCATACAGTCGAACAGGCGGGCAGATGTCATCATGCTGATCATATATGTATGTAGGTATGTACCTATGTCACGCATTCTTTCTAGTAAACATATTTTTCTAAACGCACTTAGAGTAAGAATTTCAGTCCAGTTCCACAGTTGGGCATCGATTCAAGCATAATATGCTTGATTTTTTCCTCTGTAATCATATTTTTCAAAGACTACGAGTACTACTATATGTATGAAAAAAGTAGGCCGATCCAACGAGCGAACCACTAATCCATTTTGAGTTCATTTAGTTAATGAGTTAATTAGTAGTTGGGGTCTACTTACGCACTAAATTACGCTTTCCCACGTAGTCAATGGTGTAGGCAAAGATCACGTAGACGACCGTAAAGGCGGCTCCAATGATGATCATTGTGTAGTACGTGGTTAGGTCGACATCTTCACAATTGCTGGCACTGGTGCTGTCCACGGCCTGGAGAACGGTGCAGAGATGCGAGCTGCCCTCACTATTGCCATTCAGTTCATTGAGTATGGTGGGGAACCACATGAAGATGCCCTGCGCTATGCCATAGACAAAGAACTGGATAATGCAGAGGTTAAGGGTATGGAAGACGCGTGAGCGATAAAAGATTGGCACGGTCTGTTGCCACACCAGCCTGAAGGCATCACAGACGCCATTTATGCTCGACAAACTCGATCCGCTGTCCTCCACAGTTAGCAACTGGACGGGAAACTCAGATTTGGGACGGCCCGTGTTTTGGGCAAATATCGTACGCATAGTTTCGAGAGCACCCTCCCCATTCCCCTGCACCAATTGATATTTCGGCGTCTCCGGCAGCAGACAAAGACCAATTACCGACAATATAATAATGGAGACATCAGCGATGAGCAGCACACGCCACGAACTGAAACGCATTCCCAGTACTATCGTCTCGATGCGCAGCGGCAGAATGCCAATGGCCATGGCTGGGAAATGGAAATGGAGATGGAGGGAAATTAAAAATTATATCAGTTACTAAAAGGGGGGCAATTGGGAAAGCTATGAACAATGTTTTTAGTTTGCTCTTCACTTTTTTTTAAAAAGACTGTGTATGTCCCATATATTATAATGGGTTCAAAAATGTATTGTATATTTGAAGAACTTCTAATTCTAGATAAATGGGAATCGAAGGCATACGTTGGATTAAAAAGAATGCCTTTAGAGTTAATTTTTTTTCTGGCAATCTGGCATTCAGTCTCCTCTCTCAGTTCTCTTCTTATATTTTTCAGTACCCGTTCTTACTCATTCTCATCCGTTCTCTTACTTCTGCTTCTCACTGTCTTTCTCAAGATCTCCTAATAATAAATGTTTTTATAATTCTGACCAAAAATAGGAGACTGAGTTGAGGAATCTGCTAGCACTGAACGAGAAATTGCTTTTAAAGTAATAGACGAACTACAGAATGAACTTTTTATTGCTTTATAGTATATTTATAAAATTCAGTACTCTATTCAAGCCAGAACATCACTTGTTTGAGTGCATATTGGGTTCCAAAATATTCAAATACGTTCATACATTCATTTATCTAGAATAAAAGTATTAAGGTGTGTTCAGACTGGCAAATAATTTCCACGCAATTTTGTCAAATTTATTTCAATGAAACCAATAAAAGCTCAAACCATGAAAACAGAGGCTACTACCTGATGATTTATTTTTCCAAGTCTACTCTGCTAGAATAACACAAAGTTGTGGGCAAATTAATTGCACGTCTGAACACACCTTAATGCTTTTAAGCTACATTTTCTTGGCATTTATTTATACTTACAGGGGGCAAACATCACGGCCAAGCAGAGAAAGCCGGAGAGAAGTGTAACATGACGGACCCGCGAAACGCTGCCATGAAACTCCCCGCACAGACTGAAGACACACGCCTGGCCGCCGGAGATGAAGAAACCGACAAAGAAGCGCAACACAATCAGCATCCAGATGTTAACTGAGAAGCCAGAGACAATCGAGCTGATGGCGGCCAAACCGAGACCATAGCGTAGCGTCTTCGTACGACCCCAGGTGTCGGCCAGAAAGCCCATGGCATGTGAGCTTAGGACGACGCCCATAAATCCCGCCGATGCCAGCACACCCTGCTCCGTTATGGTCGGCTTGAGATCGCACTTAACCAGCGGCATTATCAGACTAACGCCCATTATCTCCACCATGACGGACATGAAGCACAGGCCGCAGATGAGGAGCAGCTTATAGTGGAACCATCCAACGCCAGCCAGACTAATGGCCTGTTCGAAGCTATGCGACGACTGTTCCGGCGTCTTGACTTTTTTAACTGCAACTAGATAACATAGAATGGGATTGAAGGGCTTTAAATACTGATGGCTAATCAATGGCTATCAATCATTATAAAATTTGCATAATTCCGAGCCTTTATAAAGCGCGACAAAATGTTCAAACCGAGACACAATTCAACAATTCCACAATGACGAGTGGTGCGAGTGGGACGAAACCCACAATGCCCGGCGATGTGCCAAAGGAGTCCGATGAATCAGCGCCGGCCACGTTCTTTGAGAGCAAAATGTTTCGCTGGATATCCATAATGCTCTATTTGGGCGGCATTAGTGGTCTGGGCATGGTCCTGGCCCTCTACTATCTACTATTCTTTAACTCCCACATGCCCGAAATACATTTAAAGTTTCCGGTATCGATTGGTGGGCATCCGGTCCAGAAGATTCATGAGTTCCAGTAAAATGTCAAGGTAAGTACAAAATATGTTGCTATACACTCTAGAGGTGGTTGTTATTGCAGTTACCACTAAGGTCGTATGTTCTTGTGATTGCCACAAGCGTTCCAAGAGGGGCACAAACCAAATTGAATTGAATACTAAAATATTTATCTGAGAATTGTGTTTTCCAAAAAAAAAGGTCGAGAAGGGAACTATACATAGCTTTGAGAAAACACTTTTCTAACCGCGAAAAGGCTCACCTTTCAAAAAAAAAAAAAAATAAATAAATAAAAAAATAAAAATAAATAAAAATAATACCGTTGCAAGTTCGCGAACTACTTTTCAAAAGTGTGGCAGAATAATTTTTGTGTGATTTCATAAGTAAAACCGAACTTAAATAAACCAAAGGAGCGTGATTTCAAATGTAGAATCGAACTTCATTCGCAATTGAATCACAACATTCCGAATAACATGAAATTGGGTTCAAACTTCTTGAAATCGTTAAGTGCGTGATTTCAAATGTAGAATCAAACATTATGATATCCTTGTTTTTTTATTGTTGCTTTATTTAAGATCTGTCCTATTAGAAAATTATTTCATGAGCCTTGAATAGTAGCATCTTACAAAATACAAGATTAAATGGGGCTTCGAAGATTTAAGTTAAAAGGTATTTGGAGGAATATACCTTACTCGGACTCGTTAAATGCGTGCTTTCAAATGTAGAATATAACTTCATTAACGATTCCATCAAAATATGTATATCATTGGAAGTTCGCGTAACTTATTGAACGACTTTTCAAAAGTATGGCAGAATAATTTGAGTGTGTTTTCTTATATAGAAAGGAACTTTATAAAAGTTAAGTGCGTAAATCTTTTAATATAATTATTAAATAGCTCTGATAGAATGTTTCGTTACAGTTCTCTAAAAATTTGCATTACGAATAACAGAATTATTATTAGTATAGGAACAATTAACCCAATAGCAAATTTTCAAAAAAAAAAATTCCCTCATGTGTAAACATTTCACACAAAATATTGAAAAAACATTGCTGAACGTTTCTAAAACTTCAGAAAACCGTAACGCTTTCAAGAATTTTCGATGGCTTGTTAATTAATAGTGTTACAGACGTAAGCCCCTCTGCTGGCTGCGCCATTGGTTGTTACTCGTATTTTTGCGAGGGCCTCAAACAACGCACTCTGAATACATTTAGTGGGACGGTGGGGCAGTACGCGTATGGCTGCCTAATTGGATTTGACAATGGCTGTTGGGCCGTACTCTTAAAACAAGGCAAATAGCTAACAATCCAGAAGCAGTTCGACTCCGCTATACCCTACACCAAACAAAGGTTCTATTTTGAAAATATGTCTACACTTTTTTCTTATAGAAAAAATGTACATTTATTTATATCCAAAAAGCAAAAGGGTATACTAGTTTTTATTTCAATAACTATCATTAAATGTGTGCGAGACAAGTTTCTTGCCAATTGGCAAGTGATGGGAGCCATCTTGGCTTCAGGTCGAATCCTATTAGTGCTAGTAAGTCTATTTGACCGCACACGCCTTTTTCAAGAGGTAGTGGGTAAGGGGTTTAAGGGGTCGTAAATGCATTTCGCTTGCACTTCAAAAGCAATAATTGGAAATAGGGCGAAAATGTAATTGCCTGGGTTAAAGCAAAAAAACAATAGCAGAAGCTACAATAGTTTTGAGTGTAGGTGTAGCTTAAACCACGACTATTGAATACTCTTTATAAGGCTTGACTGTTGTCCGCCAATAAGAAAATAAAAGAAGTAATGCAGTATGAAAGGTCTTGAAATCTATAAGAGCTAGCACAACAAAGCTTGGTATCCAGTTTGTTAAAATATGAGAAAATAAAGCAGGACCTTAGATAATACGAATTTCATATTAGTATATAAGACTAGAGTTTTAAGGAAAGTGAAGCGGGGTTTTCATTTTGGATCCCCTTCACAGGTTCCCCTAAATCCGAGAAAGGACAAGCTTGTGCTTTTTTACAGCATTTAACTGAATTAAATTATGTTCAAAATGCAGTATTTAAATTTCTTAACTTAATCTTTTTATATTTGTTATCGTTTTTGCGCTTAAATTTTTTGCTATCAAATTTTATTTCATTTCATTTATTTTTTTGATTACGTTTTGAATACTTTTCTATGATTTTTTATGATTCTAAATAAATAAATAACAATTTTTATTGATAAAATGTAATAATTTTAGTGCAATGGTTTTATTTATTTTTATTTATAAAATCAATTTACATATTTTTCAAACTTAAAATTTATTTATATATTATTATTATTTATTTATATTTTTTTAAAAACAATTATTTGTTTAACTTAAAATTCGAATACGCCTATGAGTGGAACAAATTGAAGAACTGAAATGAAATACTCTCCGCAGCTATTTGGAGGGTAGAGCGAGCGAGTGCAGAAAGAACCCAAAGCAATGAATGAAAATTGAAAACGAAAATGAAAACCAAAACCGAAACAACTACAACCGCAGAAAAAGACGATGGGCAGGAAAGAATGCGGGGAGGGGAAAAAATGGGAAAAAAAAGACGTTGCCTTTCTAAGCACCACTGACGGGGCCTCGTTTAGCGTTGTCGCAAATTCTTAGGCGAAATACCTTTTAGTACGCCTTTGGATTCGAAAACCTATAGAAGAAGCGCCCAGCGACGCTCAATTTCTTTACTCAACATTTGCCTAATATCGTGCGCTATCCTCATTATGTCCGGCCTATCGAATCTCGCCAGTGTGGTGAATCAGGTGAAGGATGAGGAGATACAAGTGCCAAAATCCGACGACTTTTTCGAGTCGAAGACGTTTCGTCTACTCACCCTAATGCTCTATATGGGCGGTGTTAGCGGCATGGGTCTATCCCTAGCCGTCTACTATTTCTTCATTTGGGACTCACGCATGCCCCCATTGCCCGTCTTCAAGCATACGCACCAAATTGGCTAAAACCGTCACCAAATCAGATTCAGATCAGCTCAACTGCAACAACAAACAATTGGGTGAGTGTGCAAGTATATACATACAGATATCGCGTATACGCACTGTATCCCCGCCCCACTCCTTTTTGATACGTACATAGCAGAGCTGTGCGCGTGACTGTAATCATCGTCGCGATCACGCACATTCACAAAACATTCTTTAAAGTTTTGCGTTCCGGTTTTTTCAGAAATTTTTTGATTATTTTATCCACACTAGACGCTCTGAAGATTTGAAATTTAACAAGAATTGGAGCTTAATATTATTGTCATTGAGTAGCTTTTAATTGTTTGTCGTGAGTGCTGGTGACTAGCAACAAATGTAGACTTGTCTCATCCATATGCATGGCAAGTTTATAACAAGCCATATATCCATATTAAAAAACAATGAAAGAATTTATCGCTGCAGAAATCACTCTTTTAAGGATAACTCTTTTGTTTATAAAGATACCTCAGTCAAAACTATTATTAAGGGGCTTCATATAGTGCTCCATATTATTCTGAAGTTTCATCAAAATCGATGAATCATATATCTGCCATAGCAATGATCGTTGCAGAAATTAAATCTCTCTAATTTTTTAATGAAAATATTTGCGAGAAATCTGGTATTTCTGATTTTTTGAAAGTGTTTTATAATATTTTGAAGTTGAATCAAAATCGGTTAACCATATGATATAGCTACCATAGGAGAGATTGAAACAAATACTAATATATGTAAGTACCAGCACCTCTTAAGATAATTATAGCCATGTCTCGGCTCACTATATCATATATGTAAGTAGTTGTCAATAGAACACAATTGTTAAATTTGTTTGTTTTCCAAATTGGTCGCACATTGTGAAATCCAGAAGTTGTACTTACAGCAAATATTTCACGCACGCTCACGCACGCAATCTCGCACATCTCTAGCACAACGTTTTTAATCTAAAGTGTGATTGCCTGTTCGTATGCCTAGGTGGAGGGGGAAGGGGTCTGGCATTCGCTATTGCCGACCATCTGATCTATTACTTGTCAATTCCTTTTTGCCAGTGGGATTAAATATAGCTGCCGCAGCGAAAACCCAATCCAATGACGAACGCTCGCGTCATGTTGATATGAAAACAGAGAGAAAAACAAACCTGACAGCCACGCACAAAATTAATCCGCCTATTTACGTTTCACTAAATCGCAGAGTTTGTCCATCAATGGCCCAAAGCTGCGTCGAAATTTCATTATCTGCCTATCTGTCCTTCCTTCCATCTATCCATCCATCCATCCATCCATCCATCCATCCATCCGTCTCTTCTCTCTGTCCGTCCGTTTGTTACTTTGTTACTTTGCGTCATCGAGCTCGTGCCGATTAGACGTTTGCAGTGAGAAAGCGCGCCGCGATTTTGATTTAATCGTCAGTTTGAGTCGCATATCAAATCAGTAAGTGGCACGCCACACAACGAGGCGCCACAGCGGTGCAAGCGCGTAGTGTGCAGACATGTCTGACAGCTCAGGCACCACAGCAACCGCCACCACAGCGAACACAGCAACAACTGAAACGGCAACAACACAGCAGCCAGAAGGCAACACTGCAGCAGTTGCAAATTTGGTCAAAATCGTTAATATCATCGAATCGAATGTTAAAGGCGATGAACCCGACAGTCCCAAGGCAGCGCCCATAGGTGTGCGATTCAGTGGTGTTGCCCCCAGACGCACCACCATCTCGTATGTCCCCAAATCGCCGCAACTCGAGGAGATTGTGTTCGCGGAGCCAACATTTACGGAACGCTTCGCACGCTACTTTGTCATTGTCATCTATCTGTGCGGGCTCTGCAGTCTCGGCTTCTTTCTCTCCATCTATCATGTGTTCTTCTGGGACTCACGCATGCCCCCAGTGTTCAAAGGTCTAAAGAAGCCGCCAGCCTTTGGCTAACCAAGAGGCAAGGTAAGACAAGCACTGCAAACTCTTTCAAATACAACACTTGCCTGCAATTCTTCCCATTGATGGGCAATGGAATGTGGGGTGGTTACCATACGCTCTACATTCCTAAACAGCATTCCCCTATTCTGAAACCAAAAGAGATCATATTCTCTGCCAAGGCTTATCTAGCAATTTAACTATATAGCTATATAGGTGTATAAAGCTTTCTATCTAAGACAAGCACTGAAAATCGTTTCAATTACAGCACTTGCCTGCAATTCTTCCCATTCATGGAATTTGTGATACCAAAAGTAATCTTATTCCTATCATGGAATATATATCTATCTGTTAAACTATGTACATATATATATATAGTTATCTATCTAAGACAAGCATACTAAAAATGTTAGCTTCAGGACGCCTTCCGATCTCAACCTAACTTGGACTTAATGCTTTTGCATGCATAATTTTATTTTATATATATAGTACATACTTGATTGTTTTTATGTATATTGTTATTGATCAATTGGTCCACTGTAAATTGAATTAACTATTTTCATATTGAAACAGAAAAAAATTGGAAGGAAAAACATAAAAAACTTATAGTATAGGAAAAACCCCAAAATTCTTTAATTTCTGTTCATTCAAGCGCCATAAAACTTCACATCCACGGGAATATTTTGAATATTGCCACAGAATTTGAATAAAATCGGTTGAGGGGTTAAAGAGACTATAGGGAACATACATACATACATACATACATACTTCAATTTTTTTAAACATCTATGATAGCTATCTATTTATCTATTAATTCTCTAGAGAAAGAGAGAGATGGACGGCAGCCAAAACAATTGTATGTTTTCAGAAATATTCTTTTCTTTTTTTTAAAAAAAATTAATGTGTTATTTTTCTGTGTATTCAGATCCATGGCCATAACGTGAAAGCTTAACATTTTTTATAAGGGTACACACATTTAATACTGCATGTATTTTATTCGTAATTTAAATCATGCATCTGCGATGATTTTTGGAATAATCTAAATATAAATAGAGTGCTGCGTCTCAAGATACTATATGCAACAAAATTGTTTAGTATAGTCCTATGTACGTCAAGGCATATCTATCTGACCACATATTCTATATACATATAATGAGAGTGCTGCCAAAATATTTATTTATATTCAGATCGCTACATGATTCCAAAATCATGTTTTCCCTAAATCTGTAAATAATATAAAATAAACGTAAAAGAATGGAAGAGTGGTTCTATTAATTTCTATTGGAAAAATCACGTTGAGGTATAAGCTAGTTAGCCGAAATTAGTCACTTGCTATTAAGACGAACACCAAGCAAAATAATATTGAAACCTTGGATCCATTTCGTTTTGATTTTAGGGTATAAGATAGATGTTGTTGGTAACCGAGGAGCCTCTAGTATCGCAGAGCAATCATTTATGATGAGGACGAAACGAAAGTGGGCTTAAATAAATAAGGATAATGAAATGGCTGCTGGCAGTTGGCAAATTGGCGAGCAAAACAAAAACAGTCTGAGTTAATTTTCATCAATTTTCTTGGCAGCGATGGTGGCGACAAGTTCGTTTACTTATTACCAAAGTTTTACTTTACTTTTTTTATTAGCAGTGTGTGTGTGTGTGTAGTTTTCCCCCCTCCAAAAGTTTGGCCTACTTTTCTTGGCAAGTAAGTTCCCAAGTTGTCGGGGCTGATGAATATGGATTTTTGTTGCCACACTTTGGCGCTTCACTTATTTTCAATGCTATGAGACTAAGCCTAAGCCTTTGGCCAACATACACAAACACACAGACACTCACACACCCACACACACCCTTGAATATACTCCCATATACATATACTTATGTATGCACATACATATATAGTAGATAGATGCACATACATACATACATACATACATACATACGTATAGTTATGTATATGGAGGGAGGCATGCAGAATATTTGTACATAGAGAATCTAAAACTATACTCGCATATCCATAAAACTGCACTCGGCCCTTCGGCCGCTCTCCCAACCTGCCTCCCTCCCTCCCTCGCTTCCTCAGCCGCTCTATCTCCCTATCTCCCTCCCTCCTCTTGCCTTTGCAAATGGTCGTCGTTCGTCGTCACTCGTCGCGCGCACACTCACTGACTGCATTCTATTCTATTGTCCTACTGACCCAGTAGCAGTTTATTAACCCCACAACGGTAAACTCAATTACAACAACAACAACAACAACAGCAACAACAACAACAACACACGAACACACGAATATAGCAGACGAATGGACGAATGCTCATTGCACTTTTTCTTTCATGCTTTGAACAGAAACGACGGCCGCCGAGTGCAAGCCCGAAGCGATTCCGAATGCGATTCCGAATGCGAATTGGAAAACAATGTAAAATTAAATAAACAGTAACGTAAAGGATAATAACAAGGATGCGAGTGTGCGAGTGTGCAGCGAAAGTTTGACCCGCAAAACAAAATGGTCAATGTTCGGTTACTCAGTAGGTCGCTGGTTCTATCTCTCTGTCTGTCTCTCTGTCCTTTTTGTTTGCGAACGTCCTTCGTAGAATGCGCCTGCGAAGGTTGTCTTGGCAATGCCTCCAGCCGAGTCTTTGCCAATTGGAAAATACGAGCCAACACAACAACCCCACTTACAAGCCAAATTGCAGCTTTTCAACAAACGCGAAGAAGAAGAATGTTCTTCCAAATTCCCAATTACTTATGTATTATATACATATATGCTGTAATTATTGCCAACACTCTATAGCATTTGTTCCCATTATCCATATCTGCAAATATTTTGCTCTTTCGCTTGTGAAAATGTGAAATTGATTTTATATTTGTTATTAAACTTCTTACACAATATTTAAATACAGGAAATGCAATTGAAATTTCATTTCTAAAACATTCTTTGAAAGTCAGTCAATCACAAATTTATTTTCCAAAGCCCCTAAAATACTTGTACTCGTATATTTTTTGGCTAAATACATTTTGAAAATCTGCGTTCAATAAAATGTATAATTTTTTCGAATAAGAAAAAGTTCACTCGTATATAAATAGCATAATTTCGTTAGAAATCAGTAAACTAAGTAAAAATCGTAAAGCAATACTTGGATTGGAAGCCAAATATTTATAAAGTCCGTCATACAAAGATTTTCTAAATGTCGCTCAGCTACTTAGCTTTAGGAAAATATCCAGTTCTTGGAGTTTTGACTTACTGATTTATAGTCTATGGAAAGCTAATCCACTGCTTAAGATGGTTGCTGTTGTTCGAAAATGCGACAAAATCTTTTCAAGTTTATGAGAAAGTCATTCATTAACTAAGTAGTTAATTAAATTTATATATTCACTTAATATATGACTTCATTGGGAATTCCAGAGAGAATACTACATTTTGGTGTCTTTTTTTTTGTGGATTTTTTTTTTATCTCCTAAGTCTCCTTTTTAACATTTATTTTCAGATCAATATCAAGTCATATTGAAATAAAAAAGTTAAAAGAAAATTAAAATAAAAACATTAATATTATACAATCACTTAAGATGTGTTTTACATAACATTTCAATTTATTTGATGACTTTATCAAACTTTAAGAGAGCAAAAGAGTACTTATGCCTTATTATCGAATATGCATCTTTCTCAAGGCAATACTTTGTAGGAAACATTTTAACAATTACTGGAAATCTATGTGAACTGACTTAAATGGAATTCCAAAATATCATAAAACACTATAGAAAACTCAGAAATGCCAAATGCCGATGATTTTTGCAGCGATCGGTCGTATGGCAGTTATATAAAATAATAAGGCTATACATGGTTTATAATAAACTTGCTCTGCGTATTAATACGGAAAGTATACATACCAAGTGGGGTGTCCCTAATTGTTGGAATACAAAAGTTCTCGATGTTCATACAATCGAACAGATGGACAAAAGGTCGAATGGATGGACGGCAGACATTACCGACGGTCGCCTAGACATGCTGATCATATACTATATACCTATGATAGGGGTTCTGCTATGTCTGTTACATAAGCTCGGCTTTCTCATACTTTGGATATAACTAGGGTAGTATGAGATGAGATAGATTCATACTATATGTTGAATTTAAATAAACAGCTGCTATTTATAGAAATATGAAAGCAATTCGTGCTTTTATTAAAAGAAGTCTCTTTTTCCGTTAAACGAAGCTCCAACTGAAGAGAAATTGGACGCAGGCCGTAATTATTGTTGAATAAATAATTGTTTGACTAAAAGTGAATAATCATCAGAGGTAGTAGAGGGAGAGGGGGTAGAAGGGAAGTTGAATTGCGATACTGTTGTTTTGTAAATAAATTTTGGCGTGCATTCAGCAAATGTTTAACAATTAGCGCGTAAATCGGGGGAGCCATAAAGGAGGCATGAAAATATAAAAATCGCGTATACGACACGTGGGCGGGCGGCCGGGTGTGTGCGAAACACTTATACTTGACACAGAAAACGAAACAAAAAGAGACTAAACGACTGACTGACTAACTGACTAACTGACTGACTGACTCACTGATTGACAGCGAATTGCTGCACTGTTTTTGTTATTGTTTTTGTTTTTTGGAAGAATACTCTTGTACGGCGCGCGTGCCAATTGCTAAGAAACAAGGCGGCAGATTGTTGTTTTTGGAAAGGGAAATGTGAAATAAAGAGAAGAAAATAAATAAATGTTGCAGCGTGCAGTTTTTGAGGATCGCTGACCACACCCACGCCGTGCAACGATGCGACCGGAAGTGCCGCACGAAGGCAAGACGTTTGCACAAACGATGCTTTTCCTGCGCCATCATCGTCAGTCGGTCGAGCAGTCGAGCAGTCGGGAGGTCGGTTAGTCGTTCGTTCGTTTGTTCGTTCGTTATATATAAACATATACATATATTTGTATCCATATATATTTGTTGACGACAGCTGTTGTTGGACTGACTGGCTGGCTGGCTGGCTGGCTGTGCCACTGTGTGGCATCACTTCAGTTGCATTCGCTCAACGTGTCGGTTGGGAGTTCTCTTTTCGGCTAGTCCGTGTCTAGTTTTCTAGCGTTGTGGTGCGTGCGGTGTGCTGTGTTGTGTGTCTATTTTCGTGTGGCACGATAACGTCTCGCCTATTTTCAAAAAACTATTCGTTACTTTTTTTCAACCAACAATTCAAATAAAAACACAAAAATACAAACTACTCCATTAATAACAAACACTTTAATAATAAACAAACAATTCTCACACATCTACAAACACGCACACACATACACACACACACACACACAGACACAGACACACACGTGCATTTGGGCATTGCATTTATTCGTAAATAAACTAAAGTTAAAGAAACTATATCTCGATTTAAAAACATTTATAATCAAATGAGGCGCAACTGCTGCACATATCAATCAAAATTTTGGATGAGAAACATAAACTAAAGAAGCTAAAACAACTGCCACATACTAGAAAGAAAGAAAAAACAAAAACAATACTCTCGCATATATACTTGTATACATATACGATAAGGAAAATCGGAGGAAGCATCACAATGAATTCAAAAGTCAATTCGCTGGAGGAAAAAGTAAAACTGCCGCCCACGGAGACAATAAGCCGCTGTTATCAGCCGCAGCAGAATAATCGAAAGGTCATCCGAATTTTAACGGTGGCCGTCTATGTGCTTTGCGTCTCATTGGCTGCCATAATGCTCTCCCTATATTATATATTCATATGGGATCCAACTATACGACCGTTCGTTACGAAGGGCAATCACTGCGGTAAGTCAACATCTGTCTCAGCTGCTGCCTAAAGCCAGAGGTCGTTTGGGTCTGTTGGACAGTCAGTCAGTCAGTCAGTCAGTCAGTCAGTCAGCCAATCCCCAGTTCCAGATAGTTTACTTTCAATGGGGTTTTACTTTAGGGGGACCCTTTGTTGTGGTCATTGGACTGTTAAATCAAAACTGGGCCAATCAAAAGTGGGCTGACTGGCTGCAAGGAACAACACTCTTGTTTAGCCGGCTACCAATTGGGGTTGGGTTGCTGGGTTGCTTTTAGGGCTGGTGCTGACAGTGTGGGTCAAGTTGGAGCTTATTCTTGCCCCCATTGTTGTTGTTGTTTTTGTTGTTGTTATTGTTGCTATATACTACATACCCCAGAAATTAGGTCAATGGGGTGTCGTGCATACACGTGCATTTTCAGGCGCAAAACACATGCATTGGCCCACGGCGTCGGTGTCTGTATCTGAGGCTATATAGTATGCTATATATACATATATACATATGTGTATGTATATGTGTTTGTGTACATAGAGGTGTATGGCATTGCAAACGCATTAATTTATTATTCTTTTTGCCACATAATGCAAATAACGCTCAGTAGAACTGTAACTAAAACTTACTAAGACAGGTATTTACTTTTTGCGAACAAATTTGATTCTAAATTTCTAGAAATATATCAAAGTTTATTGGGAGTTACTAAAACTATTAAATAAATATTATATAAATAACATATATAAGTTAATCTTCAATTAAAAGTATAAATTTGTCAACTTTCACATCCGTGACATCCGTTATAAAAAAGGACAGTGATTCGAGGAATATTCCAAATCGAAATAATATTTTGGACTCAGTTGAAGGATATTGACAAAAATCTGTGCAGAGTATAAAAATACAGATGAAGAGTTGAACGTTCCGCGGTTCGCTTTTCCGTTATTTTGAATATGAGTGAATTTCTTCGAGAAACTTTTCAGTTCGGTGAAGAAGAAATAAATAAATAAATTTATTTATGTGAAAGAAAATAATTACAGCGAAAAACAAGCAAATAGAATGCATTTCAAATGTTGTTAAAAATTAATGTTTCGAATGAGCTAAAATCATTTGTTGCAAAGAAAAAAATGTTTTTCTGCTACAATTGTGACATAGATATTGAGAATATTTTTATAAAATATAAAGACCATATATTTTAAAAATCATAAAAAAATATTCAGTAATTTTTGAAAATTATAAGCTATATGCTAAAATTAAGAGTTGAATCTATAAAACGAAAACAATTCCGGATGCATTTCTGGACTGAATTTTGTGATATTTGAGAATTTAATTGGGGAGAACATATGAAGGAAAATATTTGGGCAGCTCTATAGTAACTGTAGCTTAAATTTTCGTTTTCTATGGCATGTTACAGGAAAATGGAACGTTTAACTGAAAATGAATAGCTATAGCAGCAGCAAGATAGAGAAATAACTTTCTTGTGGCATTATTTTTTGCTCCACAGATTCCAGATTTCAGAAATGTTCGAATTACAAAGTATATTTTCTATTGAGTTTGTAGCTATGAACAAAAATGTGCTTTAAAGCAGAACCTAACACTGAATCCAAATTATAAAAGCAATTCCTTCGTTCATAGTCTTTTCAAATGCAGACGGATCCGAAATATACATACAAGAGTTAAATGTTCCTGAGTTCAATTTTGTTTATTATTATTTTGTTGAATATTATGTTATAACTGTATTTTTTCTATATCTTTAGACAAAATTGTGATACCCGAAAAAATTGCTATACGCCTCCTAAACTCATCGGAAGTCACCGCAGAGCAGTTCTATAAGCACATCCTGGACCAGTACCGCCTACTGAACCATCGCCAGCACCTGCTACAGAAACAGCATCTACAACTGCAACACCTGGACGCGACCAATCGTTTTCAGGAAATATTTGCCACGGCCACCATCATACAGGCGCACCCGCCTCCACGTCTCTCGGACACCTACAATAAGCCACTGGGGCCCCCGTTGAACAGCAGCTATCGCGTCGAGTCGCCAGCACTAGCACCAGCACGTGCCAACAATAATGAGGCGACTCTAATGAACGCTGTGCCCCTAATGCTGGACACATCGCCGCCCATTGTCAGCTCCGGGAATATGGCGCATCTGAAACGTAAGACGCATCGTGGCCACAACAAACGTCATCGTCTAAGGGGCAGCAATGCCTCTGTCGCCGGCGCCGCTCAAAGCCATCAGAAGAAGTTGGTATCTGGAGCGGTATTCGGCGCATCCAGCACGCCAAACCCACTTGGAGAGCAGCAACAGCAGCAGTTCTCCACAGCCATTGTGCCACACAACTATATGGATGCGCCACTAAATCCCGCTGCCGGCACCATAGTTCAGCAGCCCATGCAACTTTACACGTCCATGCCCATACCGCTGATCCTGAGCTCAAGTGATGAGAAGAGGTCAAGTCATCATGCGCATGGGGAGAAGCGAAGCAATGCGCAGGCGCGACGACGCACCACCACAGCAACTGTGTCCGGTTACGATGCGCAGACATACCTCAATCCGTTCCTAACCGGCGAGCTGATTTTCGAGAAATAAGTCCAAATCCATTTCATAGCCAGCCAAATATGAGTAGTTAATACCAAAGACAATGGGTTCCCACAATATTTGCAGGAATTAATTGGAACTCTGTCATATCACACACTTACACACACTCTCTCACATACACAGACAAACACAATATTTAAGGTATGGTCAGACAAGCAAATAATTTGCATCCAAATATTTCGAAATTTCACAACTATGTCACGAGTATAATCCACTATTCTGATTTGGGATTCACTTTTCAAGACCTAATTGGAAAATAACAAAAATTTGTGCGCAAATTATTTGCATTTGTGACCGCACACACACTTTCAAAACTTTGGCCGAATATATGCAAAACAAATTCGTTGGCAAAGATCACAAATAGCTCCTTATAAAGGTACAATATATAGATAAATATTAATGTGTGCAGGACTTACAACAAATACAATACATAAAATATACCTATAGAGCCGAACTTCTCCTGGAACTAACTCGGAACAACAACAAAACGAAGACTATAAAAGCCCGAACGAACAATTTGTAGAAAATTTAAAAGTACATATTCAAAATATGTTCAACTTTCTAGAGAACGGATTATTTAAGAACAGTTCTTTGGATCATCAAAAAATGTTTTAACGATATTTTAATTCTCCAAATTCCACCATTTCATTGCATTTCAAAATCACATGTTTCGGGCTACATTAGAAAATTATAAAATGCATTTAATTGGGCAATCAGATATACGAAACGAACCCAAAATTCCCCAATCGAAATCGCCGCCTTGGAGAAGTTCAGCTTCATAATACTATATCCATGAGATTCGTGTAGAAAAAAAACAAATTATTCTAAATGTATACCAAGCAAAGAAAATTCCTTTTAGTCGAATATGTATTGATCGTATTTAAACTATATATACATATATACGTATATATATATATATATATATATAGCTAAGATGATGTTATTTAAGTATATGGGACCCACACCACTAAACCAAAACCAACAAAATATACTACATCCTGCGGCAAGCAAACACCCACCTAGGACACTGCTTTAAGGCAGCTAGCAAATGCTAATTAACTAACTTAGCAATACACTATTCAATACTACCACAAACTACCAGTTACCAATAAAACGCATGCCACACCCCCCTCCCAACACCATAAGCATCACAAACTAAACGAATACTCTACACAGTTCAGAGCACAGGAATAGCGGGTTCGGTTTAGCAATTCTCAATTATTGAAAAACTAATAACCAAGCGAAATTTTTACAAAACAAAAAAGTAAAAATTATAAAAATAGCATACAGGTACACACACTCTATACATGAGAATTGAACTCAATAATAATAACAATAATAATAAAAATAAAAATAATAATTATATAAATGCATATGTATATGGAATATTTATAAATGAAATTGTTGAGCATATATAAGACATACCATAAACATAAATATTATACACACATACGAGTATATACATTCATATATATACTATATATATATACCAAGAATAAAAAGTAATTTTGGTAATAAAACTCAACAATAGAACAAAACCAAATTCAAGCAAATCTGTCTCTCTCTTTTAATTCAAGCAGGAGTGTGGACAAAAAACAAACCAACGTTTGGGGGTGTTATTGGAATTGGTCCCATACATTGCATCGAGGGAATTAGTTAGCTGTTAGAGAGTGTTCTTGCAAAAACTTTGCTCAATAAAATATAATGAATTTCTAAAAATGCATCACAAAATAAAGTGATAAATCGTCATTGAGCGTGTTCACCAGGTTGTAGCGATTTGTGATTTCTTTATTTATGTTTGCCGATTGTTGATTTTGATCTGGTGACCGCTTGTGATGACTGTTTAATACAAATATTGTGATTTTAGTATTTTCTGACAAAAAGTCACAGTGAAATCAGTAATGATCGATCACAAATCACAAATCGCTACAACCTGGTGAACGCGCCCATTGTTTTACAACCGAAAGGCTTTCCCACAATATACTATAAGTATTACATAAAAGTCGTAGGGATTTATGGTTCGATTTTAGCGCCTCTCCTTTCTATGACAGCTACATGATAATAGACCAATTTGATGAGAGTTCCGATTATGGTGAAGCTCTAAAAAAAATCTCTACCAACTCTGATTACGATATCGTGATAAACAAAAAAGTTCTTTGTACTGGAATTTCCCTGAATGGCCTTGGAAAAGGCTGTACGAATAAGAGATGCTGATTTTGCAACATATTTTGAATATTTAAAAAAAATTTTAAAAGAAAATGGGGCCCAAATTAATGAATAATAGTTTACTTGTAAACAAAAATTGAAGTTAAGTTTATACCATTAAATACTTATTTAGAACACTTTTGTATAATAATTCGTTTTGGATGCAGCGACTGTCACATTCTTTCTTGTTTATTATTGGCTTTTAATATCGTAAATCTTGATTGCTTATAATCATTTTTCATTTTGTGAAAAATATTTTTTGATTCTTAAGATGAACAGTTCATTTATTACCAATTGGCTTTACAACATTATTGTACTTCCTTTTCGGTTCACAATACGCAAAAGTTAGAAAGAAAAAAAGATATACCAACTATTTAAACACACGCGAATTCATTCCGAATTTTCTTTCGAAGCAGACACACTTTTCCACGCAGGATCAACTCACCGAACTCGTTCTCATCATCTTCCACATAAGCCTTATTATCCATAGATGTATTTCTGTCCGAACAGTAGAGTCTGTTGTCGTTAGCTAAGCAAGACTGACACCTCTATATAGACCTGCGACACATTTATTATATTGAAATCCACAATTATGTACATATGTATGTCTGTCTTCGGAACGTGCCTCTGCGATAAAGAGTGAGAAAAGTTCAGCTCATTGGCCGATTAATGCTGGAGGTATACGAAATAAAAGAAGCGCGTGCTCATGGCTTGATGTGCTAGGCATGGGACGGACTGTTAAACTACTACCATATGATGGTCCAATTATGAGTATTACTCACATTGTACTGTAGTACCGCGTAATACGTACCTGCCTGTAGTTTCATAAAACACTTTAATGCAAGCTATAAAAATCATTTAATCACTGAACCCCAAAAAATATACAAGTCAGGCCAATTGGCACTTTCGACAGGCCGGTATCTTTAGGATAAGTAAACATATACAACAGATCTCCCATATTGATCATGAGACTTATCTTATCTGCAAAAACAAAAAATGCTACGAAAAGCTTATCAAGACCGCAACATACTTTACTCGTACAAGTATATTAGTACTATGTATGTATGTACATATTTGAAAAGTTATTCAAGGGCGAGTCGCATTTGGATTTCGGTCTTTCCGACGCAGTGTGGACCATAAAGTAATAAATTGATGGCAGAGGTAAATATGATTTTGCTATAGACGAATAGATACGCTATGCTGTGGCATATCTCCTAATAACGAAATTATATAGCCAGCATAGATTTTGTCTTACCAAATCCTAGATTGCCTCTTCATAGTGCTATGAGTTCTACTATAAAAACCAGTCATGAATAATCTCATGCTTTATCAAAATCTTTATATATTTCTATAGAGTATTAAAACTTTGACGCATCACAGATTTTTATATCGAATTTCTAGTTCACACAATAACTATTTATAGCATTGGTTTTTTGCCCTCATTTAGAAAGTTTTCTGTGAGGAAGGTTGAAGATCCTTATCGAATAGTGCCAGACTAATACATAAAAGTGGTTGAAAATTTTAATGAATTTTGTTTTATATTTACAAAAAAAAAAAAACACTCTTTGGGTTTTTAAAGTATGCTTTATTCCCACGAACTTGGGACTTTGGAGAGCATCGCAGCATAGCAATCGACTCCTCAAAAGTAAGGAAATAAGGGAAGAGCCTTTATCTTTCATATTAATTCATCAACCATCCCAATAAAGTTATTCTATACAGCCTGTTTCCATTTCCGAATTCGACTAAATTATGCGAAATTCAAATTTTGCAATCATCTCTTCAGAATTAGTCGTATAATGCTTTTGCTTCTTGTTTGTCATCAACTATAAATAACAGTACCTCAAAAATTCCTGTAAACCAACAAATCGACATTCAATGATATATATTATATTTAAAAAACCAACTGTATCGTTTGTTATCGTAAATTAATAATTTGTTGGAATCAACGCATAAATAGTGAAAACATTTGTGAATTGGTCGAAGTAACGAGGTGAGTCTTGTTTAATATTATCTTTTCTAGTGGGGGAAAAGTGTTAAAAATGCCAGATTCTTTTTCAATACAAATCAACGTTTATTGACATTTTCCTCGTACGGATCTAATGTTGACTGATGTGGCCATTGCGCTGCATGTTAACTTAATCTAAAATCGACTGCAACTTCAACTAAAAATGCACCACAATCCTGTAGCCTTGCTATACACTTTTTTGACTTAACTAATAAAAAACAAACACTTTAAAATGAAGAATTTAAGGATAATTGGACTTAAAAACCGAATATAGATATAGATATAGAAATTTGATACATAAATTATCTCTAAATGTAGATGCGTTATTATTGCATTCAGGTCAACTTATCCGTCATTAATTGATTATCATGATAAGTAGCTGACAGATAAACTGGTGTGAATTGGAGCTGAATTCTTGACATTTACAGCGCAACGGTCAGTGCACACTTACATACATAAGTATGTATATAATATACAGATGCTTCAGATGCGCGTATTATGTTGATTTATACATTACATTTAAATATACATATATACACATATATGTGTGTGTACTTTTAGGCATATGTGTAAGTATATGCATATATAGGTTGGTTTTGGGAGCACTGGTTACCTACGTATATAATATTTATATATATATATGGGTGTGTGTTGGTGTGTCTGTAGTGTCTGTGAAGCGAGTTCACAGTTTTCTATTGCTCTACGGAACTGTGTGCTTAAAACTGAAATGGCGGCGTATCGCGACAGGTGTGGGCATCCATTGGTGTGATAACGACATGCAGAGACAATGTATTCCGCTGGTTGCCAGTTAAATGGGGACTTAAGTAAGGCGATGTGTGCTCCAGTTCCTCGTAGGGCAATAGATTGTCTAGATTGATGACACGGGAGTCATCGGAAAAGTATTCGGTGCGTTCAATTACGGTGCGAATGTGCGTTATTTTGTTTTGAACGCCAACGATGAGCACAGCAACCTAAAATACATATACACAGAGTTAAAATGATCGTTAAATCGATAATATATATTTGCCACCAACCTTAAAGCGCTCTTCACAAATCGTCTGGTGCTTGCAGGTGACACGCAAGCGTACAATATTGAGCGAGCAGCCGGGCACATCCTCACCCCACACCATTTTGGCTCTGTTATACTTGACGCCACGTGGAAAAAACTCAATTTCCCAGGTCATGCAAGGATCTAGCACAGAAGGAAGAACAATTAGTGCTTCAATATAAGACCACAATTTACTAAACTGAGCCCAAAACATTTACCACTCACCATCTTCAGTCTCGGCAATGTGACGCTGCGAAAAGAAGCATGTCACATAATTCTTGTAGTCCTCTATCTCATCAAAATTATGCACATCGATGCCCACACTCCAGGTATCATTCCAATAGAGACGTGGCGTAAACTGCAATTCACCGCCCTCGGAAGCGCGTATCTCACGCACACGATCCTCCTGTCCGGACTGATAGCTCATCCCAATGGCAATCCGTTCGACCAGAAACTCCTTATGGTACTCAATTAGTGGCACAATCAGTAGATGTGCCAATTCGCGCGGCGTCATCATACCAAAGCGTATATGTACGACAGTCTGCTCGATTAGTTCCATAAAATTGTTGGCACTAGCCTTCTTATCGGCGCTTGTATTGGCTGTGGTGTCCGACTGTTCGCGTCGATGCAGCAGCCATGTCTGAAGTATAGTAAAGAGTTTGTACTCGCTGGCGATGACAATGTCATTCTGCTGCAGAAGCAGTATTAATATGGCCGGATCCATGTCCACAAAGTCCTTGGACTCGGCCACCATTTCCAGATTCCATTTGAGGAAACGCTTCAGCGTCTCGGTGAGATCATTATGCGTGGGCGAGAAAGAGAGCGTATATTGCAGCCATGATACCAGATAGCCGCTGGTAGCTGCTTTCGCCACATGCTTCATCATATAGCCCACGCATAATTCGATGAGGTCGCGCACATTATATTTGTCGGAGAGCGCCAGCATCGGCATTACTGTCTGCAGATTAACTTCGATGTGGCCCACATACAGGTATTTGATGAACTGTGGAAAAACGGCCGAGCAGCACGCCTCCTCGTGCAGCTCAATTATGTGTTTGCTGCACTCATTCCACTCCGGGTTCATGAGCATCACCTGGAAAACATCGCTGCTGGCGCAAAGTATAACACGGTGTGCGGGATATTCTTTCCCATCTACCAACAACACAATATCCGACATCAGCTGCTCAGCATAAAGGTGTGCGATTTTGTTCAGAACGCTGTTAGCATCAATCATCTGCAAATAAGGGGCAGCAATGAAATCTTTGGAACATATCTCTAGTGTTGCATACTCACAGTACTCGCACCATCCTGTGCCTCGTCCGACTCCAAGCATTTGCGTCTCTTGGCATCCTGGTCATCTGTTGGATTGGTAAGGCCTTCTGTACCATTGGTGGCTGCATTGGCGTTATCAGCACCACCATTGCCACAGCCTGCTGCGCCACCAGCGACAGCAGCCGCAGCAGCACCAGCCGCGCCCCCACCCCCACCGCCACCATTGCTATTGGCTACGTTCATAGAATTCCAGTTCCCTGTCCGCAATGGTTGATCAAACAACCTGGACAGTCCGCTCGTATTATTATTAAAGAGATTTGGTAGACTTTTTCAACCGTTTATATACAGAATATAACGATCACAAAGCACAACCATTACGATTACCAAACCTTTATTTTGCTCACAATATAAAGCACAACAATCTGTGTTCTTAGGGATGCGCGACATTGCATCGCTGTTATCGATAACCTTTTAAGCTCAACGACTATCGAAAGTCTGACATCGGCGCTCAATCAAATTTTTCAAAAACAGCTACAAAATATAAATCAATATTTAATTAAATGTAAAACAATTTAATAATTTTTAATATTGGATTAATCTGGTTCAAGTTGAATTGTTTATATAATATTAACTCAGATTATCGAAATATCAAAGCAAATAGTCTTTAAGAGTGCGTTTCAAGAGCAGCGCAATTTTGCTTTTGGCCCACAACTTCAAACAAACAACTGAAAAATGCAAATAAACATTTTAGGTTTAGCAGCAAAATGTGTTTTTATTGTTTGGTAATTTTTATGATAGCAATAATCTGTATCGAACTTAAATGCTTATGTCGAGCTTTTCATAATATTAGAGGCCCAAATCCAAATCTGTAAATAGAGCTTTCTTTATCAAATCGTTATCTAAGCAAATACTCGTGCGTTTCAAGAGCAAAGCAAATTAAACATCAGTTCATTGTCTTTATTTGCTTTTAATATACAAAAAAACAATAATGCATTCGACTTGCTATAACCCAAATTAAAAAAAACTTTAAATAAAATATTAGTTCTATTACTAAACAAAAGCACAAAAATCATCACAAAAAACATAATTCATTCAGCTACTATTTGTTATACATATAAATTTAGTTTGTTTAAATGAGCGGCATAACCATCGACCATTGCTATCCATCGTAGTTTGCTCGCAGGTTCTTTTTGTTGTTGTTTTCTTAGTTCTTGGTTAGTGTAATGTATAAAAGGTGGCTTGGCAGACTTTAGAGCTCATCGTGACCGATGAATTTGTTCACATATGCTTGCAGTTCCGGCAGAGACCTGCTGCCTTCGTATTCGTTCTGTCGTTTGCCGTCCTTGTAGAGAAACAGCGTTGGATATCCCTCTACCTGCTGATCAATGCAGATCTGTTTATTCTCGGGCGCTGTGCAATCCACTTTAGCTATCACAATGCCTTGACCGCTGGCATGGGTCGCCGTTGCCAATTGTTCCCAAGTGGGCTGCAATTTCTGGCAATGACCGCACCATGGTGCGTAGAATTTGACAAAAGTAATGCCCGAGGCAATAGTTTGATCAAAAACGCCGTCTCCATTCAACGACTGAACATTCAGTTTTTTAGCGTCCTCACGATCATCCTTGGCCACCTCAATGGAATCCCCATTAACCTCATTGTTGCCCAAGGGTGCGCCGACCATTTTCTCAACATAGCTCTTTAGTGTGTCAAGGTCGCGGGAGCCCGAATACTTTTCAATCTTCTTGCCATCCTCGATCCACAGCAGTGTAGGGTAACCTTTTACTTCAAAGTCTTGGCATATGGGACGATATTGTGTGCAATCGATTTTAGAAATTGTTACTCCAGTCTCCTTAATCAGCTCCTTGGCCAGTTCCTCCCAAGTGGGCGCTAAACGCTGCAAATAGATGCACACAAATGCTTCACATGGAAAGGAAACTGGATATAGAAAGTACTCTACCTGGCAATGACTGCACCAAGGCGCGAAGAACTTCACAAAGTGATTGCCACTAGACACATGTTTGGCAAAGGTATCTTCGGTTAGTTCCACAACCTTGCCGATATTTGGATTAGTTTCGCTAGCGTCCTGTTCCTTTTGAGCATCCAATTCGATCTCCGTAGGCGTATTCAGTTCCTGATTGATGAAATCTGTAATCGCCGGCATATCGCGAGTGCCCTTGAACTTAACAGACTCCTTCTCGCCGAGCTTATATAGTCGCAATGTTGGATAGCCAGTCACTTGATGCTGGGCACACAATCCCTGATGTTTCGTGCAATCGACCTTAGCGATGATAACCTTTGGATCATCCACATTCATAATTTCGGCCAACTGCTCCCACAGAGGTGCCAAACGCTTGCAATGACCACACCTGTAAGATTCAACAGATTGAAGAGCATTATTTTTTATTATTAAATGCTTCGATCTCTGGCCGTCAGACCCATTTCTTAAGATGTAAAAATGTTTCAATAAGTTCATAAAAATGCAGACGAATACCTTTCTATTATTAAATAGCTTCATGTGTTCATTAAATCATAAAGTAATGTATTTGCTAAATAATAATGATGATGATTCCACACGTAATAACATTTATAGAAATATATTCTTAGCTTTGTCTTCCTTAGGTTTCGACTCCAAAAACGAACTTTTAACTACGAATTCAAATCAGTGCTAAAAATGGATTGCTATTCAAAAACAGCTATACTTTACAGGCCTTCTCCTTAAAGTTTTCTAACAAATATTTAAATTTTGTTATAGCACAGGAAATAAAGTAAAAGGGCTATTAACGGTTTACATATAATTAAATGCGGTCCTACTAAAAAAAATTGCTCTTAGCAATGGACTTAACTCTTCCGCAACTGGGAAATTGAAAAATCAACGCACAGCCCAAACGACGAGAGCCAAAAAGCAGAAACTTAGACTCAGGTTTCCTATCACAGTGTAGGACCAGTGAGCAAGGAAACGGTTTTTGAAAATTCGAGTTCCAAAGGGGGTACAAGGCGCTCTAACGTTTTATGAAAATCGTGAATTTATAGACCGATCGACTTGAAACTTGATTTTACTGCTCTAAGATTGAATACAAAAGAAACTGTATTCATCGTCTTTCGAAATTTTTCTTGGACATGTCTGTATAGATTTGTATCAAAAAGTTCGTCAAATGAGCAAAGACCTCTTTGTGCAATGGACAAAGGCGGGAAAAAGGAGACAATGGTGCCGATAAGACGGTCAGTGTGGCTACGCAAGTATATACATACAATGTATGTACAAAGCCATGTACTAAGCGTATTAGCATTTGTCAATCAACAAAAAAAAAAATGCTTCCTAGAACAAAGCCCATTTGATTATTTGTAGCGCCCTTATCATGGTACGTGGTCGTTTTGGATTTGAAAATGGGCCATAAACTATCAACAGCCTGGTGGGCCACGCATATGTTTTCAGCACACAGACATACATATATAAATATTTTAACTAAATACATACATATTTATTGCCATATGTACATACAGCTGTATATACATACTTATGTATGTATGTACATACAAATGTGTGTGCATGCGTGTCTTTCCGTCTGTACAGTGAAATATTGCTAGCACCCCTAATAGTGCTGATCCACAGATAATCATAGTTCAAAAATTGTGGAACTCGAACTATGTTACATACAGAATTTTGACATAATTACCATGGCGCAAAAAACTTCACAAATACATTGCCGGTCTCAATGAGGGCATCAAATTTTTCGGAGTCCAGTTCGACCGCAAACTGTTTTTCAGCGTTTTCGTTTTGCCCGTCATCGTTGGCCCGGACAAACGACACAGACGGCATAAATAGCGCACAAGCAGCGAGTGTTATTAAAAATCTAAGCGACATATTTATCTTTAGTGCTATTGTTCGTTATTCTCTACCCGGCTAGATTACAATTAATAATGTAAAACAGTTCGCTGCGACTAGATGATTAAAACGATACCACGAGTGCCATGATAGATGGTGTTTGCGGCATCGATACCGCTGCTTTCGTGCTGCCGATTCCTACTTGACCTCTTCAATACGCGCAACGAATTCCAAGCACAGTGGCAACTCTATGTATTAAAACACATGAAAATATAAACTAACATGTACTTTTATTTAAAAAAAAGAAGTTATGCCTAGCCTAGAAATATGTAGCTCTTTAGGCCACCTTAACTTGACTGATGTCACGCTTTTGAATCATACGCATCTGCTTCTTCTTCATTCGCTTCAATTTCGACGGATTTTTAATAATTTGCACAACCTCCGCGCGACGTTCGTTGGCCAGACGGCGCTCTGCGTTCTCGACACGACGCTGATGCTTTTGCACAGCCGCTTCCTTGCGCTGATCCTTGATTTCCTTGGACTTCTCCTTAATGTAGCGCAGCTCGTCGCGCAACGCCACCTTCTTTTCAAACGTCAGTCGATTCACGCTCTTTTTTATTGTGCTAAATCTGAAATACATTAGAATTAATTTTGGACTGCATATGACGATGCAACAGTCTTACTTTTGTTTTGGCGTCTTCCAGGGTCGGTTGGATTTCGGCTGACCGCGCGGTATTAAGTTTTCAGGCTTTTTCACCTTCTTCGCTTTTGACGGCACTGTTGGAGTTTTCGGAGTTCCACCTGCTTCTGAATCGCCCATATTAGTTAATGTATTGAAGTGAGGAAACTAAACAAAAACAGACGAAGTAACCACGTGCTGTCAAAACAATTCGACCGATAACGATATGCAACTAAACATATGTTCAATCAAGCACTGTTATCGGAGTCAACAGAGCTGCATTTAGTTAACTCTTCCAGCAAGGCGCGCACAAACTTCAAATGGTTGGCGACTCATCAAAAATTGTATCACAGTGTATAACAATAAGAATTTTATTCCACTAATCAATTTAACAAACGCACCGAGGGCATACAAAACCCAGACTAATAGTTGCACTCCAGCTAATTCACTGCGACCTAAGCATTATTTACATATGTATGTTTTTTATGTATTTTAAAGGCTGATAAAAACTGAAATACTATTTCCACTTTTTGTCCTCTGCTGTTGTTCCATAGGCCGTTTTTAAATCCACTACAGAATTGCTGGCAAGCTGCTCCTGATTGTGCTTATTGACATTATAGTGATAGAAGAAGGACTTGCTGTATTCGAAAGTGGATATCATGATAGCACAAGCAGGCGCCACTTTGAAGAGACGCGGTCCGAGTCCTGAAAATACGCCGCGCATACCATTCAGGCGATATATTTTTGCAAGGCGTTGTGCAACAGATGTCGTTGGTGTCGACACGCTTTTTGGTGGGTTATCTGCAATATTCAAACGTGTTCCTACATCAGTTTTAAGACAACAGTGCGAGCGAGAAGGCAATAGCGGCATACCTGCAAATATGAACTTTTCGCCAAATTCAATTTGTTCATGCGTTTTAATTACATCAAACGGTGTGGTAATCGTTGCGGCAACCTAGAAAAAACAAAAAAAAAAACAATGCATTAATTAGTTGTTTGAATAGATGGGAGATTTTCATTTGGTAACGTACAGAGCCCGATATCGCTCCGGCTATAAAACTGAAACCAAATGTTGGCTCGACAACATTAAATCGACTTTTTAGATATTCATAACATGTCCAGTAAATGCCAGAAAAGGGCACATCGCGCAATATTGTTGGCGGCAGCCCTCGCCACAAACCCAGCACACCCTGCGCTTGCACCACCTTCCGCACCGATCCAAGCATTTCGGCATGTGTCATCTTCTGTGATTGCATTTTCGTGCGGATCAGCTCGATGGGACTGACCAATGTAACCGCACATATGCGCGCCGTGACGCCCGCCATCAGGGGCACAAGCATTGGAATGTCACGGCCAAAGGGTGTTCCTTTAACTGGTGTCAGGTACTTGTAGTGCAGATCGATGAAGCGAGCCTTGAATTGCTCATAAGCTACAAAATAGATGATCGTCGAGGGTAGAGCGGATATGAGTGTAGGGCTAAGGCCGGACCACAATGAGCCGATGCCCTCGTTGCGGCTTATTTTGATGAAGGCATCCTAAATGAGAAAGCAAATATTAAGGAAATGTTTACTTAAATTCTAGTCGCAACTTACAATGGTGCCTGTAAAGTGTGGCGCTGGCTTAGAAAAGGAATTGCTGGGCGTATTCGGACCACAGGGACATATGTGATCCATTAACCCATTACAATACAGGAAACATTTGTTTGACAGCAACAGCGACTGCTGGGCCTGCAGGCGTGTTTTGATCACATCCAATGGGGTCACTGCAATGGCAATTAGCAAATGTTGTGGTGAAATTCACACGCGATTTCATTTCTATATACACACATTTATATGTACATACATATGTATATGTGCGTTTGTTTGCTGTAAACTTACTAAAGCAGGCCGTTATCATGGCGCCCGTACAAGCGGAAACTACTTGCTGGAGAGGTCGGATGCGAAACCTTGGATCCGTCATGGTCACCTGGGATTTTGTGTGAGATCTTGCCGACCCCATTGGCTTGCTACTGGGGTTCTCATAATTTGTTGCCGCCGTAGCCGTTGTTGTTGCGTTCGCTGGTTTTATTTTTGCCGCACTTGCCTCCGCCTTCGCCGCCGTCTCCGGCATGTTCTTTAGTTATGTTTGCTCGTCAATGTGCTCTTCGACAGGCTACGGGTTTTACATGTGTTTGTGCAAGTGGTTTCAGTTTAATTTTGTCATATATATTGAAATTTTAAATGAAATTAATTTCATTAATACAACTTTAGATTAAAATACAACTATAACCTAATAAACACGAATCAAAATCCAATCCGCCTATCTTGTAGTCTGTCATTTCGTTTACGCACATTGCTATATAGTCGGTCAGCTGTTCTCGTGCTATCGATTTTGCTAAACCGCTAATCGATACAACTATCTAATGAGTCGATTGGCGCTATCGTTATTCAAACATTAAAATCTACTTATCAGCATGAATAAAAAATATTTAGGACATTCCGGCAACCGATTATCATGACTATTTAGCTTATTTAAAACGAAAATTGAGAAAAACAAAAGAATATCATAATTATTGAGAGAATATAAAATACTTATATAAATTTAAGCGAAAGCACGATTTTGGAGTTTGGTTAAAAAGACGGACCTACTTTTTTGTAAATTGGGAAAAATAAGAGCTAATGAGTCGACTTTTGTGGCACTCTAATATTCTAATAATACCACCTTCCAAAAAAGTTCTCATAGCATAAATTCCAACAATATTTGTTCTCTTTTGCCAAGAACCTAGCAATGAAAGTACCGTGCTGCTTGAGGTTTTGCTGCATAATTAAGTTATGGCTTTATTACACGATTCGTGTTCTCGTTACAAGCTCTACTATTGTCGTCAATGTCGTGGTTGGGTCCATTGTATTGCGTGCGGTACATACCGGTTTCTTGTAGATCAAGGTTGTAGTGAAAGAAGAAGGCCTTGCTATACTCAAACGTCGATATCATGATGGCACAGGCTGGGACCACACGTAACATTCGTGGCATAACTCCAATATAAAGTCCTCGTAGCCCATGCTGCCGATAAATCACTCCGAGCCGTGCAAACACCGACTGCCGTCCAGTAGCCGCTCCAGCAGTGGCGGATGTCGCTTGAATTCCATTGCCAACCTTGCGGGACGATCTCGAGTCCGTGTACAGCACATCTTGGCCCAATTCGATTTGTGTGTGAGTTGTTATCAAATCGAAGGGCATTGTTACCCATGTGGCTAGCTGTGACGATAGAGAGTTCAGGGTGATTCAGAATAAAATATTATACTGAAGCCTCTCTTTGCAGTTCCAAGATCGGAGTCGATCTCTTATTCGAGCTCTGGAAGCGTCCAATGGAAGTTTTCGACTCTTCAGAACCGTAAATAATTCAAAAGTTTCTATACTCTGAGATGACCCAGCTGTGTAGCCTTATATCATACTAAAAGAAGATATTGCGACTCTTAATATGATCTTACCCTAGCTTTTTAGTTTTAAGAATTGAGTTTGAAATAATTTCGTGTTTTTGAAAACTATGATCAACTATTTCAGCTCACAGATGATCTTAAGTCTTAGCTACGTTCCTAGACTCAAAACCTCATTAACTTTAGATAAATAGTTCTCATAACCGAGTTTGAGACGCTATTGCAGTTTTGGTATTAAAATTTTTAATTTGAGCAAGAAATAGAAAAATATTATTTCCAGAAAAGCTACATATAACCTACTAATCGACTCTATAAGGTGAACTGTATTGTCTTATTTTCTCTTAAAAAAAGGTCTTGAACCTAAGAGCTAAGCTCATAGACTTGAATGAAATGTAGCCCTATATGAATAGTTTCTATATTAAAGAAATAGTTTCTATATTGTGGAAACTCTTGAAAGCTATTCTTTACTAATTGGGTACTATGACAATCTTAAATCATCACAGTAAAGGTTACTTAACTCAGCCCTAGATTAATAGTTTATAGAGTTTCGCCTGGAAAGTTCTCAAAATCTAGAACAGAATAATTAGACTGTGATCGCACTTCAGCAATCTGAGCGCTCTACTTTCTACTCCAATTACATTTAAGAGTGGGAACTACAATATAATATTAGGCCTATTAGGCATACCCACCGCGCCAGATGCTGCCCCTGTTATGAAGCTAAACCAGAACGTTGGCTCGGTGACGTCAAAGGCTCGCTTCAACGACTCGTAGGCGGCCCAATAGGTACCAGAAAAGGGGGCGTCGCGCATCACTGTGGGTGGCCAACCGCGCCACAATCCCAGCACACCTTGGGTGCGTATCAGGGAGCGTAGGACCAGCCATAGCTCCGCATAGGTCATGTAGCCTGATTGCATCTTAATGCGTACCATTTCGATGGGTGTGATGGCCGTCACAACGACGGTCCGAGCACATATACCCGAGGCCATGGGCACCATATAAGGTAGAGCCAATGTAGGGGGTGCCATTTCTTGGCGACTACCAGTCCCTCCAGTTTCTCTGGGAATTAGTGAGCGGCGTTGACACATATAATAGAGATTGGCGAACGAGTGTTTCAGATATTCGTAGGTGAGAAAGTAGATTATAGTGGAGGGTAGCGCTGAGACCAGAGTGGGACTTAGACCGGCCCAAAGACCTGTTATGCCGCTGCTGCAGAGTATCTTCAGAAAGGCGTCCTGAACACATGGAAGAAGAAGGGGGCAATGCAATTGGCAGACAATTCTACTGCCCACTTACCATAGCACCTCGCAATGGGCGCATGCTCAGATCCCTGCTGCCGGCTCTCGGCAGGCACTCGCTGGCATTTGGTTTACAAATATGGGTCATAAGTCCATTGTGGAAGACATAGCAGAGTCTCGAGACTGTGGGTCTATGGCGCATCGTATGCTGCGTTTGGACGCGAGTCTTAACAACCTCCAGAGGCGTTACTGTCCAAATATAGCTATTGTTTTTGGACAATCGGTACCGTAGATCGGATCTCATTACACTTACCTACAAATGTCGTTATCAGACCACCAATTAGAGCAGAGACTACTTGCTGCATCGGTTTGATGCGATATCTTGGATCCTCGATCAGCACCGATGTGGGCAATCGTAGCGGATCCAAATCTGCCTCCTGTTCGACATCCTTCTCTTTGTGCGATGACGATGTCTCCTCAAAATCATGTTCCTGCCCATGTTCGTAACTCTGTCCATGCTCGTGTCCGTGCCTTTCTCTCTGCGTATTTTCATCCGACGGCATTTTCATGTGGCGCGGCAACTTGGAGCTGACTATAGTTTAGTTTTTGTATATCGGTCTGAATTTTTGATTATTGAAACGTGCACACTCACTGTGATGGCGCGCGAGGCGTAGCTTACTCCGATTCCATCCCAACTCACAGATAAATTCAATTCAAAATTCAGAACGTATTATATTCACAACAGTGGACTGCAGTCCATGCTAGTGTTGAAGTATTAAGGAGTAGTTTTGAATTAGGCTGCAAAATATCGGAGGTATTGATGGTTACCGATTCTTCGTTTACAACACCAAGCAACTTCGTAGTAGCTCTGGTTCTGGATTGCAGCAATAAAATGTTTCAAAGAGTCGGGTATAATACCCAGAAGAATCGAAAACAGTTTTAGAAATAAACTCGGCTCTAATTCTCGGCAAGATTAATTCCCTTGACAACTAATCCCTATTGATAAACGTATAGCTAGACAGACTCACTTCTACAGAAAAGCTTTCTTCCACAAGCACGTTGACGAATTAAACCCCTTTAACTGGTCCAGAATTCCTGTAATTCTGCTACCTGTTGCAGGACTACCTGGAACTAACCTATCCAAACATGTATGCACCTTTTTAGTCTTTGATATGTAATTGTTAATTCTGCAGAAAGTAACGAAGTACTTTTATTTTAATTTTCATAAATTTTCCAATCAATCCACAACTCAACAAATGATCTCAAGTTTTAGGTTAATAGTTATTTGCATCGAAACTAGGTTCGATTCAGACTGTATTTAAAATTGCTACTTTTCAAACCTCCAATTCCATTTTTGGGTGAGTTCGAACTTGGAATCACGTCGCAACCATCATAACAGAAGCATGATTGAAGAACTTTCAAGGTTATCATAAAATTTAATAATTGTCCTACCTAGGATCTTAAATTAGGATTCAAGATTTACAACAAAAACTTCCTGAGCTATTGAGCTATGGTCGATATCTTCTAAATACAACTATTTCACGTCTCATGAGCGCGAAGAAAACGAGACATCGCATCGTCCGATCCAGCAATGAGTGGATGCTTCTTCTTCTTGATATTTATTCGTCTTGTGCTTTGAATATTAATAATAACATACTGCTTGATTGTTGCTCTTAACTTTCGTTTATTTTCCCCATTCGAAAATCGAGTAACAAAAACGATCACCAATTACGACATGAATTATTAGGTTTAATTGTGAATACATTTTATAAATAAGAATTAAATTTAACAAATATAGTAATTTAAAGTTATTTATGAGTAGTAAGTAATTAGATTAAATTTAACTCAAAAATATATTTGTAAAAAAAAAAAAACGAAATAATCATAAATAAAAATAATCGAAGTATGATTTCACTTTTTAAATCATAGTGTAAAGTCAATATTGCGGTTTCTATGCGTATCTTCTTGTAAATATATTTTTGTTAGCCGCCTCGATGATTAGCTGTTGTTGTTGATGCCAACATAGCGGTAATTATTATTGTTGTTGTGGTGGTTGTAGTTGTTGCTGTTGCTGCTACTGCTGGTTTAGTAGGTGCTAAAATCACGTTTGGGACGTGCTTGCGGATTACGGTTATTCCAGAATTCCAGAACTGGGCTGCCTAGGGACAGCACCTCACTTGTGTGCGATAGGAATCAGAGTTTCGCCAGCGGTGAGCGCCGGCAATGGTGCGTCCACAGTGAGGACACCATCCTTGCTAAGGGACGAGCGTATGGATTCGGGATTCACACCCTTGGGTAGCAGGAATTCGCGATTATATTCCCTATAGACGCTCTTTGTGTCTGACTTCTCCTCGTGCTTGGCATGCACCTGTGAGTAGGAATAATTGAAGTTAATTAACCAAAAGGAAAAGTTTATAATCTTTTTGTAGAGTTACTCACCAATAGTTTCTGATCGACAGTTTTCACAACAATTTCCTCGGGCGCATATTGACTGACATCGAAACGCAATTTCAACACTTTGTTGTCACCTTCGTCCTGTAAACAAAATAGAATTTAGCGAATTAGTAATCTTTCTGCAACGAGTTCTTTTTGAAGAAAGCGACCAAGCAATACAATTCCACTTCGATCCTATTGGTCGGATTTGGTTTTACATAAACTGTGTGAGTTAAGCGAATTCCATTACTTATGTTATGAAAAACGAAAAAATTAACCAAATAAATTTCGACAAATGCAATTATGAATGACAATAAAGTCAATAATAGAGCTGGTAAGCTGTCAAATACTTTGTTTTATTGAACTGGTGCTTCAACTTTAATCAATTCTTATTGCCTTTGATTATTACAAAAAAAAAGTGGAATTTCAAAATCACAAAAATGCGTTTTTATGAAAAGAATTTTAAGATTATGTTCATTGCAAATAATTGATGATTAAATGTAAGTCTAATCTAGATTAAATTATGAAACCTATTCAACAGTTTAGAACTCGAAAGGACATCCAAAGCATTCGAAAATTAATTGTAGTTGCCATTTTATCGATAACATAACAATCCTTTTTCATTTAATTTTTAAAATATAATACTAAACGATTATTCAAATTTGCAAGGAACTTCGAAATACTAATTTTGAATTTTTAAATTTTCATGAAGGACTCTTTCGTAGCGTATTATTCTGAGTTAAATGATGACACCAATTAACTAATTTTAATATTACAAAAATTCCATTATCTTATTCAAAAGTTAAAGAATTACTTTTGTACTTAATTTGTGAATGATAATGTTTTTCAGATTCATAAACGAATAATTCAATCTAAATGTATTGTTAGAGAAAAAAAAGATTGAAAAACTATCTCGTTTCTTTTTTTTTTATTTCAAGAACTCAAACGTTATTATTTTATCTGGAACCTACTGTTATTAAACAACTTTCAGATCGAAAAAAATGTTTGAAATAGTTTTTTCATTTATTAATAATGAGATATTTTATGGTCGTAAGACAAAAATGTTTCAATTTGTTTTACATAAACTAAACAATTGCTTTTTCATTCGATTTTACAACTTAATTAAGCGAATTAAAATGGAAATGATTCTATTTGCTTAAAAATGTTCAACTTTTGATTTGATTTAGTAAAAAAAAAAAAACAAACCTACAAGCCAAACTATTGCAATTGAACTACTATGCGAACTGAAATGGGAATGATGTTTTGAATTCGCAAACAAACATGAGATTTGAAGAGAATTACTTCTTACCTGGATCAAGGGAGAGCTGATGTCCGACACATAGTTTTGCTTTGGTCGCGACGGCAGGGCCGAATTTGTTGTTGAGCTGAAAGTATCATAAAAGAAAGCAACTTTAGCTTAATGTTTCTAAAGTATCAAAAAAGTGCAATACTACATATATGTATGTATTTAAATACTGTCTTGCTTGCTATGAAAAAAATATATTCGCTTGTAGTTAGTTAAAAAATAATAATAATGAACATTAGGGAGTTACATACGTATGTAGGTATATCAGAGAATGAAACACAAAGTGTTGCCTAACTCCCAAGTTTGATGATATCTTAATCTAAACTAAACCAAAAACCATATAGTTTATATAGCTAAACAAACTGTACTATACTGCGTGTATTTATAAACAACGAAAGCAAACACAATCTTGCTGCATTCTCTGGAAATGAAATTCCATATGCAACAGATTTATTTATGGAAATCTATTTTCGTCTACTCTAACCCTGAAACTTCACTCCACTCCATACCGCTTCACTCAAAGTCTGGACCGGATCTGGTAGCAGCTGTTAATAAACATATGTAAAAAAAACGAATAATAATGCACTGCCTGTCTGCAACTGACAATAATCAGTATCTACACTATATATAGACAAAGATCTGAGCAGCAGCTGCGTTTTATCCCCAAAAATGAAACATCATTTTTCAAATGTTTCGACTAACGCCCACAATGCCGATGCAAACCAACTCGCAGCACATATTTGGATCGATTCTATCTGCATATATATATATATATATATATATATATATATATATATCTATCTATGTACTATATTTGTTTATTCATGGATAAATATACAAAATATTTCTTGCTCAGAGACTAAAGACAATGGTATAACAGATATTTATATGAAAGTGGTGCCAAAATCTTATTAAATACCTCGAATGGAAAACTCATAAATTAAAGCTACCTGGTCGCACATTCTACTTTTCTTTTTTATAACAGAAGGTCGACTCTCTGGCTGTCTGTGTAATTTATTAAATACGTTCCAAATCTGGTCTAATTTAGGGAGGCGTATAGCTCTGGCTGCCAAGAAATTATTGCCTACAGTCAGCTGTGATTTCAACGGATAACTTCTAATTGAAGTAAGCTAATGTTAACTGTGGGGTTAACTTTTCTACAGTCAGAAGAACACTAGGGTGGTGCAGGGTTCCACCAATTGAGGTTTATTTGGCGCTATCTCTGATTGTTTTCGTTACAACGGGCAACTTCTTATTTGGGAGAGTTAATTTTATTACAGTCTGTGCATTCCCCAAATCGGGGTCGAAGTGGCAAAATTTCGAACTGACATGAACTTAGTTGTCCCGATTTGTTTAAAATGATTATCAAAATGATTTCTGAAATAATAAATATGTTAAAAACTTTTGAAATTTTTTCTTAGTACCTTCGAAGATTGTTTTCACACTCTGTAATTGTAGAAAGCTTTTCATATTTTAATATTTGAAATATTATCATTTTTTCAATTTATTTAAAATGAAGATAATTATATCTCTGAATCGTCTACACTCTAAATATACGTTGTATTGTGAAACTTAACCCTTTTACTGCTGAAAATCTGAGAAGCTGGAAAAATTTAAGGTTTTTATATAATTTTCTTGTTAACAGTTTAAGTGAGGTTTCCAATACGTTTTTACTTTACTTTACTAACGAACGCCCTATACATATACATATACATATATGTACACTTTGTGGAATACTCGTGACCACACTTTACAGTATGTATTTATCTATAATTGCTTAGCATTAAGTATTACTAGTATGCCCCTTGCGATTATTTCAAGTTTTTTTTTAGCATCTTCGATCTGTTTAGAATCTGAATCAAATTTTTGAGTTTGTTGGCAACATGGAAAAAAAATAAAGCATGTACGCCCCATTTTCTGTGGTGAAATGTTTCTGTGTTGCATGCATTTAAAAATACTTATCCGAAGATCCACACATGTTTGAACAGAAAACATATATATGTACATACAGAACTGAGAGTGTGCTAGTATCTGTCTAAGTGTGTTTGTGCGGGTCTGTGTCAAGAAACTATTTGCGTGCATGGTTTTAGAAATGAATTTCTTAACCTCTAAAGTGTGTGTGTCCCCGAAGGCCTGTCATCCATATCGCGGTGGCAGTGCAGAGAATGAAAGACAGCCATGATTTCGAATTGTATTCATTATTTTTAATTTTTAGTTATTAGTAGAGAGGTGCGTTCAGGCGTTGCTAACAAAAGGTGACAGAAAAAAAAGAAAAAAAAAAAACAAATTCGGAAAAAAAATTAGAAAAACACACAAAACTAATGAAACGAACTACACGTGTGTTTATTGTTGCTTTGTTTTATTGAATATACCTGGTTGTTGTTGTTTTTTTAGTAGAGCTATATTAAAGCATTAATATTAGAAGAATAGATAGATATATACATCGTTCATTATTCAGGTTTTTACATATTGTTTAACGTTATCCGAAATAGCAGTAAACAAGCGGCATTGAAAAGTGGTGGAGGAAGAGAGATAAAGAAAAGAAATAGCATTTAGTTAAGTATTTGTTTATAATCGATTAGCAAATTAGCAAACACACACAAACACACACATTCATACTCCAAATGATGGCTTGTCGATTGAGACCGACTGAAATTATACTCTACATCTCAGCGAGTCAGAAACACTAGGAATACCAGAAATTAGTGAAAACAAAACCAGAGCAACAAATATCGATGTTGATTACCACTAATAGGAGCAATTCGAGCCATAACTAAAACATCAGATACCGACAGACCGAGTAATAATGCCTCAACGTGGTTGTGTAAGCAGCAAAAGCCATTCCTAACAAAAAGTCATAGTGAAGGACTGCAGCGGAGAAGGAGATGAGAACAGGGTATTTAAAATTCGATCTAGCACGACCTAAACGTTCCACTCGTTACTTTTAAAAAGTAAATTTAGGTCTTATGTCAGAAATATTTTATTGCTCAGTTACTTGAAAGTAAAAACGAGCAACTCTGTTCCCTCTTTTCATATATATTCGAACATATGTACATATGTACACATATAGAGCAAATAATTATTTAAATTATAATTTATATATTCATATTGAACATTCAAATATCGCCCAAATCAAACACATGCACACCTGATGTTATGCCATGGGCCATAGTGGGTCGCTCTCATTCTGATAAGTAGGCCAACATAACGCCATGCACCTTATCAGTTAAAAACAAATAGGTGAAGAAGCTAAAGTCGGGTGTCCCGACTTTGGAATACTCTGTGCATATGTGTAGAATAATTATGCATGTCTATGCGTGTTTGTGTCTGTCTGTATATGTCTCTTGTGCCTGTGCCAAGAAGCAACAACAACAAAAACAGCTGCGGGCACTGCTTGGTCATATATACATATATCGCTATAGCTTCCTGTTAAATCGGCCTATCAGAAACTTGGCGTACGGGCTTGTAATCACTAAATGGGGGTATTTTCAGAATTTTAATGAAATATTCTAAGAAATACGGAAGTTATGGGAAATCGCTAATTTCGGTGGAGAGGTGAGAGAGGGAGGGAATTTCCAAAATACAAATTTTCTGCGTATTCATATAAGGCATCTGGGACTGAAATTAGGTGTCCCTAGGTCTTAAAGTCTCCGAGATATAGGTGATTATACGAACGGAAAATCGGAAAATCCCCCATAGGGAAGGGGAAAATCAAAAAATATAAATCAGACTCGTATAGCGTACACACATAAGGCATATTTTAGCTTTTATAGTCTCTGAGATCCAGGTAGTCTCGTCTCATCATGCTGATCAAGTATATACAGTGACGAATAAAATTATTGGCACAGTTGGCATGTCTGACTTTAGCATAGTTTTTCTCCATGAAATATGGTGATATTTAAATAAAACAAATTTTATTCATATACAGTATTCAATTTCCCACTAAATTAATCTTATTTCATTCTTGTATATTTTTCCATTAATTTAAGAAAATTAAAAATATAAAAAAACAGCCGATTTTCTCTGAACAAAATTATTGACACACATAACCTAAAATACCTAAAATTAATTTAAAGACCGACAGACAGACAGACAGACAGACAGACATAGATCGACTCGTCTTGTCACGCCTCCTTCTGCCTGTTACATTTTCAGTTCGCAAACCTAACATACTCTTTTACATTTCATGCGCAGAGTATGAAAATGGAGCAGGGCTAATACAGTTAGTACAGTAAGTAACCGAGTGCCAAAAGCCAGCATCTGAGTACGCATATATGTATGTATGTATGTATGTAACGTAAGTGTGTGTGTGTGTGTGCGAAATGTAATCACCGTTGCCCAAACATCAGTCTCCAAAGCAACAACAACAAGAAGAACGGCGAGGGAGCAACGCGAAGTACACTTACTAACGGAAAGAGCAGAAGGTGTACTGTGTTTGCTTTTGAATGGCCGGCCAGCAGAGACACACGGACGCGCGGACAGAGAGACAAGCACTCACACACACACACACACACACACATGCATATAAATGAAACACACACTCAATGAGCGCCAGACTGCTCTGCTCGTTTGTTCGCTCATCGTCGATGGTTGATGATGTCATGCTTATGTATACATTTTTAATACACACACACACACACACACAATCCCGTACATACATACACATGTATGTATGTATGTATGTATGTATGTACATTAAAGCTTATTTGAAAAGAAATTTGAAAAGACATCGAAACGAAAAAATCTATTGGTGGTAAATCAGTTTGCGTTTTGATGTGCAATTAAATACAAATTTTGAGCAAACGTTTTTTTTACGCATTCTGACTAATTTGTCCACGTGCCAGTGCCTTAAAGGAGGACAGACGCACAAGCAAACGGACGGACGGGCGGACGGACGGACAGACATAAAAACGAGCCATTGGCATTTGAGGAATTGAAAAAGAAAATGGAAATGGACGCATACATAAATAAAATAAAGTCTTAGCGCGAACTACACACACATACTCACACAAACATACATACGTACATATAATATGTATGTATGTACATACGTATTTAGAAATGTGAGAGTGCCATAATATTTGCCGTAGCATTAGAATGGAACACGATATGAATTCTAAAGGCTGCGGTCATTCAACCACAGTCGATTGTGCCAAGAGATTAAATTTGATTTTATTGTAGTATTTGCCCCCACCTTGGTAACAAACAACTAAATTTTCCCAAGTTTCGTTCCCCGCCTTCTACAGATAAAAGAAACCAATTGATTTTAACTTCATCAGCTTCTAATCAAAGCAGTTAACCGCTCATTACTTATCGCAACAACAATATTAACTGACAGACAGACAGACAGCCAGCCACCCACACCCAATAATGCGACATTCCAACACATACATATGTATGTACATACATACATATATAAGTACAGATATCTTACATCAGCAGCTTAATAACACACGATCGTATGATCATCATCTCATCTCATCTTTATTATCAACACAAACTCAACTCTCAGTCGTGACTATAACAACAGCTCTTCCCATTCATTTGCGCGCTTCTAAAGCTATTTATTTATAACAAATGACTGTTCACTTGAAGCTCAATTGCAATTTATTTGCATATACACAGACACCCATATATAGTATCTCTACATTTTTATGTACATATACATAAGTACAAATATTTATTATTCAGTTATCATTGAATTTTTATCTGTGCAAGCTTATGAGAAATCAACGACTTTGAAAGATTATTGATATGCCAATTGGCATTTAAAAGTTGTATTCAAAATAAAATTGATTCAAGGTTCAAAATTAAGGATATATTCTTCATATTATTAAGAATACTGAGCAGGTAACGGTTTCTGTAGAAGATAATTTCTTTCTCCAATTTATCTTCTATAAAAATCTTTAACTGCATATAATTTTAAAAGGAGTAGATAATCTATTATTAATCTATCAACTATTTTTAAATATTAAGAATAATATGCAGATAACAATTTCTGTAGAAGAATCTTGTTTTATTCAATAATTTCTCTCCCTCTTTCGACAATTTTGAAATATTATGGAAAACTGTTTCCAATTGAAAATGTACGTTCTATTTAGGATATCTTTGTTATATTCTATAGAAGCAATTTGAAGAGGATATCTCTTAAAGACTCTGGTTATCATCTCTTTATTGTTGCTTGCATAGTAACTTTATATTTGAATTTTTTTTTAAATAGCTAGTAAATCTTTCTTAGATTCAATCAGCTATATAGGAAAATCTGCCAATCATACATTAAAGCATAATTTGTTTCCTAATTGAGGATCTGTTCTAAAATAAGTGAGATATTAAACTGCAAAAATATAATTTGGATTGTTAATTGTATACCTTGTAAACGGGCATCTGTTGATTTATAATTCATTTAGATGATCGAAACATTTTATTGGTTTTACCGGATAAGGGTGGCTGGTTGATGGGAAATATCTAGATTTTATAACTAAACGAATCTCTCTACATTATTCTGTTCTTCTGTCTCTTGAACAGAATAGACTTTGCATCACTTAAGAATTTAAAACAAGCATGTTTTGATTTAAAATTTTTGCGATGATCGAAGCATTTTGTTTGCTTTAAGCAATTATCGATGAGGGGAGGGGTTGAGTGGTTGGATGGGCGACAGGGTCGGCGGTGTCACCGATTGCAATGACAGGCGGAAATTGAAAGCAAAACGAAAACTTTTGGACTGCCCCACTTGTTCTACTAAAATTAAATTGAAAAGAGTAGAAATCAATTTGCTTGCCAGCTGAAATTTGTTGGCGCATCTGAATAGTTCGACGTGCATGGTCAAATGGACGGACGGGCAGACGGACGGACGGACGTACACACACAAATACATAAGTACAAACATAAATATGTGTATAGACAAGTGTATTGCATGTATGCTAACCGAAACAGATGACGGTGACGTGTCTGTTTATTTTTGGACGATGACAGCCGGCCACACACCATCCACACACACACACACACACACATTCAAGTATTTCAGTATTTTGAGTATTTTGAACGTTTTGGCATTTGAGCTGAAACAACTCCCCTCCCCGCCCCACCCCCCTCCGATGACCGCCTTTAACGATTAAACCGAATTCAAAACACAAACACTATGCGTGGGTGTGAACCGTTCCCCATAAATGGAGGCGTCTCTGACCCGCGTCGCCGTCGCTACTGACTGTTTGCCAGACTGTCCGATCGAAGCGAATATATATGTATATGTATGTATGTTTATAGTGTGCTTGCATTGGGGTCAGCAGGCGTATAAAAAATTGACTCGCTGACTCATTATTAATCGTGCGCGAAGGTCTTGCCAAGGCGCGCAAGCAGGTGGGCCAGGACACGCGTCCTTATCGATTTCATGACATATAGTATATATGTATTGTAGTATATATAAATGTGTGTGTGTGTAGTTATAACAACCAACACACAACACACAATCAGGGAAATGCAGTGAGTAAGCAACTCATTCAGTTGTCTAACAAAAGAGTTGCCCGCAAGCCCAAACAGAAACAGAAATTCAGGCTAATTTTGTTTACGCAAAGTTTGAGATACATACATATGTATCTTAACGGTAGAGAAGCTCGTCATGCACACGCAACGCCAGTAACTAAAACAAAACACTAACTCTCTGAAACGCCCCAATTTTCCACCATTTTCCGCAAAGTTTCTAATGAACGTGATAGCGCATCAAATCTATTGCCTTGAATTAGACAATTAAATGTAGATTTGGGTCAGATTGTCAAAAACTTCATATGTTAAGGTTAATGTCTTAATATCTACATATATAATAGATACTAAGTCCAAAAAAAAAAAATCACAGTCCGACTCTTCCACAGCTCTTGAACTAAAATAACTTTTTCAGAACAACCACGTTTTATTAAAATGCTCAGATTTTAACAAAACGAAAACTATAGTGTGACATTACAGAACTCATGATTACCAAGTTTGGCTGCGATATCGTAATGAACACAAAGGGCGATATTCCCACCGATTGTTCCTATGACAGTTATACAAAATAATGAGGCTATATATGATTTGTAATAAACTTAATCGGTGAGTGGAAAAGATAACTGCACAAACAAAGTGTAATGTCCCTAGATGTTATGGTACAAGAGAGCTCGACGTTCATACAGACGGACATGTCCATATAAATTTGTTTGTCACACCCCTATCTGCCGCAGACTTGATATACTTTTTTAATCGCTCGGCACAGGGTATAAAAACGGAAAGAGTAATTTACATTGAGAAAATTCTGACCCATAAATTTGTAATTTCAGCAACTTACACATACATATACATATATTTATTTTGATCTTAGCTTAAAGATTGATATGCTTAAATAGAAAGAAGTGAAATATTTGCTAGATTATAATAGCATATCGTTAAGTACCTTGAAGTTAATTCTACTAGTTAGGCAGCTATCCAGAAATACCAGAAATAACACAGTGTAGTATGTTCTACTAAATATATAAACTAAAAAAAAAAGAAAAGTCATCCCACCTAGGCAGTTTTGTATACAATGTAGAAGCTATACGATTACGTACCTAATTTGTAGATATTTCACAATACAAAGTACAGAAAAAGTTTATACATTTCACAATATTAAAAGCGAAACTTTTCTCTGTAATACTATATACATGTGAAATAATTGATATGAAGACAATTTTTTTTTTAATTTTGTTCCGAAACTGCTTTAGTATTTCGCCTTTCGCCGCGCACATTAATCTCAATACTATGGACAAGGTAAAAATTAATCAATTCTCGCATTTAATGGCAACATATTGCGGAAAATTTAAAAACACCATTGTCTAATTTTGCACATAAACGCCACATGTGTGTTCCAAATTGTTGTACTATACATATAGTATAGTGTATTGAAGAACGTGAATGAGCAGATCGGCTGACGCATAATAATAATTCCACATTGTTGGGGTGTACTCAAGTGTACCTGTTTTTGGCATATACTTGTATTTATATACTATTCTTATAGTATATATTCCTTTTGCTCGTAAATGTTGTACATTCAAAAATTTGCTGCTGTTACGGCCCATTGTTAACAAATGCTGTTGAAGCGTAAATCGAAATGCACACATGCCTTCATATCTATAGTCTCAATATTATTTCAAGTGTGTTTATTATTTATATACATACGAGTACAAGTATATAGTTTCTGAATTTCAACTCTAAACAGTAATTGACTTTCTGTGTGGTATATAATTTAAATTTTTGCATTCGAATCCAAGTGAGATAAGCTATCGAATTTCAATGAATTGGTAAAATATCAATTTATAGATAAGACATACATACATACATACTCTCGTATATGGGAACAAATCAGACAAAATAAACAAAGGCCTACAAAGTTAATTGTGAAATCAGAACAGGCGCGCTGAAGCAATAAAAAGGTGTTGTTATCGGTCGGTCCATTGCCGACCTATATGGGATTTTAAAATTATTTTTTGATAAATATATTTTGTGAACAATGGGATATTTTTTCTATAATAAACGCTTAAGTTACAAAAAGCGATTTGGGTTTCAATTAGAATTAAACACACAAATGTCTTTAAAATGAACTTTGTTTTAAAGTTTTTAGCCAAATGGCGTGCTATTTCGAGAGTGTTTTCAAATTTATGATAAATTTCATTGCACTTCTGCGCCATACATATATTTTTGTAGTGCAAATAAAATATCTGAAATTATCATTATCTAAGAATCTTAGGTTGCCAGAATACGATACACAATTATAGTGCGTAGCTTGCCAAAATATTTATGAGACCATAGCACCATGATTCATACTATAGGAATAGCGAGCCAACAGCAAGGACTATTTGAAAGTTATATGCCTATGAATAGCAAACAAACACATTTATGTTTATATGTAAATATGTACATAACTATGTACATGTATGTATGTGCAGTGCATGCAAGAAGGAAAGGCAAACAACAACAAAATTGGACAGCATAGTCAACTTTCCTTCTAGTCTCTTCGCTTGTCGTCGCTAAAAAGTTGGCAGCGAGCGCTAGATTGTAAATGCTTGAGTGCTTTAGCCACAAGGCAAAGAAAAAATGTACTGACAAGCTGGCAAGCGGATAGATACATGCATAATATATATGTTTATTTCTACAGTGAAGCTTCTGGAAGACAACATCGAATTTGGTTTTATTTGAGAGCTTACAATTTTGCTAAAGAAAACCTAAGCACGAAATATAATCTAATTCATTACAGATATTGAAATATCTATCAAAAGCAATTTGTGTACAACTACAATATTTCTTGGTTAAAATTGTCGATAAAACTCTAAAAATGGCTTCCAATAAAAGATACAAGTTATTACATTCATTTCAAATCATTATATAGTAATGCAACTGTATACATAAATTCTGAAGGAAGATTTCGCACGATTTTAACAGACAATTTGTCAGCAAAAATGTAATCAGCAAATTAAATAATGTATTAAAACGTAAAAAACATTAAGACCGATCAAATTTCTTCAAAATACTCCTTACTAAAAAAGAAATAGATTTTAACGCTTGATTGAAACTATTCAAACTATAATACTATTAAAAACAATTCCAACAGTTTGAAAATTTAAAACTCAATTTATTGCTAAATTGTTTTTCAATTTTAAGCAGCTGACGTAAGGAAAATGAAGACAGCCAACGCTGAATACAAACGTTTTCGAATAAGAAATTAGTCTAGTTATTGATACTTTGTAATTTAATTTAAATTTTGATCAAGCTCGAACAAATTATTAATCTTTTATTTTTAATCGGAGCAGTATATTTGATTAACAAAAGGCTCAAAAAAAAAAACCAAAGACCTGTTATCGATAGTTCGCTTTAGGCAGACCACACTGTAAATATGCAATGCAGTCAAGCTGTGAAGCGAACGCGCAACCACGAAACGGGCCAAAGAAATGTGGGGTTGGTTTTGCCGGCGCCGGGCATCCCACCAAGTCAGACAGACAATATACCGGCTCACGATACACACACACACACACACACGCACACGCAAACACCTACTCACTTGCACATAGACACACACATAGGAGAACATGCACACCTACTCACTCACTCATACACCCACACACAGCATAGCATTAAGACATTAAAAAATTAACAATAATAATAATTAGAAGAACCATAGCGCGCTATGTTTCCAGAACTGGCGGCAACGAGGCTATTATAATAATAATAATAACAACAGCTGCGCACACAACAAACGAACACCTACCTGGTGGACTCGAAGAAATTGGCCTCCCGATTCATCAGCTCGTGACGGAACTTGGCCATCTCCTCCTCCATTTTGCGCATTTCGGAGTCGAAGCGTTCCCGTATGCTGCTAAATTCCGTATCGATGACGCTGAAGTCGCCCAACTTGATGGGAATATTTCTTTTATTTGCCTCGGCCATATTTGTTCTTTTTGTGTTACTTATTCCTTAATTTGCGTTGAAAACAACAATACTGTGTGGGTTAGGGCGATGATTTGGTTTCACGAGCTATATGGTTACAAGCAAAAAATAAACAAACACACGCACACTCGAATTATTATTAATATTTCCTTTGAAGTTTTTAGTTAAATTTAGTTTAGCTTTGGCTATTCTTGTTTTTGTCCGCTTCAGATTTTGTTTGTTCACCTTGAGGTTCGTGCTAATCAGACGAGGAAAAAAAACAACACACAAACACAATAGAATTATGTATGTATGTTTATTCGTTGCTGCTGTGCCTTCGTAGCTTTATTACGCCGCGTTTGAAATTTTCTTGTAGACTCTTTTGCATTTCTGTGTGTTGTCGCTTTTATAGCAGCGCGAGCAGCCAAGCAAGAGAGCGCGAACGGAGAGCACAACGCACATGTGAAGCGTTCTCTTCTGCTCTTCATAATGTGTTTGGTATAGTGTGTGTGTATGTGTGTGTGTGTTTATTTATGCGACGAGTGACGGCAGCAGTGTTGACAATTTGGCCATTTCCCTCTAAATGTAGAGTTTTCAAGTAACTATAAAATTACAGCTAGGGCTTGGAAACTAAGCTGGCTCTCCGTTTACAAGGAAAATAGGAACAAAATAGACTCAAAAGAACCCTTTACAAACTTTTCATTTTTTTATAGCTAAATAAGAAGAATTAGAAGCAAAGTAGATTCAGAACTAAAATCACTTTATAAAACATATTCCGACTAAAGGGAAATTTAAGTAAATTGACAGAAAATATTATCATCAATGGACGCCAGTGCATTCTGAAGAAAAGAACTGGAATCACCTTGGTAGTTGAAGCAGGTAATGTTAATTAAAGACTAAACCCTTATAAAATCTTACAGAATGTTTAAAAATGCTATTTGCAGATCTTGCTTTTTTTAGATTTTATAAGAGAAGGCTTCTAGCTTTTTCTAATACTCTAGATTTGGCAACACTATGTGAGAGAAGTCAAAGGCAGCTATTTACCAATTGTGGTGCTGGCGTTTGAGACCAATTGACGGCATTATGATTATATCCAATAGTTTGGATTCACTCTGTTCAGTTCTCTCCCACTCACTAACTCACTCCTTATACTCTGAGAAGAGATATTCCCATTAGGTGATGAGATTTGTTGCTGCTTATAAAATGATTAATAACACATATGTATGTATATTCCTTCAAGATCCAGGCGGTCATACAGAAAAGTAGACAGATGGACACGGCAAATAGAAGGATTATTAAGCATGAGTGTTAATTTAATTTAATTTTCGAAAAATTCATTGTTATTCCTATCTTAGCTTAAAATCGGAATTTGCACACGTACTCAATAACATAGTAAATTAGCGATCCAAAACAAAAAAACGAATTAGCATCAATTAGTATTAATGCATTTCAAGCATTATTCGAACTCTCGCTTTTCTGGTGTCATATAACATTATGAAGCAAAGAGTATGTATTAATAGATATGATTCCAGAATAAAAGAAACTCAATTTTATAAAATATAAATGTATTCAATAAGCTGTCGATGTTAAACTATTAAGACTTGCGTATTGGAGCAGACCCACATAAGATACGCTTTATTTCAAATTTCGCTAAAATAAGGTAAAATTAAATTCAAAATATTTGCTGTAATATTATTATAGGAATTGTGCTGTTTGTATTTGATTTTGAAATTTTCGGTCTTTTGTTATTATTATTATTTCTCCCCGCTCTTTGTCGGGTAATTCTTAAACAAATATTGGTATCAAAGAGGGGAAACGAATTTCAAAATTAAACGAAAATTATATTTTGTCTAAAATATACATTTGTATACAATATTTTAAATATATACTATGAAAAATGGTTTAAAAATCTTTCGAAAAAGAACCAAACAATATATGACATAAAACAAATCTGCAAATAAAAGAAATCTGCACGTTAAAATTATAATATATGTATATTAATATGAATTTTTCTACTTTAAACTAAATTTAACAAATTTCTAATTTCATAATACCTATAGGCATAAAGTTCTTCTACATATACTTCTATAATTATTTTTAATTTCCGAAAAATCTTAAATGTAGGTCCATTCCTTTTTTTTCAGGGTATTCTAAAGCCAATTTTTTGCGGGGGTAGTCAATAGTTTGTTATATTATTAGTTTTGAATAGTTCCTTGTCTATTGTCAACTCTCCTTCTCTGCTCTCAATTTCCCTCTCTCCGACTCCCACTCACTCAATCACTCTCTCCCTCTCTCTCTCTCACACTGTGTCTCAGTCACACACACTTAACTGCCAACTCAAAGGGATTGAAGTGCAAATTGCGGTTTTGCTTGAAAATGCAGCGAAGAGGGAATGAAAAGAAAAATATAAATAAAAATGAAAACGGTTTAATTAATTACTATACTTCGTCGTGAGTTGAAAGAAACAAGTCGACGTGGGACTGCGGCGTCGCAACTGGTTTAAAATTATTACCTGCCGTAGTAGGCGATATTTTATTATTGTTATTTTTGAATATCGGTGTAAACCAATTGCGTCGTGAATGGCGGCAACGCTGTAACGGTCACCAAGTTTGGTTTTCAAAATTACGCATACGCCGCGTTGGCAATCAGACAAAGCAATTTGCCTTAATACGGCCAATTCGATTGCTGATACACCTTGAAGGCGACAGACAAGTTTTTGTTGTTGTTGTTGTTGGTTGAATTTTGAACAAATATGCATTCGTCACGACGTGTCGTCCCAGAGGCATCAAATAATTATAATTATGTATAAGTAGATACGCCCACGCCAGCGTCAACTGTTTGTCGCCGCTAATGCCTCTGTCCAAACAATGAACACATTTTCAGCGGAATTTTCGACCTTCAAGGCGACAGCGACAGCCAACAACGCTGGCGAAATATTGTACATATACTCGTATATTAAGAAAACAATTTTTCCCAACATTTAATGAGCCGTCGAGAAATTTCGCTACCAGCTCTATATATACATACATACATACATATGTTGAGTGTGTGTGTGCATATTATCATGATTATCTTAACGGTATATTTTATTTTCCTTTTTCACCTTTTTTTTGTGTACACACTGCACAAATCAATCAAATTCTGGCATCAAGTGATCAACATGGTCGGATCATTTATGGACCCAGCATCCAGCTGCTGATCTCTAGTTCTGTTGCGTGGGCCTCTCAAGTTGACGACAGCAGCAAAATATGTCAGCAGAGACGTACTAAGTAGTACATATACATATATAATGTATATGTATATTATTCTTGATTACATCAAAACTGAATTGAAAAACATTGTCATATTTGAATTTGTTGTTTCTGTTTTGTTTTCGAAAGAGAGAGAGACTAAATTCTATAAATAAATTGGCTTGTCATTAAATTATGATTACACACAATACTCTATATAACATTTTAAATATGTGGGCAGTAAATGTTTTGATTGCTCAACGAATAAAAAATAATTATGCCTTTTGTGATTAATAAAAACAAAAAACACAAGAATGTACGTGAATTGCTAGAATATTCAGGTATGTTCCGTTTCCGATTTTGATTTCATTTTACGGAATAGAAATTGTTAGCAGTTTCGATTGAATTATTCGACCTTTACAAGTATAGGAGAGGAAACACAGCAGTTATTAGTATTTTTAAATTAAACAATTTGTTCAGATTTGTCTTCGAATATTTGTATTCAGGCATGCTCTCTTTTTCGATTTTTATTAGATGATAGGGAATTTAAATTTTTAGATGTTCTTGTCTCTACAAATGTTAGCCGTTTCGATCAAGTTATTCAACTTTTCTCAAAGAACGCAGAAAAAATTGTTTTAAGACTCTGAAAAGTATGATATGTATATGTACGTTTTATACATTTCTTTTTAATTTTTTTAGAAATATAAAATGTGAAACATCTTACACTTTAAAAAAATTTCGGTAATAAACTACAAAATTATAACAACAATTTATTATTTTCAAAAATGTATCTAAATTAATTAATGCTTGTACATATTTGAATCAATTATAATTCTACTTTTCCAAAAATTGCATTGCTGGTCTGAGCTTAGCAAAGACACCAACCATGCGTGGCACTATCACTCAGCCAGCATACTATTTTGTCGTTGACGTAAGCTAATTGCTATTTCACATCAGCCTTTGAAATATGTATGCTGGTTGCTAACAAATATGATTCATTCTATATCGTGACTCAGCAAATTGTGTGGGGGTGGTGGACAGAAAAGGAATTTGTAATCGGTAATCCCCGTATTTGAAGGCCAAATGAAAAGGGAAGAGTAGATAATTAAACACGAATTTGATGCGAGAAGAGTGGGAACAAATGGATGCCATACTTAAAACAGGCAAACATATGTATCTTGTATCTTGATCGACTTGCAACACAAATATATGGAGCATCGGATAGAATCAATGTTTTGCACTTTTGGGAAATTCTGTTTTCTATTTAAGAGTAAACTAAATAAAAAGCTGTGAAAATCATCTCTTAGTTGAAAATTACTTAATGATATATGTATCTATATTTATAGGTCTTAGCGTCCGAGCCGCCCGGACTGTCCGTTCGACTGTTCGTCCGTATGAACACCTGGAACTATAATAAGTAGCTAAGGTAACCGAAAAGCCCCATTATTTTATAATATCTGTCATAGGAACGATTGGTTCTAATAACACTAGTTCTATGATAACTTTGTTGTTTTTTTTTGAGATATCTTAGCAACCTTTTATCACATTCGTTTTACTATATCATATAGATATGATAGGAATTATCGGAAGAAAAAACTAATCTTTGTACCCAATACTTTTGTTAAAACTTTATGTTTATAAAGAAAATGAAACCAAGTTACAGTTAGTTCGTTATAATCTGATCTTTTTATCAGAATTGATTCAGTACATATATGTGCATATCATATACAAGTATTTTCCAAAAAATCGAACTATCAAAACTTTCTTGTTCATTGAAAAATTTATGTATGTAGTGTCGTAGGTGTAGATTCTTATGGTCTTTTGGGTCAGGTTCGGGTTTTATGCTTAAATTATAATGATTTTTTCCACTTGTTGTTCCACCGAACGCTCTCTACCATCTCTAAAAGCCTCTATTTTTAGGTATCTCCTAAATCTATGAATAAATCATTCCCAAATCAGAGTTTTTTTGTGCGCAATTTTTCTTCTCTGTATGTTTCGATTATCTGCTAATCTCCATTTATCCTGACAGATGTTGGACACAAGTTTCCTTTTACAGTGAAAGTGAGCACTAAGAAGTTTTGGAAAATTCTAACTCCAAAGGGGGGAATCAGGCTCTAAAGATTCTATGAAAAATCTGCAAGCTGCAGAGTGGCAGTGACGTGAAAAAGGGAATGCCAGATCGTTTATTATTGCTTGATGTTTCCGTCATGTGACATACGAGTTGTGTGGCAACACTGTTTACGAACAATACTTCCAAATTTTGTAGCATCGCAGCAGGCCCTGCGAAGCATCGGAGTAGGCTTTGATTTTTTTTTTGACTACCCGTGGAATAATGAGCTGAAAACATTCATTCACGTCTCATTGGTTTTGTTGTTAACATCGGTCCAGTTCTCATTTTATTTCATTTTTTTTAAAGTTTTTTATTTTGTTTTATATTTATACTGAATGTTTAATTTTATTTATAAATGCTTATTTTATTTAACCCAAATAAGAAAACAAATGGGCTTTGAAAATAATACACGGTTGACTCTTTTGTCATTTAATTTCCTAACAACTATTGTGTTAATTTGTTTAAGCAATTTGTTTTAAATTGTACCTATTTTGTTTATTTTATACAAATTTTGTTTATTTTCTATGGTCTATAAGGTGTCAGCTATTATACGCCATAACTTCCACAAGAAAAATTTATTTTCAAATCAGTTCAGTTTTGTAAATTTTTTCATTTAATTTTTTTAATTTGAAATAGGCTTCAAAAGGTATAGGTTTTTTTTGTTGAAGGACTACAACGACTCGAGCTATGTATATGAAACAAATATTCACACTCTGGTGTTACCTTTTTACCCTTTGGGTACAGGCTATAAAAGGCATAATTCAAACAATTTTAAAAAAATTAAAAATTATATTTAAATATGCGTATTTATACGTATATAAAAATCCTTATAAGCTGGAAAAGCCTACGTAGAAGAAAAATATTCAATTTACACTTATATCTATTAAACGCGTCCACCCCGGTGGGGGAATATTATTTGCCTTCCGTCTAGCTATGGTCCGTTTCACAGCCAAGTCTGGTCGGAGGCGTCAATAGATCTACCAATATAAAAATAAAAACTTAACAACTTAGAAATTTATTAAAAGTTAGTAACTGATAAGATTAGATTAGATTATAAATTCTTGGGGAATTCTCAGGAAAATGACACGACTCCAAAAATCTATTTCCCAGCTAAGAATAGATGTTAGTTTCTTGTTTTCAAAAACCAAATTGCTCTATTATTAATTATTTTTAAGACAATTCCTTTTCACTCTCAAATATGTAACGTCCCGCAGGTTTCAATTGTTGATGGATTCTTCCCAGAAAGCAAATTTCCCAAAAAAGCATTTCTCATCTAATAAGTGATGACAATTGATGAGAATTTTCATTGTTGATGAACTCCTTTTGCGAACAGCCCGAATCCCTCCAGAACTATATTGTCCCGTTAATAATTGATAAGACAATTCCATTTTTTTTCTCATATGCTTTATATGTATAATTGAAACGTGTCAAAATGCTTATTAAAAACAAACTTTTTCTCAATTTGTTAATTACATTATCATCATTATTTTTTTTATCAATATTATTATTATCGTTATATAGCGATTAATGGAAATATAAAATTATAGTTATATATACTGCACATTTCTAATTACATATGCTACAAGGATCTCTAAAATCAAAAAAAAAAAAAACATTGCCAATTCGACGAACAACCGCCAAATTGTTAATAACTTTTAATCATACTTGAGAGCAAGGCTCCACAGACAAGGACATTCTATATATATACTATATATATATATATGTGTGTGTATATATACCTAAATAAATATATATATATTTATGTATGTATATACGGGGTGTTTGTTTGTGTGTGTTTCTATTTTATTTAAGCTTTTTGTTTGCAACTTAATTGTTGTTTATATTTTCTTTCTTTCAACAAAATTACACAGATTCACTTAAGCGCTAGAATTCTTCCTCACTCTACCGATTAAACAATTGAACTTAAATTAAAATTAGGAAAAAGAGAAGCATTCTGAACAATTATAATATAAATACGATATATTATAAATCTATGTATGTATGTATGTGTGGGGGCGTGTGTGTGGCTCTACATAATAAAATGTTCAAAAAAAAAAAAAAATGAGCATAAAATACAAATTTAAAAAAAAAAACGGGCCTTTAGAGTAAACTCAAACGCGAAATAATAATCATAATATTAATAATAATATTTAAACAGCAGAAATTTTGTTCTTCAGAACTGAGGATACAAAGCGAATTGTTAACACGTTAATGCTGTTAACAAATTATAATAATAATTCTAATGATAATAAATGTTGAATACCTAATTTAAGAATATTTTACATTTCGCTTACACATGTAATGTTTTTTGTTGTTTGTTTGTTTGTTTGTTACTTTCTTTCTTTTTTTTTACAACTAATTTGCCCCACAATTTCACGCCCCATTGGCGTTTATTTACATTAGGCATTCGTCTACGTTGTTTTTGTTTTTGTTGTTGTGGTTGTTATTGTTCATATTCCACCGCTTCGTCTTCTTCTTCTTCGCTTCTACTCCTTATTGTTTTTCAGTTTAGTTGCTAATTTATGATCTATTTTGGGGTCCCTTTTAGACGACGACGCAAATATTGGAAATTTACGAGAACGTTTAATTAAATATTGTATTGGTTTTTTTTTACTGTTGTTGTTGTTGTTTTTGATGACATCACAGACATGTTGCGTGTTGTTGTTGCTGCCATTGCTGCTGTTGTTGTTGCCGCTGCTGGTGCTGCTTCGAACGTGGCACACGCTCAGTTCCACAACAGTAAACGTTAACTCTTTGTGCTCTCCAGCTGTTGCTGCTTCCGATCCCACCAGTCCTGTATGCTGTGCACCATTTGGTGTCTGCGAAATCTCATTGACTCCTCAATGCACATCTCAATGAAGTCGCTCTTCATCTCGTGATCGCCCTTTATCAGATTCAGGTGGTCCAGCAATTGGCTATAGTCCCGCCCAGGTCGGCGTATATCACGAAAGATTTGTAAACGCAAATTAATGTTGTGTTTGCGCGCCAATTCGCGTTGTTCTTCGGTAAGTGTGTTGTGGATGAGTGTCGCAGAATCGCCATTGTTGTTGGTGTTGCTGCTGCTGTTGTTGTTATTATTATTGTTGTTGTTGTTGCTACTGCTGCTGATGCTGCTACTGCCGCTGCTGAAACTGCTACTGCCGCTGCTCATGCTGCTACTGTTGATGCTGCTGCTGTTGTTGCTGTAAGTGGGCGCTGTTTTGGCATCGAGGGCTTTAAGGCAGTTATTGCTGTTGTTGTTGGTGGCGTTGTTCATGCTTGTTGTGGTTTGGTGGCTATTGTTATTGTGATGATTATTGCTGCCGCTAATGTTGTTGTTGTTGTTATTGTGCTGCATGGCACTCGCCCAATAGAAATGCGGCGTTGTTATCGCCGCCGTTTTGCCCATCTCCCGTTTGAGGCTATCAAAACTATTGCTGCTGCCCAACAATTCGCTATCGCCGGCCAGACTTGAACTAGCCCCAACACTATCACCATTCAGTGAGGAGTTGCCCGAAGATCCGTTGCCATTGTGACAGGTCTGTAGTATGCGTGAAATCTCCGAAGCATCATTAATGTCATTGTGGCTGTAATAAGTTGTAGAATTGGAGATGCTGCTGCTACTGCCAATGTTGCTGCTGCTGCTACTGCTGCTGCTACTTGTTGCGGCATTGCTGCCAGCAGCTAGTGACGAATTTGTCGCGACTGAGGCTGCAGACGTTGTGCTTTGTATGGCTGTTGTAGCAGGTGGGGATAATAAGCTGTTGGTTGCATGCTGCAGATGTTGCAGATGCGCATGATGGCTATATCCATTGGCCAGACTCAGGTGGCCCGTTTTGGTAATGCCATCCGTGTTTATGTTGCTGCTGCTGTATGCAGCATGATGTGTGGTCAGTCCATTGAGTGGTAAATAAAACACACCACTGGTGCTACTGCTGCTGCTGCTGCTATTGTGGTTAATGTTGCCGCTGACGCCTAACGTTGTTGTTGCTGCATTGGCCGCGAGGGCGCAGTTCTCTGAGCTGCTGCCATTGCTTGCATTTGTACTAACTGACGTCATTAGGTTGTTGGGCGTTAGAAGATTTGCGCTGCCGCTGCCTGTTAGTGCTGCTGTTGCTGCCGCCGCCGGCGTGCCAGCAACTGCTGTTGTTACTGTTGTGGCGCCATTCGCTGTTGACGCATCAGCATCAGCGATGACACTATCCTCACTGATGCCATTGATGAAGTTGTGAACATAGCCGTTGAGTGCGGTTTCCTGCTCGCTAGACTCCTCCTCGTTGAAGTCAAAGCTGATGCCGGCCATTCGGTTGGTTGTGTGCATCGACATGCCCGAATCGCTGGATGCGTCCGAACAAACGGATGAGGCATAGGAGCTGTTGCTGTCCTCATCGTAGGTTGCGGGGCTGGACGTGTCGGCGCCTTCGGCGCTGCTTGTGCTTAGCGCGCTCGAGGAACGTGCGGAGTCTGTGGACAGGCGTCGGAATTCAAAGGCACGTGGTAATGGTCCCGCTTTACGTTTGCGCCCCCGTGAGGCGCCATCCAATTTCTTGAGGCCGAGACCGCCGCCGCCGCTGCTGCCGCCCGGGGAGCCCAGCATTAGGCCGGACATGCCGCTCGGTCCGGCACCCAGACCTGACATGACACCACCACCGCCGCCACCTCCTCCTCCACCTCCACCACCACCGGGTCCTGCTGCGCCCGAAGAACCGCCACTGCCGTTCGGCGACTTCATGGGCGCGACATCACTCAGATCAGCCTCATCCACCATCACCATATGCTTATCCTTCTTGTACGGATTGCCAAACATATGTTGTCGAACATTTGTGGGTTCGATTTCGCGCAACGGATTGTCCTTGTTCTTCAAATACTCCTGATAGTTGCCCATTTCGGCAATGGGCAGACAATGGCCCGAATCTTTGGCCACCGCTGTGGCTGGTCGCAAAAATGTATCACGCATGCGTGCAATTTCCTCCACAAGATCGCGTCGCGGTATATCGAAGGGATTGCGATACGTTTTCGCTGATGATTGATGTGTCAGCTGTGGCACCACAATCGTATAATTCTCCAACGGTTCAATCTCTGAATGCAGTTTGGCAAATGTGTCACGCAGCAACGGATGCCGCACCAGATCGCGACGCAGCGAGGAGCCCGGACATAGCTTGGCCGTCTCCACTTGCCGATAGGGCGGCTTCGGTTGCTTCAATTGCTTGTAGACCTTCATGCAGAGGTTCTCCTGATCCTGCTTGGCCGTATTCTTAATGTGCTTCAACTGATTGGCAATGGTGGGCGACAAATAGTTATCGACATTCTCGGGTAACAGGAATTGCAGCAATTGGTACGGCACATTAATGTTGACCAGCGCTTTCCGCAAGAATGGACAATAATAGGGTGGGATGGAGCGGACATACGCGTTGAATTTGTACATCAAATCGTTTGGCGGACTCATATTATATTTGTGTATGAGGTCGTGAAGCAGCGGCAGCAGTGCTGGATAATTATAGGCGAGCACATACAGATGGACTTGCGTGAAATTGGGAGCTGCCTTCAGGTACCCAAAGGGCAGTTCGAACCCGTGCATGCCATTCGTAACGATGACCTGCCAGCATTTGTTCATCTCGCGTTTGTTGAGAATTTGCAGTGTTAGGGGACATGCTTCTATCTCGTATTTATCGACAGGGAAGCTACGCACCAATTGCGGTTCATCGACGGCCGGCGTGAGGATTTTGAGCTTAGGATGTGCATCGCGGGGCGGTAATGTGATGGCCTTCGAGTCCGGCCAATAGGGTTCTGGCAACGGCCAATACCCAATGGGAAAGGTCTTCTGCGTTATATGCTTTTGCACATAAATCATCTTCTTGATCGGTTGGAAGACAATGTCGGGCACGGCATCGCTGCTGGAGCTACTGCCGCCACTCCCTGTTGCTACGCCATCCTTTGGCAGCAACGGCTCGAACTGCAGCACCACACCCGGCTGGACCTTTTGTACCAAACTCTCGATGCATTGGTTTAGCACGTAGTGGGATCGGACACGGTATGAACGTCCGCCCGTCACCTCACACATACGCTCTATGGGCGAATCATCGTGGGGCACCTTACCCTCGACGCGTTCATCAATTTTATTGCCCGGCATGCGCAGCACCAGCGAGAACAGACGCTGATCCCATCGGAAGGGCTCTTTGGTGAACTTGGTGCCCGGTATTTGATTACTGAGCGGCAGTATGATCTCCTGATGGACGCCATTTCGGTACGAGTAGCGACCGCCATCCGTAATTACAATAATAACCGACGGTTCCAAATAGAATGGACAACGTCCCTGTCCGTATGTATCAATCCCCGATTGCATACGATTCAAATTTAATAGATCGAAAGCATTGCGCAGTGATTCGCCCATTGAGGTTAGACCATGACTCTGCAGATTCTTAAGCTCATTCATGAACGTAGCATGATTCTCCTTCCAACCAGCCTTCACATTTGCTGGCGGCTCCTCAAACGTTAACAGCATATAACGATCCCCTAAACAGTCCTGTGTACGCTGTCTATATTTAAGGAACGTCTCCACAGCACCTTTAGCAATATCTAAATAGGTTTTTTGCACTCCATTCACATACGCCTTCTGGCACATGGACGATGACGTGTCCACCAGAAAGAGTATAATTGTCATGGCGGCCTAGACGGCGAGTTAATTCTTGAAAATCTTCTGGCAAGTCGTCTTCCTTCAATTCACTAGCAAGATGATCGAAATAGGTAAATGATTATCCATTCCATTTGTAGAGAGATAGAGATGGATGAAGAACGAGCGAGCAAAAACAAAAGAAAGAGAAGGAAATAGTTTTAACAATCAATTCTTAATCTTTAAAATAATATGTTTACCTTTATGTTGCCAATAAAGCCTTGTCTTCCAGACTTCTCGCCAATGTTTTAGAGTAGCAGGCTAAGAGGGTTTTTATTTTATTTAACAAGAAGACTTAAGTTCAAGACGCTATCTAGTCTTCTCTGTTGAAATTAATTTCTTATAATAATTTGTTTATTGTTTTATCTGTCCCACACTCTTGATGAGGCACATACATATATATAATTATATATATATATACGCTTTCTATCCCGTCGTTCGTTCGACCGCTAGCAATAGTATAGTCTCGGGCAAATGGCTCTTTTTCTTCGTTTCCCTAGGCCACTTTTTAAATACATGTTCCGAGTTACAATAGCTGACATTGGGATTGAAGACAACGATCTGGAAAAAGGTTGAAAAATGTTAGAAATTAGCATAAAATTGATTTCTCTTTCGTCTGATTTAAACGTTCTTCATCGACATAGCTGGCACATAAATATGGACCTATAGTTAGCCATTATCATATCATTATCGTTCTATGTTAATAGTTGGTGATTAATTTTAAAGACTCTCCCACAATTGAACCATGATTACAAATTTATGAAAAAACCAATATAAGACTTATTATAGGACTGACTTTAGCTTCTTGTATACCTTTTCTCCCTTCCAAGTTACGCACTAAGCCCCAAAACATTTCATAAATTTGTCTTTCGCAAGAACTTAAAGTGGTTCAACAAAATGTTCACACAATTTATTACGTGTGGGGAAATATTTAACAAGAAGGTATAAATAGAGGGTCAGGGGACTCTATATCGCTGCTACATCAACAATTACTATCAATTAGCACTATTTCTATTACAACTGAATGATATTGAATTTCAACAATTTCAAAGCTACTTTGATTTGCAAAATGTTATAAATTGTTCTATGTTTCCATAATTTGTCCTTAAAAAGTTTAACATTATATAGTGATTTTTATAGTTAGAAGTTCAGCAAAAGTTAAAGCAATTATTGAGGTGTATCAAAAAAGCAGATTTTTTTCAATATCTCGACCCCAGCTTCATTTCGGAGTTTGTATGACTTCAACGATCAAGGAGAGAGCTTTTGACAGCAGCAGTCGAGAAAATTTTTTACAATATTGTTTGCGTATTCATCTCTAAACTCTTCAGTCACGTTATCGTTTTTTTTTTTTAATTACATAATTTATTCCAAAAATATTATTTAAAATTCTTCCTACACTTAAAAATTAAAATATAATTTTTTTAGAAACCCGTTTTTCCTAAATTTGAACATTGTTATATGAAATTTATTATTCCTTCTTTTAGATAAATTATATTTTCTTCTAAATAAGAAAAATTAATATCGTATCTTTATAAATACAAAATAAATACATAAATGAATACGCTCTCTTTTATTTGCAACAATACTTCCACTCTCTGTATATTTGCTTTCTTTCAGGAACCCCTATAGATTATTTTTGGATTAGTCAGATATTTATCAAGTTCAGTTGGAGTTCGCTATAAGGGGCGTGTATTGTACAATTCTATTGACACGGGCATGTTATCAACAATTCTTCAATCGGTTCACAGCGTGTTGCGCATACGCACGATGTGCTCATTAATTGTTATTGTTGTTGCTCCATTGCCTATTTTGCAACTCGTTAAGCGCAAAAGATGAAATACAAAACAAAAGGGTTTGCATGCATCTGTGTGCGTGTGTGTGTGTACATAGCTGTATATCGTCGTATCACTGATAATGCACGGCACGCTCGAACACACACACGCACGTACAAATACAGGCGCACTTATTTTTTGACAATAAATGTGCTAATTTAGTTGAAGTCAGAATGTCGAGCTACTTAGCTGTATCGTCTCTCTCTCTCTCTCTCTCCACTCTCGCTCGCTCTCTTACTCTGTATCTTTCGCTGTCTCTGGCCGACCCCAAAGCAAATAAATTAACAAGCTATTGCCATTGTAGAGGCTCTGTGAAAAGCGCGCACAATGTTTGACACAAATTCCTACACTAGCCGCTTTCCATTTCCACAAAACATAAAGATGCGATGCAACCATCTCGCTGACATAAATAGTATGCATATGTATGTAAACATGTGTGTATGTATGCCACTGCATGAGATAATAATGTGCGTACATAGGTTATTGAACTGAACTTCTGAACTCTCAACTCAACTATGCATATACGAGGAGACTTATATTGTCATATGCACTTGAAAAACATCTTCAGTTGAAACCCAAATACTTGGCGCCATCAGAAAATTTCGTTGTAGTCATTAACAAGTGTGGCAACACTGAAAACGACAACAAAAACAACTAAACGAAAACAAACCAGAAGAAATAGAGTTGTTGGCAACATTATTATGCGATTGGTAGTATTCCAGCAAGTGTAAAAAATAATAAATAATTTAAATATTATAATGGGAGAAAGCATTATTTGCTTATTTAAACATGAGAGAACGCTACAGTCGAGCAAGGCCAACAGTGAAATACCCTGTACCCAGACAAACTTCCGCCACTGAGTTATATGCGCTCCTAGTAGAAGCAAAAAGCAGAAGAATGAACTTGATGCTGCAGCATGTGGCATAGTACCGGAGTGAAATTGTTTCGCTAATAACTTTTCTTAGAATTAACCGATTTAGATGAAATGTAGACGGTATTGACGAAATTCTGAAGCGGGGGAAAGGGGGGAAAATTCAAAAATAAAAATGTTCGGTTAATGTGCGCTCAACCGTTTCCGAAATCCAGGCGTTCATCCACACGGACGGACGTCATGCTGATTCAGAATATACAGTTGTGCTCAAAATAATAGTAGTGATATTTTTCACTACGTTCTACCGTTCGTATTTTTGTGTTTCCTTTCATTTTTAATCCTTTCTTTCTACCTATGTGATCTACAACAAGAGCACAATAAAATGACGCTTTACTTTAGCTTTTTGTGCACTTGTTGTTGTTGTTATTTGCATTTTCCACAGCTAGTCCCTATTCTACGCGCTCAAAATAATAGTAGTGCTTGCACAAACATTCCAAAAATATTAAGTGTGTCGCTCCTTAAGCTCACGAAAAGTTGCTAATAGTAAGTTCTATTATTTTTTAATAGTTTACAATAGTTTCCAATACACATTTTAGTTTGTTTTTTTTTTCTGAAATGGGTAGAGCCAAGCACTGCGCTCCTGAACGACGTGCACTCATTCAAAAATTGATATCTGAGGGAAAAACTTACAATGAAGTCCAAAATATAGTAGGTTGTCCTCCTACAACGGTGTGTAATGGTATAAAATTTATCTCAGGCCCCTAAGCACGTGGAAGACCTCGCGCTATGTCAGATAAATTGGCGACCCTTGTAGTGAGATACTTTAGGCAGAACCCATTTGCGAGCTCTACCGATATAAGAGATGAATTAAATCTCCATACTAGTACACAAATAATACGGAGATGCCTACTGCAAAATAATATGGCAGCTCGGAGTCCAAGGAAAGTGCCCCTTCTCACAAAAAAACATCTGGCAAGACGAATTAAATTTGCACAAGACCACATTGATTGGCCAGTGCAGTACTGGAGAAACATTTTGTGGTCAGATGAATCGAAAATCACGCTTTATGGTGGAACTGGGTCTCGTCAGTATGTTAGGCGGCCACCAAACACTGAATGCACCCTCGATTCACCACGAAAACCGTAAAACACGGAGGAGCTCGTATTATGATATGAGCCAGTTTTTTATATTACGGCACGGGGCCTTATATTGGCTCCGGAATGTCATGGATCGCCACCTTCATGTGCATATAATGCAGAATATTATGCTGCCATATGCCATTGATGAAATGCCACTGATTTGGGTATTCCAGCGGGATAATGATCCGAAGCACACAAGTAATGTTGCCAAACAATGGTTTCAAACTAACAGGATCAATGTACTAGAATGGCCGGCACAGTCTCCAGATCTCAACCCGATTGAGAATTTATGGTACGATGTAAAGAAGGAAGTTGCCAAGAGTAAACCAACTAATTTTGAATAGGTTTGGGGACCAGCTAGACATGCTTGGAGCTTCATTCCTTCTCAAAGATGTCACAATTCCGTGGACTCCATGCCAAAGCGATGTGCTGTAGTTCTTGCACACGATGGCTATGCTACAAAATACTAATATTATTTAGAAAGTCCTAATATGAGTAATTAAAATAATAACCGTATTATTTGGATCAGTTGGGACAAGTAAGAGGCCAACAAATGAAACACTACTATTATTTTGAGCGACCAAATTAATGAAGTTTTGGAAAAAAAATTATTTAAATTGTTATATGACCAGAATTTGTTATTATTTCTTTATAATTTACTTGTTAATATACTATACTTAACAATACAAATTATTTTAAGTTCATTAAATCACCATTTCATACATTTTTTGAACGAACTAAATTTTTATGAAAGCACTACTATTATTTTGAGCACAGCTGTATATACTTTATGGGGACGGAGATGCTTCATTCTGCCTATTACATACTTTGCACAAACCTAATATACCCTTTTTACATTACGGGTACAAGGTATAATAAGATTAAATTAATACGAGGTGTCTAAATTTATTCCCATTGATCAATTTCAGAATTCCTTCTTTCTCTGGTCAGCAGATTCAAGATAGGCTCCTGAGAACAAGAGAAATCCCAACTAGGCTAGTCACTCGCAGAAATACTGTTGGATCATTTTAATTTTAAAACGTTCACGAGCCAAAGATCACTGTAAAAGGCTTACAAAATAGAATATTATTGAATGAAATATATCGTAGTGATATTAACCTGAAATTAATATCGAAAATTCTATCATTTTTTCAGGTTTTACTGTTAAAATAACAACTTTTCACATGTTTTTAGGATTTGATTTTAACATAAAACTCATAATTATTGAATGCAAACCGCAAAAATGTACATATTTTTGTTAAAGTTAAATTTGTTTCAACATTTTGTGTGATGATCTCTCTAGCAATCTAAACTAAATAATCAATTTCTAAAATTTCCGCAGATTTGTTTACATTGCAGGTTGTAGGCAGTAATCAGGAATACTCTATGTATGGCTGCGCGGTTGTATAAAAGATCTATGATCAGCTGTTTGGACAAATCTAAATTACCAATCTAAACAATTTCAAGAATACCACTACAACTAAAATTTAAGTAAACACTTGGCTTCTTGTTTACACAAATTTAATGGCGCATGGCAGTCAATGCGAACATTTCAACTTCGAATTGCTACATTAGTATGTGTATTTATAGAGCATGAAATTGAAGTTGGGAGCAACAAATAGACAATCTGGCGAAAATTGTGCAACATGCATCCAAGCCCCGTTATCTATTCGCAGCTGATGGCAAATATACGCAGAGTTGCCACAGCAGTCGATGATAAGTGATGATGTTGTTGCTTTTGCCGCTGACAACGCAATCGGCCGGTTTTTGTTGATATTGAATTAACGGTAAAAATAACACTGGTTGCACGCATTTTCATTAATGCTAATTTTAATTAGCCGAACGAGTACAAATTTAAGACAACATTAACATATAAAACAACAATACTATATTGCAGCTGATTTGCGTACGTGTACGTGAACGCTCGCTTGAGGGTGTGTGTTCGTATGCGTGTGCGTGTGTGTGTGTGAAAATGGTGTTGTTTCAAAATTTAACGCACAAGTGAGCGTATTACAAACAAATTGGAATTGCTCATAACAATAATATACCACCAGCAACAATTAACAATGGAAACAACAACGCCAGCAACATACATACAGGCCGAGACGCACCAGTTCGTCTAGAGTATAAGCGATGGTAAGACAGTAGAAGGTATGGCATTAACGCTACAGCTTTTACACTCTCACTGCGCAGAAACGTCATAATAATGTGCTTTCTATAAGCCACATATGAATGAAAGATCGCGCGTTAAATTTACCCGCTCCGTGTTTTCTATTGCATTTGACATATAATTTTTTGAAACTCTGCCTACAAGCACCAAATTACAAGTTACACTATTAAGTTACCACGTAATCATTATTTGACGTCACAAGAAGAGTATATCCAATAACGGACCTTTCGCAATGCCATACCTTCTACCAATTTATACCAGCTTATATACGTCATTATCGTGACGGAGGCTTACGTTGCGCGCACATCACACGAGCGCCAATACGAAACGCACGCACGCACACGCACGCACACACACACACACACACCTTTAACACACATTCAACACACTCTGCTCGCATACACACACACACGCTGCGCTTCTTTTGAAACAGCATCACATAGCGCGCATGTAGCACAAGCGACGAGTACGAGTTTAACAAGAGAGAATATTAAGAGTAAAGCAAGCCCGACCACGAAATACCCTTTGCTCAAAATAAAACTCTGCCGTTGTTTTATATTCGGCTTAGCACAACCGCAAAATTTGCTCACTGATAACTTTTCTTTAGTATTAACCGATATTAACGAGATTTGAAAAATAAAAGAATAACTTATAAATTATATATGCAGCTTGGGAATTCTGAACTGTATCGTCAGAAATTTGTAGCGAGGGAAAATAAACTCAAACTCGTATTGCCTATGAATACGATAAGTCTTTATACCAAGATTGGTCAAACGGGCTTTTGGAATCATAGTTTTCATCCAAACAGACAGACATGTCTAGATCGATTTGTTTCATCGAGATCTTATCGTATCGGAGATGTTTCCTCCTTCTATGTTACATATATTTGCACAAACCTAATATACTCTTTTTACCCTTTGGGTAGAGGGTATAGAAAGCCTTCGCCGCTGCAACAGAGAGTAGGCTACATAATTAGCAAAATGAAATTGCATTGAAATCCAAAATTTCCCCTTAGTTTTTGATTTAGTGTTTTGGGGGAGGTGGATTGCTCCAATTCAGTTCTTGAGCGTTTGTTACATTCTTCTTTAACTTTTACTGCGCCACGGCTCAGTCATTTTGAACGATTTTTTTTATTCTGTTATATTTTTACTTTGTGCCAACAAAAAAAATTTATCACCACCGCGCTCTCTCACTCGCGCACTGATGGCCCACACTCAGAGAGTAGATGTATTAAGGTGCATAGCATACACTAACAGTACACGCACACTGGCTCACTCACACACCTACACACACATTGAGAGCCAACGCACATTCGCTCTCTGTCGCTCGGTCGCTCACCATCTGACTAGACTGTCGAGTCCGCCTGGTGACGATGACAACAACGATGGCGACAACGGCGATGAGACGAACCGACACAACGACCGAGAGTCACGAGTATGTATGTATGTGTATATGTTTACTTGTAGTATCTCAAAAGAAGAAGCAGCAGCAGCAGCGGGTAAGTTTGTTTCAACAAACGCACACTCTCAAATATACACACATATAAAACACCACACAGTGGCGCCGTTCACTGTCACTGCCGTTGTATTGCTTTTGGTACTTAATTCCTTCATCCACCAACCAACCTCTCTATTCAAAAGTAAAAAACTAACTGAGAGACTACGCCACGGTTTACCGAAAATTTCTGTTGCTGTTGCTTTGATTATGACGGCGGCGCCCCAAGCACTGTCGGTCCACAGATGGCGCTACTGTACCGCTCAGCTGTTGATAAGCATATGCAATAACTATTTGATAAGCCATTTAAAATTATTTATATAATTTAACAATTATAAACTAACAAATAGAATGCCATTTAGCTGGCGCGTAGCCAAATTTGCAGTGTGTCAACATTAAATGACAGCTGCTCGACTACCATAATAGACCAGGGTTGCCAGCTGGTATATAAAACTTAGAGTAGTATTTTTGGCTCGTTAATCGAGGAATAAGCAACATTAGGTTTTAACCACAGAATTTAAATTTCATCATGGGTGCAAATTAAAGTTGTTAAGCTGATCAACAGGCGCCATTAAGTTGAATTCTAGTTGGGGGAAAAGTGCAAGAGCAAACACTAACCGGAATAGGGTCGTCGACAACACACGTTTATTTGGCGCGAAAAACGCAAAAGTCGTAGACAAATAGATTCGGAAACGGAGGACAGACCATGCCAGAAACGATAATTGCCGGCATTCCGGTGCAGTTTCCCTTCGAGCCATATGAGGTGCAGCGTGCCTATATGGAGAAGGTGATAATTTGCCTGCGTGATGGTACAAATGGCGTTCTGGAGTCGCCTACCGGCACCGGCAAGACTTTGAGTCTCCTCTGCTCTTCGCTGGCGTGGATAAGAACACGCCAATCGGATATGCAACAGCAAATGACAAAAATGAAGGAGTCACAAAGGGGACAGTTTCCTGAGGACATGCAGGCACCCGGCCTGGGCGCCATTAACAAGGTAAACAATTGGGGTGTTCCCAGAATCATCTACGCCTCACGCACGCACTCCCAACTCACGCAAGCCATGCGTGAATTGAAGCGCACAGCATATGCCAATATGCGATCTGTGGTACTTGGGTCCCGTGACCAGCTCTGCATTCATCCGGAGGTTATGAAGGAGCAGGGAAATTCAAATAAGGTCAGCATGTGTAAATTGCGAGTGCAATCCAAGACGTGCTCGTTTCATCTACGCGTGGAATCGAAGAAAGATCATCCAGACTTCTGCGGCCCCAGCATTATGGACATTGAAGATTTGGTTAAGGTAGGCCAAAGCCTCAAGATGTGCCCATACTTTGCTTCCAAGGAGCTGGTCGGCCAGGCGGACATCACGTTTATGCCATACAATTATCTGCTAGATCCAAAAGCTCGAAAGGCCAACAAAGTGGAGCTAGGCAACACAATCGTCATACTGGACGAGGCACATAACATTGAGAAAATCTGTGAGGAGTCAGCATCGGTACAGATACGGTCCTCAGATGTGGCTCTGGCCATTGAGGATGTAACGCACATTATGAAACTATTCAGCAGTAGCGATTCTCAAGAATCTTCCGGAGGCGATGAGCCAAAAGACTTCAGTATGGATGACTTGGCGCTGCTCAAAGAGATGCTCTTCGATCTGGAGCAAGCTATCGATGCTGTGCAAGTGGAGAATAGACAAGAGGGCACCACCTATCCGGCAAACTACATTTACACACTGCTGGGCAAAGCCAATGTGAGTACACTCTAATTTATTTGAGAAATTTCAAAATAAACGATATATTGGTCCGATTCCAGTTAAACTGCAGAATATGATGTGTGGGCATTTATTTATGTAACTGGTTAAAAAATTAGTTTGCAAAATTGAAGTTAAGTTTTGCAGCGAATGTTCCCATGGCAGCTATATGATGTAGTGTTCCGATTTCGAAAAAACTCCAGAATATAGTTGTAGTAAAACATCTTAAATAATTCAATTGGTGAAGATATCTTAATAAATACTCGAATTATGCTACTAACAGCTATTTTTGAAGTGATCGTTGTAAGCTCTATGTTATGAGAGATATGTAGATAAGTACTTGAAAAGTTCTTGACGTGCTTAAAGACGGACGAGCAGATAGCAGACATGACTATATATTAAGAATTTGTAATTGCGATAGAAAATATTAATTTTTGAATTGCTTCCAATTTCTATAGTTCACACACTCGAATTGTGCAACGATCGTGTCGCTACTGGATAAGCTGGTGCAGTACCTCATGGTGGCTTCGCAGAATACGATGCTGCGTAAGGGTGGAAGTTTTATGGTGCTCAGCGATCTCTTAAACATTGTGTTTGCGAATAAGGAGGATGTCATGGCGAAGGTGTATCGTAGCTTTAAGGTGCACGTAGTTCTCGAAGAAACTAAACAGACCACAACACGGGAGACGGCCACCAACAAACAAGGATGGCTGGGGAAGGGTAACACAACAACGACTACGAAGATGGCCAAAGTTATTAACTTCTGGTGCTTCAATCCAGGCTTTGGGTGAGTTCAAATTCATCGTCCAATTGACATTAATAATGAAATATAGTTGAGTATTGTTGCAAAAAATGAATCCCGTCTGTTCCCCTTTACGATTTCGATTAGGTCGAAATAAATATGAAATTAAGTTCGCTTGAGCTTTCGCCAAATCGATTTCAATATGTTTTCAATAAGTAGTAGTTATTTGCAAAAAAATATAGAAGCATTGATAATTAGTTTCGAAAACTTATGGTCTGAAAATGTATAGCTGTGAATACTTTCGTGTTTTGTGACAAAATTACTTAAATTAAGTTACTCAATTGAGTTCTTTTACTTTTTGATTTATTAGAATGGCTTTTTGTTTCAAATATTTGGCAAACCGCTTGGGAATATTATTAATTTCGTAATCAAAGTGAAGAACTACAGTAATTTCGAAGCATTTTGAAATAATTTTTTTTTCTTGTCGACACAAAACTTTGTGATTCATTAATGTTTGGCTTAGCCCCAATATATATTGAGAAAAGCCAAGACAAAATTAAAGCAGCTATTGGTTGCTATTTTTAATCGCTCTCTATAAAAATCGTAAAGTTTATCTAAATAATATTATTCAATCAAATGTAGCTTTAATAGCTTCAGGCGTAATCGTTTAAGTGCTTTGCATGAGAAGCGTAGAGGTGGGTTACAATTCAGGTGAATTCCTATAAACCAATTTATAAAATTAAAACAGCTATTGGTGCTTCAATTTTTGATTATTCTTTTTTAGGTGCTTCGTTAATATGTTTAAAATTTAATTGTTTAAATAGGCTTAAATAAATAATATAATTAAATCAACTATTAAAGCTTCAGGTGTCATCGGTTAAGTGGTTCGCATGGGAAGCGTAGGCTGTGATTTTATTTATTTCGTACATTTTAGCTTAGAGATTTATTGACAGGAGATATTGAATAGAGTCCATAGATCAAGCAAACCTACATAGCAAGTTTGATGTATACTATATCACATATGACCTTACAGCATGGAACAACTGCTCAATACGCAGGTTCGCAGCGTCATACTCACCAGTGGTACATTGGCGCCACTGAAGCCGCTCATTGCTGAGCTGGCCATACCCGTTGCACACTACCTAGAGAATCCACACATTGTTAACCAGTCACAGGTGTATGTGAAGATCATCGGCACAGGACCTGATCGCGAGCAACTAATATCGAACTACAAGAATCGGTAGGATGCAGTTACCTCATGTCTGATAAATGAACTAACATTGATCTTCTAATTACCTCACTCCCCACTCTTAGTGATAATCCGAAATACATACGCTCTCTGGGTCAGACGGTTCTCAACGTATCACGGATCGTGCCTGATGGTTTGCTTGTGTTCTTTCCCTCCTACCCTATGTTGAATCAATGCGTTGATTCGTGGCAGGCAAGCGGTCTCTGGGGCGATATTTCCCGGCATAAGCCAATTTTTCTAGAGCCACGCGGCAAAGACCAGTTTCTTAGCACCATGGAGGAGTTCTATCAAGCGATACGCGACTCAAGGGGTGCCTGTTTTATGGCCGTATGTCGCGGCAAAGTGTCGGAGGGTCTTGATTTTGCCGATCGCAATGGACGTGCCGTCATCATAACTGGCCTGCCATTTCCCCCACTAAAGGATCCCAAAGTGATACTAAAGAAGCGCTATCTGGAAGACAATCGCACCAGAGAGAACCAATTGCTTAGCGGCCAGGAATGGTACAATTTGGACGCGACACGCGCCGTCAATCAGGCCATCGGCCGTGTGATACGTCATCGTAACGACTACGGCGCAATTCTACTTTGTGATTCTCGATTCCAAGATAACTCTCAGGTGCAACAGTTGTCCAAATGGATACGCGGACATTTGGGTGCCCAACCACGTAGTTCGGCCTTCGGACCAGTTGTGCGCGAGCTCATTCAATTCTTTAGAAACGCCAAAGCGACGGTAAGTTTCCTAAAGGTTTCTTAAAGGGGAAATGGTATTTAGCTTCAAATTATGGTAAATATAGGTCTCTCTGTGTGAATCTTATATAGTCTTATTATCTTACAATTGTAGCTGTCATAGGAGTTATCGGTGCCAAACCTACATTTAGTGAAATAACATTTTTGTTTGTATTTATGGGACTTAAAATTATAAAGTTTCAAATCGGGTCCCTAAATAGGTATTATTATTTTTTAGCAATATAGTGTCCAAATGTAGTATGTCTCTTATATGAATGAACAGTTTAATATTGTATATGTATTGTATAGTCATTATTTCAGAAATTTTATATAAACCAATATTATATGAACCAATCCTCTATTCGACTTAACCTTTAATTCTCATACTTTTACTCTCCACTATTCCAACTTTAGATATTTTTCTTCTGAGCATTCTTCTAAAACCCAATTAGAATCAATTGGTTGTAATAAGAGTTATTGAACTCTATTATAAAAGAACTCAATTATAATATTATTGTTATATCATTTGTTGACAATTTTGTAGATGGCACAGCCTGATGAGCGCGATATTGAACCACTGCCTGCGATCAAGACTAAAGAAGAACCACTGCCACGAATTACTCAAATAAAACAAGAGCCGGACTCATTGCATAGCAAAAGGACTGATGTCGGACAGAAACATAGCATGTGAGAACTTAAATAACGAATTGTAAAAGTCTAAGTTGAGTTAAAAGGTAACAAACAACATTGTAGGTATGTCGAGATGGCCAATTCAATCAAGTCTTGGACACCCGAAGACTATGCGAATGCGGCGGGCAAACCAAGCAATCAACCTGCGCCCAATGCCATGGATTTTATGAGTCGCCTCGAGTCCAACGTTTCGGTATGCTTCCATCTGAATAAACAGATCTATATATTAATTAATCTGACCCTTGTTCCACCCAATTAGAGCATAGACTTTAACTGTACGGAAAACGCAGGCAGTGGTTTAGTAAAAATACACAAACGTGAGCGCAGTTCGCCAACAACAAGCGAGTCGAATACTCTTCAAGCGGTTAACAAAAAGCGCTATAAACTCGTGGATTACTCTGCGAGCACTTCTAGCACTAGCAGTTGTAGCAGTACCTCCCAATCAGTGACTGAAAAGCAAGCACCCGAGAACCGTGCCGATTTTCTTCGTGTGGTGAGTTTTCTATGGTGTTTAGATTGATTATAGAAAGGATTCTTATGCTACTTGTATGGTCAGACATGCAAACAATTTGTGCACAAATCACTTATATTTTACAGTAAATCTGAATGAAGTTTTCTGATTCAGAACATTTTTTTAGTAGGAAACTGTTATTGATAGTAAGGTATTTATGACAGAAATTGGTGTGCCGATTATTTGCCTGCATGACCATGTTTTAGTAACTTTACACAAACACTTTGCAGCTTCATGCTATAGAGAATAGAATGAAGTCAGCATCGTTTTAAACTAAAATCTGCATATTCCAAAAGCGTAAGTTAATCAAATTATAGATAAATGAGTGAGCAAAAAATAATAGCATTGAAAAAATATTTAGTTCCTTACAATTAGCCTGAGTTTAGATTGAGTTTAGATGCAGCATTTGTTTTAAAGCTGTTTCAGGAAAAATAAAACCCTTCAATGGACTAATCGACTTTTATGTTTGATGAAATACCGAGTTTTAAATAAAGAGTGGAGTCTCGCTCCCATATTATAACTGTTGAAAACAAGGATTGCCTAGAGTTTAGAGCTGGGCTTTGAAAAACGTCTAATGAAACTTCAGATTTTAGTGTGTCTAAAATAAATCCATAATTTTTTTGTATACCGATCTTTCCTATGTGATCTATTGAATTGATTTTGAAAATACATTAAATTGTGGTGAGGAATGATAAAAAACTCATAAATACCAAATTTTGTTGAAAGTGGGAGTAACTTTTGCACCGATTGGAGCTGGGGCAGCTATATAAAGTCATGAAAATATGTATGTATATGTACATGGTTCGTAACAAACTTGTTGTGCTACATACCAGGTTTGGTGTCCTTAGCTGTTATGGTGCAAAAGTTTTCGATGTTCATAGAGTTGAACAGACAAACAAACGGTGAAAAGGACAGACGAACATGTTTGTATTGATTCGCCTCGCCTTGTTAATCATTTATGTTCCTATAACATTGCGTTTACACTTTTTGGTATACCCTTTTAGCCTTCGGGTACTGGGTACACCAACTATACTTTATACTTTAAGGATTAAATAAAAGCAGTCATAGTCTAAAGCAGCGATGGGCACGTAGTGGCCATTTACCAAAACATAACGGAAAGAGCCCTGGGAACCCAAAGAGCCACTACGTGCCCATCGCTGGTCTAAAGGGTTCCATTTTAATCAAAACAATGTTTTTGATTTGCATTAAAAAATTAGTAAACAATTTTCAGTTATTTAAAAAAAAGAGTGTTTAGTTGTAGGCCAAAATGCTTATGTTTAGATACTCAAGACTAAGACCGGAACTAATGAAGACTTGCATATGCATTTTCCTTTCAATCCCCCCCATATAGGTGCGAAGTGTGGTCAGCCATGAACAATTCCAAAGCTTTGGCAAAGCAATTTTGGCCTACAAGAGTGGCAGTGGCAGCGAAAGTTTTGATGCGCTGATGGACAAACTTTTGGATATATTGGGAGCGCCAAAGCTGCGTTACCTGTTGCAGGGGATGCGACGCTTCCTAAAGAGCGAACATCAGCTGGAGTTTGACGCAAGAATGGCCAGCTTGAAAGACACATAGAGAATTATGTTTTAAAGGAATTATAAATAATAATGTCTTTAAAGCAAGTTGGCAACTCTGCCATATATCGTCTGCATTTAAAATGCAACGAACCCTCCATACCTCACATGGGACTCAACAACAACAACAGTAGCAGCAAGAACAAGAGAAAAAACAGTTAGCCAATAAGCGCAGTATGAGAACGCAAGAAGATGATGATAAAGAGGGGTAAGGAGAGGGCGGCGGCAACGGCGACGCTGTTTTCGTTGCTCGGCGGCTTTCGGCTCTCCAGTCACACGCACTCGCTTCTCAACAATCGTCCCAGCCAGGCAGCACACGGAAGGCCGAGCAGGCCGTTCAGTGCATTTATAATTGGTGTGATTTATAAGTGTTGTTGTTTAAATTAAGTTTTTCCCCAAAATTATTAAATATTATGGTATTTAAAAATCAAACAAGCAAAGCATTACATTAAGACGCATTGGAAAGAAAGAGTAAAAGACGATAAGAGCTACGAGCGAAGGAGGAGGACAAAAACGCAGCAAGAACAACACGAACAACACTTGCCTACCTGCGCTCTGACCCTGGCCCAGTTAGCAGCCACAGCAACAAACAGCCACTTGTCTCAATTAGTTTTGCCACCCAACCACCACCGCCACAGCCAGCCCCCCCGCTGACGAACCAATCGCAACATATGGTTGAGGAAATTGGCTGCCTTAGACAAACTGGCGGCAGCGTCGTCATCGTTGGCATGCCAACCAGCCAGAGTGGACCAAGCACTGGAGTTGGAACCGGAACGGGTAGTGTTGCAGCCTCCAATACAGTGTCTGGCCAACAACAACATCAGCAACATCAGCAGCACCACCCACATCAGCAACAGCAGCATCAGCATCAGTTGGCCAATAATATGAGTCTATTGAGTGTCAAGGGCGGACGTTATTTGTGGACGGACCGTGAGCTTTTAATGCATTTGCAGAATTATACGCCGCTAATATTGTTAATCGATTTCGTGGAGAAAACGCGCACCAAGCGCTTCTACGAGAGCTCGGAACGATATGAGATTCTAATGTTGGTATTCATAATGCGCAAAGGTGCGCCATTCTGTGAGAATAAACGATTTCCCACCGAATATTGGGTTAATCTGTCAGTGGGTCCGATTGCCGAAGCATTTGATCGGCTGCAGGCCGCCATCGATATACCCGATCCGCAGCTGCCCATACACATGAGCGTTACGGATCTGACCAGCTGGAAGCAAATGTTCGATGTGGCCATGCTGGATATTAGACGCTATGCGTATTATACAGATCCCATGCAGTTGGCCGATGTCGGTGTCTATAATCGCATAACCTTCGAACAGCACTTTGGCATGCAATGGCTAGAGTAGAGCTGAAGAGTTGAATCCGGGACCATGCACCCAGTAATTGATCTATTTATAGCATGTTGTAGTACCTTGGAACACGCACTCGAATCACATACACACACACACACACATATGTAACAACGATATATATGTATATGTGTACTGTATTAATTGTGTTATAGCGGAATTTATTGACTGTGCCTTTTCTACTCACTCCCAAATCCCCCTTGGCAATCGGCCATATCCTGTTTCACAATTCTAGCCCTGCCCTGTCTGCAGTTTCAAAACCTTGAACTTCCCGTTTATGTATAGATATACCTTATATTATCGATGTACATATGTACATAAATACATACTATACATATATGCCTGTGTTTGTATGTAAAATGCAATACAATAGTGGACACAAATGTTACGAATATAAATATATATATTTATTGTTGCAACCTGACAAAAACCGACATTACTTTTTATTTTGGAGATCTGTATGGTGAAAAATTATTCAAAATTCTATTAAATTCAACCAAACAAAAATAGTTTAGAATTTGATGCTTGACCAGAGTTTCCTCAGGTCATTCCTTTTGGAAGATGGACAAATTTCGCAAAATAAAAATATGTCGGGAAATAAAGTTAGCTATATGGCTTTAATTTAAATTTTTCCTCTGATCGGATACTACACTTTTCCGCCCAATATCTCTATATTTTTAATTATCTATATGTAAGTAGAAGCAAACTATGTTGAATCGAATGCTGGAACGGAAACAAGCTTTAAGAATCATCTAAATAATGTTATTAAAACAATTTAAAACTTGAATCCTTATGGCAGCTATATGACATATTCCCCTGACTTTGATTAAGATTCAGAATCGTGTCTCTGCGTGTTTATATGCGTGTATGTATGTAGCACAAAGTGGAACCAAAGCAGCAACAACAACAACAGCTGCGGGCAGAGCATGAGCAGCGATTTTATGTATGGCTATAACTTTCTTCGGAATTCACCTATCATGTGGCATTCGAACAGATAATCACAAGCTGGATGTATATGCCAAATTTGAGTTCAAAATACCAAGAATTGCGGGAGTTATGGAAAACACTAATTGTGGGGCAGTGGGGTGTATCAGAAAAAATAAACAAACTTGATCTGCTTAGGGCTCAGGATAACCTGAATTCCAAGTTTGGTTATTCTAGCACTTATACTTTCTGAGATCCTTGCGTTCATACGGACGGAGGGGCATGGCTAAATCGACTCGTCATCCTTATCAATAATATATATACTTTTGGGGGTCTGCCACGCCTCCTTCTGTATATATATATATATATATATATATATATCCTCATCCCTTTGGGTACAGGGTATAAAAATATAGAAAAATGGTTTTGATTTACAAATGTTATAAAAAATCGTATCTGAACTTTCTTATATACATAAGTCTTTTTATTTACATTCAGTTGACAGCTAACAACAATTATCCTATAGTTCATACAAACGTGGTCTTATAAATACATTTATATAGACTGGGATGGAAAATTAAACGAAAAGACATGCTTTCATTTGCAGCATTGTTATTAATGTGCCTTTGTACAAGCTTAGTTGATAAATTTTGCCATGCATCGCACACGAATTTGAGGATGAGCTGGTCGGGAGTGGCCTAAATATTGAATGAACTTATTTTTAAGCTTGCAATTAGTTTTAAGGGAATAGCTTATGATTATCAGGTTATATTTGAATTGTTCTATACTGTGCTCTACTTAAATGTCGTTACAAACTTCAGCATAAATAACGAAGTGTATTACAACTGTGGAAAGGTAAATTCATACCTTTATATAAACTGTTCAGGGCTAGGGTATTAAGGCTAAAATTTGACCGCTAAGATTGATTTCCCTTTGGTGGTCTGTTGTTTATAAACTAATTAGCTGATCTTACGAACTGTCCTTGGGCTTTCGATTTTTCGGAAAACGATCAAAAATACCTAAAAGCTTGCCTCTAGTCATTTCCTTGGCCTCGCGCAGACCAAGTTGATAGATTTCGTCATGCATGGATCTGATTTTGGCAATTAATTGATCAGGCGTTAAAGCAGCCAACTCTGCAAAAGGTATACACACATATACATACAAATATAATTACATATTAATACTAAATTATACTTACGATTGATCCTGGCCATATCCTCAGTGGTTAATGTGTGTGTGCAGTCTCTATTTGGTGTGTGTATGGGCGTATCACTCATGTTCAGAAACTCATCCATTCCGGGAACTGTGCAACATTATGTTGGATCTATAGAAAATCGTATCGCTGCATATGTATATCGTTTACTCACATCGTTCTGGCCACTGTATTGGAGATTCACGTAACGTTTCGAATGATTTCAAATGGTCCTCGGGCTCTGGCTTTGTACTATTTGGAGATGGCAGCTCTTGTGGCTGCGTAGTATCGGCGTCTTCGTCGGTTTTCAAGATGGTCTCTGTTAACAAAGTATAACGGCGTACCGTTCTTAAGGTGCTGCTAAAATTAAAAGTTTTTGAATTACGCACCGGGAGCAAATATTTCGAGATTTGGCTCAATTTTGCTCATTTTATTTTACTATGCCGCGCTTTACTTTATTGTCACAAATGGCGGATGTTTGATGTTGATAGCAACACGGCCATCTTTTCGATAACACAACTAGTAATTGGCGCTGCCACCTGCACGCTAAATGGTCGTCTGCCTGCTAGCCTGCCTGCTGCTTATCTGTTTACTGCTGTTACGAATTGTTGATCTCCTAATCAGAGTTAAAATTCTATAAGTATATTTCTAGTATTATCGCATTTCAGCTGCAGCATTACTGAAATGAGATTTTTGTTATATACATTTGGTTACAAAAGTTTGTTTGCGCAGCGCTGCCAGAGTGCATCATTTTGTTTGTTTATTCGATTTTGGTCTAATCAAGACGTGCCTCTAAAGTTGCAAATGAATAAACATGATTTATATAAGTAGAACATAATATGCGTATTATAAAACGATGTTTTCTTAAATCTACACCTATATATTAAGCTATGTGCAGCTTTCCGCGCAAACTCACATGTGCTTGGGCATTCAAAGTGCAACCGATGTTTGTTCATGTGTTGCTTCATCGATAGAATCCATGCTGCAGTAGCCTCCTCTTGTTGCATCTCTAGGTTTTCGCAGTTGTGTTTGATATTCACGCCGGGTAGAACAGCAGGCGCGTTTGTGATAGATTCGTGGCGTAAATTAACACATTTAGCAACAATAACAACAACAGTAACTACACCAAAAACAAAAAGGGTGACGAACCGTTCAAGCTGAAAATATTTGAGCAAAAAGTATCTCTTGTTGTTGCAAACTAATCGGTATTTCGCCTGCACAGTCGCCCCGCAGTTGCCACGAGCTACACACATTATTGTATTAGAAACACGCACACACAAATACGTACATATATATCTATGTACATGTGTACACATACAAACAAACGCGTACATTGGTCTTACGTAGAGAAGCACGAGCAAACATTTTAAACTGATAATTAGGTATAAAAAATTACATACATACATACGTACATATGTACATATATTAATATATGCATGTATGGACCGCAAGCACAATAAAAGCCAACGCATATACCTTCATACATACACACACGCACATGCATACAAACATCTAAAAAAAAAAGTGTGGAAGATACGCAAAAGCAAGCACAAAATGATCTTTGCATTTACTTCACTTTTTCCACATTTTATTCTATTTTTTTTTTGTTAAATTAAATTTTTTGTTGTTGTAAGGTAGTGCTTAATGATTTTTTGTTCAGTGTTCTTTGGTTGGCATTTTATTCATCGTGTCTCGTCACTTTCGTTGTTGTCGGGCCAAAGCAAATTTAATCAACGCAAATTAGAATATATGTACATATAATAAAGAGCAAAAGAAGGCGCAACAAGTGTACACACAACTCGGTAATGCCTATGTGCATACGTGCATACCTACACACAGTTTATGCTCCTATTGAGAGTGCATGTGCGTGTGTGTGTTGTTGGTGTTGTTATGTGCATGTGAATCCGTTAGAGATAGCACCTACAAGTCATATTCCGTTGCTATCACAGATATTTGTAAACTACAGAATCCTCGAAAACTCCAAATCGTTATCGAACAAAAAATTTCGACCTCATAGTATGCGCCTTGGAAGGGCAACATGGATTTGCGATGCTCTGAAACCTTTATAAACGAAGCTCTGAGGAATAGTCCACATATAAAAGAAATTCTTCCACATCAGAAAGAGATTTATGAAAAAGAACAACAATATCAGCGACAGCAGCAACAGCAACACAACTATATAAACAGCAACAACAGCAACTCTTCCTCTGCTTGGTCCTCCTGCTCTCCCATAAGCTCAAGCGCCAGCAGCAACGCCAGCGGCGGTGGCGGCAGTGGCGCAACAGGTGCCGATGGCGATATGGGCGTCATTGCCTTTGCCCCACTATTCACGGAGGTACAAATCGAGAAAGCACAACACCAGACTTTGCTTGGCATAATACAGACGCAGTCAATGCCACCACTTATCAAATTCGAGAGTGTTAATAGTGCAATCGATGATCCGACATTCAAAACAGATCGTTGCCTAGAGATTGCACTGAAGGTTGAGGAGAAGCGTCAACCAAATATAAAGCCATATTTTAAGAGCATTCAAAGCGATATAACACCGGCGATGCGCAAAATAGTGACCGAATGGATGATGGAGGTGAGTAGTGAAATGCCCAAAAAATACACACACACACATGCGCATCAACAAAATATATATACACACACATAATACTAAACACTCACATACATAGAAACAAAGCACTCTTCCGGTCATTGAGATTGTGTGAAATTTACTGCCATAATTTTTCGTTCCATTCTGGTCCGTTCTGGCGCCGCCGTCTGTTCAAGTCTCTCATATCGAAAGCGTTACGCATGTGCTGACGACGCGTCGTTTCCTCTGACGCTAAAAGATTGCACGATTTCGAAGAATTCGCACAATAGCTTACCCTACCACACCACTCAAACCAACAATAACAACAATCACACAAATTGAGTTTTACTTTATTTTCTTTGGCGTTTCTTTGAGAGTCCCTTAAAGAACGACTCTCTACTTACGTATACCTTTATAGGCTATAACTAAAAGAAGAACTTGAAGAGTTTTGATTAACTCTTTAGGCAACAGCTCTGACAAAATACATACATACATACTTGTATGTATGTACACTTATTACGTCTGAGCCTGAAGAAACTGTGCTTATGTTGAAGTTAGAAAAACACGTTTGAATTTCATGGCACAGTTCTTTTAATGTTTTAACATACAAGTATGTAGTAGTAGCCTTTTATTAGAAGGCTCTAATATTTGGCACAGTTACTCATTCTATCAATGATTTAAGATACTTTTTTAATTAAAATATTGTCATATCTGGAGTTTAGGTTAACAACTGTGTTAATTCTTCTGCTGATAATTTGTACACTATGCGGCCATTTCATGGTATATAGCTTAAGCAATTTGCAAATGTCTAGAGTTATAGAACCAAAATCGCTGGGTATACTTGTAGTTCTTTAAACGATTGAATATATTATTTCACTCTAAATGATTTTGATATGCGGTGTTGACTTAAGAAAATTGAAATGGTTCCAAGTTTTGTTAAAAAAAGGTTTTCTAGAACAAAAATATGAAACTTTTTTGTTTTTCATAAACAAATTGTGATATTCTTATATTTTCTTTCCCTTTACACTTGGGGCCTGACCTTATAAATTTCCATTAATTCATGCACTTCCCCACCAATCATTAACTGGGAATTCGGAAGAATTTGTTGTTTCAATAAAGATTTTGTTTTATGAGCAAATATTGGGGAAAAAGAAGAAATCAAATATCATGCTTTGGAACCAGTATGAAAGAAATTCCTTTACTTCAAAAGTGGAATACAAGTCTCATATGGTTGGGGGAGCTTCGACGATTGAATCTTTGGAGCGAAATCATAAATCAACTTATTTCAGACACTCTCCTCGTATTATACGAGTATACGTTTCGTTTAGCATGTGGTCTTTTTTTGTTTGCGATAACTTCACTTGAAAGGCTTCAATATATGCCTTGAGTCGTCAGTGTCTGACCGAAAGCGAATGGAACTGTTACTCAATTGTAAAAAAGAGCGAATGAAGAAAAAATATATACGAAGCTAATCGATTGGTAGCTGGTGTTGCGTGTCCGACAACAGCAAAAAGTCGCCATAAAATAACAGCCCTTTGCCATATGAGCTTGAACTCGATATGAATATGCTCGGCAACATTTACGACTTCCCGGTATGATAAGTCGCATACTACATACAAATGTGCAATATGTACGTGCCAATAGGGTCTCTTTACTCTGGGGAGTACTAGAATTCTAAATTTTAATGACTTCACTTGGCGTTTATCTGTAAAATGTACTCCTTACCCATGTTTGGTAGACGGAGGGGGGAGGAAAGTGTTAACAATTTGCATTACAAGTGATTAGAGTGCACTTGAAAATAAACAATCGTAAATATTCATAGGTTTTATTTAAGCCGCCCACCTACACTAAATATGCTAATATTTTGCCACTCTATAACGATCTACGATTACTCTATCCGCGAATACGTCGTACTGGTATTTTCCTATTTACATTTCACGTATTCGTATGCTCTCCATTGAAAAGTGTAAGTGAAAGAATGTGGAAAAATCTGTCTTTGATAGGAACCTGTTTTTGATGAGATATCATTGAAAATGTTCACATTTTAGATATTTTTATACCCTCAACTGAAAAGTGTCAGGATAGATTGTTTTTGTAGGAAGAACTGTAGACCACATGTTAGAGGCATTACTACAGGGATAAGTATTTGATGATAAATTTGTTCAGATATTACTGAAAAGAGGAAAAAACAAGCCTATAATTGAAATATTTTTAAAGCATAAGACTTATATGAAAATCTGAATAGATCCAATTAAGCTAAGCTGTCGCTGCATTCTTTGAGAAATCGGCACAGAAACACCTTAACTACAGCTCCAAAGTCCCTTATTGTTGCTTGGCTTTCGGCCTCAAACATCTTTCTTCATATCAGCCTAAGGGTGTTCTATCGGGTTCAGGTGTGACGGTAGAGCAGGTCACTCCATAATAGCAAACTGAATCTTTGGCATGTCCTTTGTGTCCTTAGACTTCTTAACTACAGTACCCAAAGCTCAAACCCCAGCGTAAGCCCAAAGATTTTCTCTGACGACTGGGCAGACCTCTCCATAAAAGCAAGATACTTGACTATTTGAAAATATATGGCAACCACAAAGCATATTGAGAATATTGTAGTCATATCTGATGTTTTCCTTCCACTCGTCGTCCGGAAATGGTGGCCATGGATAACAAAATGTAAAATGAGGAAAAATGCTTCCTACTGAAAGATAAGATAGTGGGGAACAGTAGAGTATTTTGTAAAGTAGAGTATTTTGCAAAGTTTTGAAGGCCATGCGGCGATACATTTTCACCTCATTATCGATATTTACACTTGTTTATATACAAAGCTTACATTTAGGACAACAATTGAGAGAATCTTAATGTTTTTATACTCTGTACATGAAATGTACAAGAGTATATTAGGTTTGCGCGAGCTGAAAAATGTAACAGGCAGAAGGAGGCGTGGCAGACCCCACAAAGTATATATATTCCTGATCAGCATGACGAGACGAGTCGATCTAGCCCTGTCTGTCTGTCTGTCCGTCCGTCTGTCCGTCCGTCTGTCCGTCCGTATGATCATCTAGATCTCAGAGACTATAAGAGCTAGAGACACCAAATTTTGCACAAAGATGCCTTATGTGTGTACGCTATACGAGTTTGTTTTATTTTTTTGATTTTCCCCCTCACTTCCCCCTATGGGGGTTTTCCCGATTTTCCATTCGTATAATCGCCTATATCTCGGAGACTATAAGACCAAGGAACACCAAATTTTAGTCCCAGATGCCTTGTGTGAATACGCAGAAAATGTATATTTTGGAATTTCCCTCCCTCCCCCTTCTCCCATGCAAATCGCGATTTTCTCTAACTCCCGTAATTCTTGGAATTTCGAACTTAAACTTGGCAAATACCTTCAGTTAGTTATTATGTGTCCGTACGCCATAACCATGATAGACCGATTTAACAAGAAGTTATAGCCATAAATATATTTGCTGCTGCAGCGCTGCTCAAGCGAAAATCGATCAATTTTGTTTTTAGATTTATTTTCATTCCAAATCGAAAGCCTTTTTTCCTTCTTCAAAAAGTTGGGTATTATATCACGTAAATATGTGGGATTTGATTTTGAGTATTAATATTTCACCTTTTAGTTTTAAGGGTGACAAATATGGGCTGTCAGCATTGGTAAATAATATCTTATGAGCCCGCCGACACGCCGTCGTTTAAATAAATCAATGTTTTTCTTTAAAATGCCACCAAGTGTCGACGGTCAAGCTAAATAATTAATATTTTATAAGGCCTCCGATACGTTATGGAAATTTTATATTAACCATCCGGCCAGCCAAATGTAGTCAGAGACGATTTTAGAGCCAAGAAATTGTAAGGCCTGAAAATAAAAAAACTAATAAAAAATCGATGGAAAAGAAAACGGAAAATTCAATGTCTTTAGAGGGATTAAAAGGAGTGCTGGATATATATTGGAGACTAGTTAGAAAAGGTTTCTGCCTATAACTGTTAAAGTATTAGCAATCTATTGAAATCTGATGAATTAATGGTTAATGGAGTGGTCGCGGGGATTTCTGTTAAAAATGTATTTTACAACTTTCGTAGGAAATGTGATTTTATGAATCTAATGATGTCTGGGATTAAGCCTCTCCGGCTTTTGCTTTCCCATAAAAAAAACTAAACCCAAAACTAAATAATTCTATAATGGGACTCTAAAAGCACGTTCTGCTCCGTGCTTCTTTCTCATTTAAAGTGCCAAAGTAGCGAATATTATTTATTTTTATGAAGAGTACTTCAGATTTTTCTTTCCCATAGAAAAGCGGAACCGGATGTGTAACAAATTCTAATGCCGAAATTCTAAATATGTATGTACATATTTCCATTACGGGGCTTCCTCCGTGCTTCTCATACAGAGCTCCTAAGTGCTGTTGCCATTTGGACTTTTAATTAATTAATTCATTTTGCAGACATTTAAGCCATGCTTTCGATTAAGCATTTAAATTAGCAAACCGACAGCTGTGCCAGCTGTTTCCAGAAAAATTGCAAATACATAAATACATACAGACATATGCATAAAGATGTATGTGTGTGTGTGTGTGCTTCAACTGCATTATTTTGAAAGGCAAGCGCGAAAGAAATGAAAAGAACGGAACAAAGTGCAGAAACTGCAGCTGCCGCCGCTGCACCGACTCTGTTTGCTAATTTATCGATATCGATATTTATGCTCTACAAGCGATAACTTTTGCTGCTCATTCCTTATGCTGTTGTCGTTACCTGTCCTTATTGTTTCGCTTGCACACGAGTCCTTGTCTCGCCCTTACCTACCATTGTCCTCCAAACTCGTTTAACTTGAAGGGAAGACGGCGCAACAGAACAAGAACAAGAATGAAGGAAATTATCGCAAGGCAGCTCATTTGTTGCCCTTTCGGTCTGCTCTATATGTATATATAGTATGTATGTACATAACTATGTGTGTAGTTGGTTAACTGTTCGCGTAACGTTGCTGATTATTGCAGGGTAGTTATGTATTTCACATTTCAAGAGTAGATTTTTATGTACCCAAATATTTGCATAATTCGTGCCCAATACCCCTGTTCAGTTCTCAGATCTGAGATCTTGAGTCTAGCCTTGTCGGTATGGGTAAATAGTGTGTTTGCATGAACTTGAAGACTATTATTGATAAGGTGCTGTGAGTATTGACTCATGACAGTTCCTTATAGCGGCTGTAAAACACTCTTGTCTCTATGGCCGGGAAATTTAATCAATTTCGATCAGAGTCAAACGATCATGCCATTGATTATATTCTAGAAAAGGTGCAGCACATACATATATATATATACGAGTAAATACATTTCTATCTCTAGCTAAGGTAAACAAATACTTATTTACATAGGTGAATTATATCAGCGCGCTATATTAGCTATGCTTAATTTCGTGCCTAGTGGAAAGTGGAAAGATGAAGAGGTATACTAAGATAAATGGCCGAAGCAGTTGGCATGGCAGAGATCATGAACGATTATTTTATATTTTGTAACGAATCGCTATAGCCATGTCCGTCTGTATGAACATCGATTACTTTTAATCCCTAGCAGCTGAAAATACCAAACTTATCAGATAGGCTTCGTCTTATTCATTTACATATAGCCTCTATGTATAGCCTGCCTTGACCTTCACCTAAAATGAAAGTTTCATCAGAATCGGGTTACTTTATCAAACAGCCGACATTCTTAGCTTATTTCTTTGTAGTTATAGCATGTACCCAAAGGGTAAAAGGCTATACTAGTTTTGTGCGAATGTATGTAACAGGCAGAAGGAGGCGTGGCAGACCCCACAAAGTATATATATATTCTTGATCAGGGTGACAAGCCGAGTCGACATAGCCATGTCCATCTTTCTGTCCGTCCGTCTGTCTGTCTGTCTGAACGCAAGGTCAAGCTTGTTTATTTTTTGCGATACACCCCCCACTCCCCCGCAAATTGTGTTTTTCCATAGCTCCCGTAATTCTTGGAATTTTGAACTCAAATTTGGCATATACATCCAGCTTGTGGTTATCTGTCCGTTTCATCATGATAGGTCGATTTTCAAGGAAGTTATAGCCATAAACATAATCTCTGCCGAAGCTGTGCCCGCAGCTGTTGTGTTGTTGCTGCTTTAGTTCGCATATAAACACGCAGATACACGATTCTGATCATGAGCTTGTCTCCACTTTTGTATATATGTATTGAATAATTTTTATGCTTATTATCGTACCGTGAAGTGGCATTTTTATTAGAAATTTTCATATAGATTTGATTTTCGATAAGAGTTGGTAAAAGGTGGCCTGAAATCGAATGTTCTAAATCAAAAACCTTCCATTATTTTCATTCTTAATATGATAATTATAAATATAAAAATCAATAAGATTTTTAAATACATATAGTATTTATATAGTATGTATGTGGATTTATGAATTGGATTTATTTCCCAGCGCTGCTGGCTCTTGATTAGTCTGTGTTTGAAAAGTGTTTGAGGATTATTTATTTATTTAGGGAGGAGGCAAGAAGGAAATTAAAGAAAATGTAATGTAAACATGCAGCAGGTCAGGCATAGTTTTTCATAGTCTGCTATAAAAATGATCGGCAGTCTTTATTGCAATGGATTTCTTGCCAAGTAAGTGTATAGGAGTGGATAGAAAGTAGAAGCTCATCATTGCTTTTCAAGGGAGGATAGATGACGCCTCCTCTTCTTCCTATTTGTGTTTAAAATTTCCCGGACCTTACATTTATAATTTGAAATTTCTATGCTCTGAGTTAGTTAATTATTAAGTACACTGGGGTTATTTCTTTTTTTTGTTTTTTGCAATTAATTTATATTCTGGACTACGCTCAAGTGATTTGCCACTAGCCATGAGGTTTTGTGGCATCTGTGTTGCAGCTCAACGTGTTCCCCATTCATAAGGCACGCCGATTGCTCTATTACAAGTATATATATATATACGATGTGTATGTGAATATATGTATGTAATACTATGTATGTATATGGTTCGCGCGGCATGTGTCAGTGGAGAGTGACCGTGAAGCCCTGTTGTAACCAGACGTGTGCGTGCCCACGATTTCACACATGGCTGCCACAATTATCGTGACTAAGCTTGGCTGAAGGCCCACCCGACCCGATACCATCTGATGCGATCCGATCCGGTCCGACCCAACCCTCCCCAACTCAAATGTCTATTTAGCACCGTCTCCATCCACTGCACACTGATTTCAATTCCCACTCTAATTGTGTATTTTTGTTTTGTTCTGTTCTGTTTTGGTGCAGGTGTGCTCGGAGGAAAAGTGCCAGGATGAGGTTGTCTTGCTGGCCATCAACTATTTGGATCGCTTTCTATCAACAAAGTCGGTACGGAAGACTCACCTGCAAATTTTGGCCGCTGCCTGTCTACTGCTGGCCTCCAAGCTGCGCGAGCCCAGCTGTCGAGCCCTCTCCGTGGAACTATTGGTGTTTTACACGGACAATAGCATATATAAGGATGACTTAATTGTAAGTAAACCAGTTGCTTTATTCTGTTTTCTATAAACGTAATATTTACTTTGCCTGTGTGGCTATATGGCTGTATGGCTTTCTAAGCTGTGTCCATATTTGCTTGCTCACATGTATCTAGAATCTAGATAATGAAATGAAAACTTATATACGTATACTATATGCACATGTACTTGTATATGTGAGTCGTGTTGTTGCCTTTGCAACTATACGCCGTCGCATTCCATGGCAGTTTTCAGAAATTCGTGGCCCCTCCAAGAGCATCACAATTTGCTAAATCAGAGCATTCTTGCCGAAAAATATATCTCTATATACTTATACTAAAGATATACAATGACAAGCGCAAGTCTGAATCAAAATTCAGTCAGTCTTACAGTACAAGTAAGAGAATTTCAAATACGTATTAGATGGCTGAAAGGCAAGAAAACTGAATGTGTTTAGCAGGCAGTAGGAAGTGTGGCAGACACTATGTAATGGATATATTTTTGATCAGTGGGATGAGACAAACCGATATGTACAGCTTCGTTTTCTTATCCATCTGTTCGTCTGTATGAACGCCGGTAACTTTTGAACCATAACATGTAAGGATAACAAACTTGGCTTGTCGGCCTGTCTTATGCATATGCAGATCAAGTTTATCAGAAATCATATATAGCTTAATTATTTTATATACAAGTAGTTGCCATAAGATCGATCGGTGCAAAAAATCACTTAAAGTAACAAAAACTCAATTATAAGCCAAATTTGTCATTGATAAGTACTAATTGAGGCCTCGCTGTATTTCGCAGTTTCGTGGAAATAGAGCTTGGCAAAGGCACAAGTGTTCTGTTTCTCTTCAAAAATCCAATTACAATCAGAAACATTGTTTGGCCTGCGATAAATTTCTTGTTTGTTTGACATTGTTTCTTTAAACATTTTTTTTAAATCGACCTCACTGTTTGTTGACATTTCATTCGTCCAGTAATAATTGCAAATATGTCGTCATAATTTATTTCTACGAAATTCTCTTTTATTCATTGGTCTGTGAAACTACACTGAGTCAGCAGACGGCGAAACGAAGCACCCGCAGTTTACATTTTAAACTGCAAGCTTCAACTTTGTTAATTACATAGATAGGACACACAGAACTACAGCAGCACTACGAATAGATAAGGCAAAAAAAGTAGTGTCTATAAGTATATATTTCTTATCATTTTATTGCAAGTATGTTGCTATTATTGCTACTTAGTTTAAATGAACGTCTCTTTTTCGTATCGTTATGAAACCACTTCTGTAATTAAGTAGAAACCCTTTTTATATTGTTACTGAATGCCAGGTAGCGTCAAAGTGGAGTGTCGGCAAAGCAGCGCACCAATTGCAGTGCAGAAATTATATTCTCCTATCTCCCAGCTGTTGGGTGTGTTGGAAAATCTCTCTCTTCGCACATTTTAATGGACAAGCATTGTAAACGTCTATTGCTTTGCGATCTTTCTATAAAATAGATCGTATCGCAGAAAACTGCTTTATCTATTTATTTGGTACCTTTCTATTCAATAGATCGTATCGCAGAACACTGCTTTATCTATATAGATGTTTTATTTTAGTTGAATGGCTACAGCAGGGTATTCAATAGTCAGACTGGCATGACGCCAGCGTGCTACTCGGTAAGACTAATACGTTTCAAAATGTCTCCGAAACAGCGGTATTATCTGTATAAATCAGTTATAGGTTCAGAAAAATTTATTTGTGTAATGCCTCGGAAATATGAAATTGCAAAGATAATAAACAAATATACCAATTTCTGGGGCGCAAGAAAAGAGCAATAGGAACGAAAATGGGAAAATGGGCTTCCTTTGTCATCCGATCCGATGCAAAAATAAGTTCCAAAGATTGTCCGAATTGTACGATCAAAAATATATAAGTATATCACGTACTCGTGTATTGAAAATATGCTGTTCGTGTACCCTTTGGAACTCGAACGAATGCGGTCTGGTATGTGGTCTGTTAATCATTAAGCATCATCGATAGGCATGCCCAAAAGAGGCAAAAATGCAACCAACACACACACACATACACACACACACACATTGGCAGCCAACTGTGAGGCAATGTGGAACTGGCTGCTTATTGTCTGGTGGTGGTATGCCACTTGACCGCCACCGTTATTATAGACATACTCGTATACCCATTTCATTGCCCTCCCCCCCAAACCCAAGCCCAAGCCCATACTCATGCCTATGCCCATGTCCATGTCCATGCTTATGCCCATGCCCCAGACCTTGTTATGCCGCACGTCTAGGCAGCAAATTAAAAATAAACTTCACATCAATGGCCTTGCGGACTGGCGCAGCCCCGCCGCGTCGCAGGAACACGATCCCATTCTCCTCTCTGGGTCTACAGCATGAATGAAAATGCAAGGCCAGTAGCGCGAAGTTGTCCGATCTTGGGCCAACCTCTTGCCTGCTTATCATTCATTCCATTGCAAATGACGCAAGTCACTAGACCTCTCAGATTCTTTTCCAGCGAATTTTATTTCGCAAAAACAAAAAAAAACTTAAATTATGAAAAATTATGTTTAATCTGTTTGCATAATTATGCGATTTTTTTTCGTCGTACAGTAATACAGGTTTGGGCCAACAAACGATTTATTACTTTAATTATTTTCTGCTAAATTTGCTGAAAGCTGTGCATGTCGTTGCTCCCAAATAGAAAGCTTCAATTTTTTTATTTCTTTCAAACTGTGTGTGTTTGCTGAAAGATTAGTTTTCAACACCAAGGCATGTAAGAAGGTACTATATCTGCAGTCCGGAACTAAAGAATATTTTTTAAAAGATAATTAATGAGATAATTGGATATCAGGTCTAACAGATGAAAAGTTTAAGTTATTAAAAAAATAATGCACAAAATATTAAAAATAAATAAAAGACGAATGAACATATTGAAAACATTTAAAAAATATTCAAAATATAATATAATTAATTACAACAACTACAGATATTTGTAGCCCCTAACCCTATAAAAGGTATTTCAATTAAAAAGGGGTGTTTTAAAAGATATTTGAAAATAAATAAATATTAAAAAACATTTATATAAATAATATTTAATGAAGGTAAATTGGCATAAGTACTTAAATAATAATTAAACAATTATATTAAAAAATAAATAAAAACAAAAAATAATACTAAATTAGTAAAAACAAGACAGAATTTGAGAGAAATTATTTTGCTAATACCTTTTCTTGGAATTAACCGATTTGGACGAACAATTTAAAACAAAAATAGAAAACTATATATTGATTACATCTTTGGAAATGTGGACTGTATTGAAAAAATTCTGTAAAGGGACCCCGTCCCCGAAAAAGAAAAAAACAAAATAAACATGTTGTCTGGATGTAAAGAGAGTCTACGTACCAAGTGTGGTCAATGATGAAGGCTCAGCCGTCTCCGAAATCCATGCGGTCATCCAGACAGACATCGATTCGTATCTTCGGGCTGATTAAGAATATATATAATTTATGGGGTCGGATAGGTTGCTTGCTTTGCACAAACCTGGTATACTCTTTTTCCCATCGGGTACAGGGTATCCAAATCCTTAAACTGCCATATAGAATGGAAAAGAAATATATGGGAAAAAAAGACTCTTTAATAAATGCTAAATGAAATTTAAAAGGACAAAACAAAATATGCAGGCTAAAAAACTAGAAACTGTAAAATTTCTTAGAAGTGGAAATATATATATTTTTTAAGAAATGGTCATGGAGATTGAATAACATTTTTACGCCAGTCCGGCCGACAAGCTAGACCATTTTATATTTTCCACATATTTCTAAAACGCCATTCGATATGCTAAATCGGTTTCAGTGCAAGAACAAATTCCACAATTGCAACTTTCCATGATGAGCCGAACCGAACCGAACCGAACAAACGTTGCATGCAACGGCTAAGGGTCTTTGGCCCAGGGGGAGGCAGGGGGACGAACATCTAGGCGCAGTGTCTGGCATTCCTTAATGTTGTTGCTCATATGGGGGCCTCTTAAAAGCGCCATGAGTGTGCAATATCCGCTGCCGCTGTCTCTGCATGCTGCCTAGCCATGGTTGGCATTGGAAGTGATATTCGCATTCGTATTCGTATTGGTATTGGTATTCCTATATTCGCATTCGTATTGGTGATGCAGAGGAGTCTAAACGGCAGCAACTTATTTTATATTTACACATGAAAGTGAACCGCCGCGCCGACGACCACTGTGCGTTCAGACAGGAACAAGGACGGACGGGGCTCTGGGTGGTTGGGGAAGGGGACAATTCTATCAAGCCTTAAGTAAAACTGCAAGCATGAAGATGTCGAGGAGACCATCAAGGCTGTTGGATAATGATTATTATTACGATGATGACGATGATGATGATCATATTTATTATTATTCCCATCGTAACATTGTAACATGTGTGGGACGGGGGAACTTATAACGTGTTACCATTGAGAATACTCCCGACACTGTAGAGAAGAGAAGAAACGAAACGAAAAATTTAATACGACACAATAACTTATTCTTACAGATAGTACAAGTACGAAACGCCAAATGTATGTAACAGTCAGGCCCCATGCTATACGTACTTATAAATATGAAGACATCTATGATGTCTGCCCGTCCCTTTGCGTGTTTGTCTGTATGAACACCGAAAAGTTGTCAACCATAAAAGCTACGGACCCCAAAATTGGTATGCAGATCCAAGCGATAAGAAAGTTTGTTATAAGCCATGTATAAGCTCATGCGAATGTATGTAACAGGGAATGTATGATCAGGATGACAAGTCGAGACGATATAGCCATGTCCGTCTGTCCGTCCGTCTGCCTGTCTGTCTGTATGAGCGCAACGATCTCAGTAAGTACAATAGCTAGGATAACCAAACTTGGCATTCAGGTTCCCCTAAGTCCTATGTATGAACTAAATATATTTTATTTAATTAAATTAATTAATTCATTTTTGTGGATAGTACAGGCTATTTCACTGTCGGGCTTGTCGACTTGTCTACTGTAGCGTTCTCTCTCTTGTTTATATAGCTACCATACGACCGATCGGTGAATCAAGTTTGGTACCAAAAACTAAAATGTTTGCTTCTTATCCACGCAAATGATTGATAATTTTGAATTATAATAATTTAATTTTCAATATTTGTCCTACATTCTACCGAATCTTTGGTGACTTTTTTTTTTTTTTTTACCAATTTTCTTCCAATCAGAAGCTAATGCGGTTGGTTTTTAAAAATTCGTTAGATATAGTGTCTCGAGTAGTTCCCAGACTTATGGATTTCATATCCGAGCCATTTAGCCATTCTTGTAGTAGATATGACGAATTTTTCAGCCATTATTCATTGGAACAATCTTTTTTTTATAAGTTTTTAGAATCTTTTTCAAACCTAACCAAGGTATTTAACTCTTTAGGGCTTTATTATTTTTCAATATTTGGCCAACATTTTACCAATTTTTGGTCATTTCAGTATCAGATTGGTTTTCAAACAAACTTTGGATATGGTGTTTCGAGTAGTTCCCACACATAATGTTTCGGCCATTACTTTATTGGAAGAATCTTTTTAATCTTTTATAAGTTTTTAGATTCTTTCTAAAAATGATCTGATATTTCTTGTTACCACCTAACCGAAGTATTTAACTCCTAAGGGCTTTATTAATATATGTTGAATAATATTTGGAACTTCTCTGTAATAAATGAGAATAAGCGAGAATATGTTACCAAATATTTTAGTGGTGGGGGCAGCCAATATCTATTATCGTTATGCCAAGTTATGTTAAATGATGCTTCAGGCATTTATTGCTATTGTGGCATTCGGATTTTCTCTCTATTTCTCTCTCGATAGTAACTATCGGCTGTTTGCGTTGCGTTTCAAACAAATTCAAGGGGTGTTACAGATATAATGTTTGTACAGAAAATTATGTACATGGTCTATCTACAAGAATGTTTATTTGTCTGTATATAAGTATATTGGGTGCATAATGTTTGTACGGAATGGAATGGTCAGTTGCAGGCCACACTGAATTCGTTAATAACAACAGTAACAACAACGACAACAACAACAACAACAAGCGACAACAGGGCTGGAAGAAGCTCATACGACGAAGACGATGACGACGCGTACACAAAAGGCACGCAGAAGACGGCGACGAAAACTACTTGTTAACTGGTTTTCTGTAGATGTATCTTATAGATACGTTTTTTGTTTGTTGTTATTTTTTGTTTTTCTACCTGCTTGTGCGTGCTGCTCTCTGCCTTTGCTTTTGCTTTTGCCTTTGCCTCTGTCTCTGTCTCCCCCTTCATCCATCCTTTCCTTCTCCATCACCATCTCCATCTCCGGTCCTGCCTCTGCCTCTGGCCACCACAGAACGGCACGGCACGGCACACTGTATCTTTTGTCGAGGTGTGTGGTGATTTAGCTAGAGAGTCAAGGTTTTCTTGGCGTTGTTTGTTTGGTTTCATTCCTTCCTTTGGCGTGGTCTCTTTTGTTGGCTCACTGCTAAGCCGTGTCGTTTGTTGTTGGCTTGACAACGGTTGAATGTCCTTTCCGCTTGCGTTCCATAATGATGGTAGACTCTTGAAAGAATGCCTTTAATTTTCAGCAAACTAATTACTAGTTGTTTCTATGCGGAACCAAACGACCTACATAGATAATCATCGTTGGGCCACAAAAACAACTACAAGTATGTACACTTCTGAACACACTAGTCAGCCAACCAGCTAATTGTTTGCACAATATTAATAATTAATGAACATATATAAGCGTTCGCTTGTTTCTATGCAACATTTTTCCAAGTATCTGTGTTTATTGGCAGCTCGCGGAATGTACAATTAAGTCACCAATTCGTTGCTAATTTCATATTCAAGAACTCTATTACGCGTCTTTCTAATTTGTCAGCACATTTTTGCTACTGCTGGGAGATTCCTGAAAGCGTAAAGCGATGACACACCACCCACATGGCTACATAATACACTGAACACTGAACATTGAACAGATCTAAGTGGGGGCATTTCCTTTTCTGCTTCTTCTCCACAAATTTCCATATAAAGTAGAAGTGTGTAGAGAACTCAAAATTAATGGTTTTCAGTGAACTCAGTCATCATTTGTTTCTGGTTTGAATTCCTCACTACGACCATAGAGCTGCAAAACAATTGATGGCACAATCGATTGTGGTGTTTAGGATTATAACAAGATTGGAACTCGATTAGTAGATGTTCCCTAGAGATATTGTTAACAATTATTAATTTAAAGAATCAATTTTAATAAAAATTATTATGAAATAGTGATACTCTCAATAGTAATGAGTTGAAATACTTAAAACTCTTGAAATAATTTCTAACATTCAGATAAGAATAAAGAAAAATATTTTTAAAAACAAATATTTACTGAGTTCGATTAAATTTAAAATAAATGTAGATATAAGTAAATTTATATATTAATTAATGTACACAACGATTATTTTATGTAGCTTTGAAATTTTGCACAGTATTGACGGAATTCTGTATCGGGGGGAAGGTTGAAAGTTTTGAAATAAACTTGTACTGCGTACACAAATAAGGCATCTATGTGCAAAATTTTGTGCCTCTAGTTCTATTAGTCTCTGAGATCTAAGTGTTCATACAGACAGACAGTGAGACGTGACAAAACCGACTCGGCTACTCAAGATTTACTCGTATACACTTTATGGGTTCGGAAATGCTTCCTTTTGCCTGTTACATTCTTTACTTTGTACATAATATAAACATTTTCATGATTCCGATTTAGTATCGATAATTTAAATTATTGATTAATGGTAGCTAGCTTGGAATCAAAAATTATAACAGAATTTATAGCGTTGCCTCCCTATATGCTTTATAAGAGTATTTGATTTATATTATACATTCTTTGAACGATTACCTAGTTCCATACTAATTTCGGCTGCATTTGCAGGTTAGCTGTTGCAATGAGAATAGAAGTTGAAGGTTCCAGCTTTCGATATATGTTGGGTTTTATAATATATGTTGATGTCATTTGTAATTTAGTTCTTAGTAATAATAATGAGGGGTGATTTGTAAGCCGTCTTGGTTTCGAATGGAATCTGCGCTAAGATAACGTGTCTGAGAATATGAAAATTGTTGACTTCTTGTTTTTTGGAAGTAAATAGCTTTTAAAATGGCAATTGCTTCTGCTGATTATACTTTTGAGTTTGTAGTAAGGAATTCAATTTTGTGTACTGATTGCTCCGTTGTAGGTGGATTTTGATCCGTCAGTGTACTATATACTTGTATGAACGGATATTGCTGGTCATGGTGTTTAACGTGTCAGATCACAAAAATTGCTTTTAAAAATAACTTAATACATAGAATGGTTCGGTTACTTTCGCTTTTAAAATATACTTTCAATCGTTTAGGTTGATTCTTAAAGGTTTTATCGCATAGGGTGTTAATAAAATGAAATATTTTAGAACTTCCGTCTGCATATCCAGACAAAGAGACTGCTTTAAGGAAAGAGCTAACCAGCCAGCCAGCCAGCCAGCCAGGCAGTTCATAAGCAAAAACGATGTCACGTCGGCATGCCAATGCATATACACACAAACATATGTACATACTATATATATACAAGCATATTTATATAGGTTTGTATGGGTAGGTTATGCACCAATTGGATCGGCCAGTGATAAACAAGAAGGCGTCCATAAGCGTCCAGGCGCTCAGTTGATCTTGTTGTTGTTGTTGTTGTTGCTGTTATGTGTTTATTTTTACAACTTTTGTTGGTGTTGTTGTTTTTGTTAAATTGTTGCGCTGCGCGCCATTCATTCATGTGCCGCAGACGTCCAACGTCTGTCTATATGTCGGTTCGTCCGTTGTCGCCGCTGTCGTTGTCGTCGTTGTCGGGACTCCAAAAAGCGGCGGCCCTATATTCCCAAACCTTGTTGGGGCACTTTTTTTGTTTTTTATTTTTGTTGTGTTGTGTGTGTGTTGTTTTTTTTTTTTTGCACTTTGCCTCGTTGGCGGCGGCGGCGGCTGGCGGTTCGCTTAAATGATCTGGCCATGGACCTTAACTTCAGCCTCAGCCGCAGTCTCAGTCTCAGCTTCAGCTTGAGCTCCAGCATCAGCATCGGCAGTTTTAGGTTCAGAGACTAGCCTGCGTAGACGACGATGGGCCCTGAGATGATGATGATGATGACGATGACGATGATGATGATGGTACTGGGATCACAATGAAAGAGAATACATATGGACAGGCAATGAAGAAGGCAGCAGCATTGCAGCATTATTCGGATTGCTTCGTCGGCGTTGCTGTTGTGTTGTTGGTGCGGCAAAGATGATCTGATTCCGGGAACTCATTTCTTGCCCTTTTTTCCCTTTTTTTTTCTTTCTTTCTTTTTTAAGTTTTACGAGTATTATTACTGTCTATATATGTATGTACGTACATAATATACGCATGTGAGTGTCTGCGAGCGAAAACTTAGCAACAACAATATAGCGTATTGTTTTTTTTTCTGGTCGTTGAAATTATGTATTTTCGTTTTTACAAATTTTTAACGAATATTTGCAAAAGCTGCACTCAGAGGACACTCGAGAGCTGAGCTCTGTACCTGCTATTGGAGCGGAAATGGTAGCCAGACAGCCTTCGCCTTTAAACTGCTGCTATAGTAAAGCAACAACAACCAGTGTTTTTAAATTGGTTTTTTTTATCAGACAAATAATCGTCAATTTAATATTATTTTTTAACAAAATCATAATGTCAGAAGGCTGACTAATATTTATGAAGCAAAGGGAGCCTAACCATAATTATTTATTAATCAAATTTTGGTTCGTCGGTACAGACTATCAGCATTAATGGAATATTAATTATTTGTATGTGCAAAGCTTTTGAAAATTCAATTTTTAGTTTTTAACAATTTTGAATTTAAACAAATTTTTTTTTATAATTTTTGTTAAAATAAATTGTGTTTTAGTTTTTAATTTATTTGAATTAAGATTTTAATTTTTATGCAACATATTATTTTATTTTGTATATGAAAAAAACATTTCAAACATTCAAATTGTTATACAAACATTTATTTGTTAAATATTGTAAGATTTATTTTAAAATTGTATATATTGACTTGTTTAATATTTTCGTTAACATGCAATTAATTTTTTTTATAAATTTTTTTTTTTTTTAAATACATATTAAAAGTATATTATTTATTTTTTAAAACTTAAAAAAAATGTTTTTTGTTTGTGGAGTGTGTATACCCTGTATTTAAGAGTTGAGCCCGCTCGACACTAGCATTTCATTCTTTATATTTAAACTGTATTTAAACTGAACTATAAAAGTATAATTTGTATTATAAATAATAACGTTTAATCCTACATATAATAGATATTCATAAATATTTTCTAAAACTTAAATTTGCTTATGTTTTTTGCAGAAATGGGAACTTTATGTTCTGGGTCGTCTGGATTGGGACCTCTCGTCGGTGACGCCCTTAGATTTTCTAGAATTATTAATAATACGCTTACCTATTAAAAGTAAAAATTTTCCGGATCTAAACGTTGAAAAAGTGCGACAACACGCACAGGCCTTTATATCCATGGCAGCGAAAGGTAAGCATACCTGCACACCACACCTCCTTTCCATTGCTCAGATATATACTAACACCATTTACATTTTTAATTGCAGAGCATCATTTTGCCAAATATTCGGCGAGCACTATCGCCGCATCCAGCATTGTGGCATCGATGAGTGGCCTCAAATGGCATCTCCGTTCGGGACACAATTTGCACTTCTTGCTGAATCTGTTGACCGATTTGACTAGTGTCGATCAGGTGAGTGAGGTTTCTCGAACATTAAAACTCTAAATACATCTGCGTGGAGCAGACGCAAATTAAAATACTACTGTGTACAAACGTGAGCCGGAAATATGTTTCAGAAATCAAGCGGGTGTCTCGCTGGGAACCAAGTTTTTCTTTTGTTGGCATACTTTTGTATTCTTAAGGAATAAAATGCTATTGACTATTTGAAGAGAACTTTTATGCCTCGTACTGGCGATTTAATAAATTGAAAAGACATCTTTTTGACAAGATTGAAACGAGGAGATTCGAGAATGGGAGAAGGCGTTGCGATAAAATAGGTTTTAATGAATCAAATCAAGATTTCAAAAATGTTAAACAAACTGGATTTTAATTGTACACAAGAGTACAGTATATTGCTGATTGAAGGTACACTGAAAGAAGATGATTCGTTTTGGCACTCTTAATTAAGTTCGGTTTAGGAACACCTCAATACATTTTCCATATACATCTTATTTAATTTCTTTAACTGGATTTTATTGCAGGATCAACTGCAGGAGTGTATGTTGCAGATGGAGACCATCTTTGAAGAGCACAGTCGTAAGCTGCAGCCATTTCTGGTGAACGTTGAGCAACAGCAGCAGCAACAGCAGCAGCAGCAGCAACAACAGCAGCAGCAACAGCAAGGCTATTACCAACACCAGCCTCACCATTTACAGCCACAGCCACAGCAGCAGCAGCAGCAACAGCAACAGCAACAACAACAACAACAACAACAACACCCGCAGCATTGTACACGAACGGCAGCTATGCCCGATCTAACGCAGACATGCAAGATGCAGGCGCAGGCTCAGGCCGAGCTACACGACATCAAGTTCTGATGTGTGGAGGGAGGGCAGGCGGGTTGAAGGGGATTGAAGCGGCTTCCTCATGCAGATATGCAACATAAAAATGCAGGCGCAGAGCCAGCCAGGGTGGCGGATGTAGTTGCGGATTTTAACGGCATTCAAATTAACGGTGAATATTCGTTAATGCCGCTAAAACACTTATATAGACGTACCTAAGTTGCGTATAGAAATGCGATATATTTTTTTTCCTTTTTAAGAAATCACTCACACAAACCAACCTATCATCGAACAGGATTGGTGTGCAAGTGCTAGGACATAGAACATAAAATAATATATTACTAAATAAATTAGTAACACAAAAAACGAAATCTATTTAGGTTACTTACCCCCCCCTCCTCCCCCACATTAGGTATATAAGTTTTTTGTCAGTTTGTTGCATTTGGCATCTTTCTCGAGTATGTCAACGATTCAATGTGTCCTTTGATACTATGGTCACACTGATTTGAATATGACTGATTGTTTGCAGACAAACTCGTCAGAATTCAACTCAAAAGCAATACAAATTCTATGCTAAAGAATAGTGCTGTACTCGCACAAATGTCTGTGCAAATAATTTGTAATTTGCTCAGCTTAATGTTATGGCCAGACAGGCAAATTATTTGCACAGAAACAAATTTTCTCACAATTTCTCAAGTAGGCCAGGCAAATCAATATATAGCAAGTTTGAAGAAAAATTTGCACACAAAGTGTTTGCCAGTGTGACCATAGCTTATTACAAAACAGCTGTTACGTATATAAACAGAACAATGTAATTATCCTACTCTCAGTTCGTGACATACTCAATAACCAGTTGGCAATCTAATCCCTACCCCACGCCTCTCCTTACCTTCCTTCCTTCCTTCCTTCCTTCCTTTATCTATACACTACTTTTTTTGCTTTATCATACATTACATTACGAAATGTAATAACATTTAAATGAGCAATAATAATATATGTATGTGTTTAATTGTTTATTTTCGGCTAAAGTTGTTAATTGATGGGAACAATGCACATTATTGGCATGTGTTCTCAATCAAGATAATATTATTTCTTGAAATTAAATCTATATATACATGTATATTATTGTACCCATTTATATACAATTGTTTATACATACATTTACGAATAAGCATAATATTTTTGCTAAACACTTCAATGTATATACATATACATACACACTTCGAGATCTGCAAGTATATACTATATATACATACATATGTGTACTACATCTTGTAATGAGTGTACATTTTTTACTTCAAAAACAACAATCAATCGACAATATTTTAATGCATTTGCTAAACTAAAACGAAATAGGAAGGAAAAGAAAATGAAAGAAGTCAAAAAAAAGAAAGAGACTGATTCACAAAACAGGTGAACGAAATGAAATATGAGAAATATATGTTGGAGATAATACCAATTACTGAACAGTTTACCAATTAAATGAAATGCCGTGGCAAACGCTTTTAAACTAAACTACCTTCTTTTTTTTTGTTTGTTTAATTGTAAATAAAAGAAGAAAATATATAATTGCTTATATTTGTACAAATCAGTGAGAAACGCAGCCTTTATTTTTATGCATTTAATGTACGATGTAAGCCATGAAAGCGATTTAAATATATGTTAAACAATATCTATGGTGGAAATGTAATGTACAAAGCTAACAAATTTTGCGGAACTCTGCCTCGCTCTATACATTTTTATAAATAGAATTTTAAAATGAATTAATAATAAAATGTGAAGTTTAATTAGAACACCATGAAATAATACAATCTTTTTATTGCTATTTATGTAAAGTGGGAAGGAGGAACTGAAGCAGTTTTATTTGCTCCTACGGAGATGGAGGTCTTGCCCCGAAATCAATTAGTCAGCAGTGTTGTAACGACCTCCAGTTACGCCTGTAATGAAAGCTGGCTCCTCTTGTCAGCATCAGATAAGACCCAGCGACTCACATGAGCACGACTCCGATAGAATTCTTTGGCTGTAGGGAAACGCCTTTTAACGTAAGATCATTGCACGTCTATACTATATGTCTAATACGCCTAACACTAGTTGTTTCTGCAATATAACTGGCCGATGTGATGTGTCTTGATTGCTGACTAACTCGAAGCCCACACGGTTAGATGAAGAAAGCTTAAATAGTGTAAGTGAAGGAACAATTTAAACCCCAATGGGGGGAAAAGACCTCCAGAGTTTGTAGCCGATTAACTTCAAACTTGGCTTATGCCCACACTTCAAGAAGGAATACAAAATAAACTGCATTCACCTCTTTTTGTTTTTGGGTTTATTATTATTTATTGTGGTTTTCCTGTACAATTGATCATAAACTCATCCCAAAAACCTGTAATATGTTAGAAAACTTACCACTGAAACCCTTAAATGAATAGAAAAACTTGATGCAGATTTTTGTTAACATTTAAAATACATTTATTCATTTCGTTTGCTTCGTTTTTAATATTCGGTTGCTTTAACACTGTTGCTTTGATTTCTTTTGTTTAACAAATTTTTAAATTAGCATGATTTACTTCAAAGTCGCCTGAGTTTTGTTGTGCTCCGCCCCGGTCTGAACTTTAAAGTTTTAAACCCACACTGGTCTGGTCACAAACAGAAATATAAAATTAACTAATTAAAATTTAATTAAGATAGCAACTAATTTAGAAAGCTTATGACGAACAAATATAAATATTTCTGCATATTTGTTTCTTGACGTTAAGAGATGAAATCGTAAAAAGGCAATTTGCTTGATTGAAATATTATATATGAATATTTGTTATTTCTGGTAGAAATAATTGATAATTTGACTTTGAAAGATGAAAGATAATGAGCCAGAAATGCTGTATATATATATATGTATAATATATGCTCTTCTCGACATTCGCTGATGAGACACAAAAGCAATCAGACATTAAAAGATGAATTAAAATATGAAAGAAATATTCACATTTGTTCGACTTCAAAAGATGTTTAAACACAAAATAAAGTTTATGTGATAAAAAGAAAGGTACATAAATATTTAATGTTTGAGCTTGATAGATGAAAAAAAGATGAGATATGATGAAGCACAAATGAATTATTTGGATAATCAAAAGAAAAATGTATATACTGATTTGTTCTTCTTGAGAGATGTTAAACATGCTCGACTTTGAAAAATATAATGAACTAATAAAGAAATATGAATATCTGTTCTTCTAGATTACATATTTATCAATCAACTTTGAAAGAATTAAGAATTTTCGTAATATAAATAAAAATATATAGATTTGTTATTCTCAACTGTAAAAATATTTCCAATATAAGAAATTTATGTAAATTTTATGCTTTTTTCCGACTTCAGTACCAGACCAGTATAGCTCTCTGGGGCAGGACACAGAACTACAGTTAACTTTGTGATTGAATCCAATTTAAACAGTTACTTATTTTGGTTTTTGTTTTTGGTTTTGCTTGCATTGCAATATTTACAATACTATTTGTTTTTAGTTAATACATTATTGGTTTTCTTTTTTTGGGTGTTTCGTTTTCCAAACATGAGCTTTTTTATCATAGATTTATAGTAGTAACCTTCTATTATTTGGTATAAACTTGCCGTTAGCTTTAAATGTTTGTAAGTACTATATGTTTTTTTTTTTGTTTGTTTAAACCATTCTTGTGTAAATGTATATATATATACCTTGAGATATATATGTATATATATCTACACGCATATAAAACTTCCCAACCTTGGAGGCATTTTGTTGGAAGCTTTTTGCTGTTAGTTTGTCATTTGGTTTTTAATAAAAATATAAAATTTTGTTTACCTGCATTTTGTAGTTATTTCGTTTGTTTTCAAATTTACAATTATAATATATATATAAGTAGTACTAACTTATGTTTTTTTGTTTTTGTTTTTTTTTTGTTGCTTTCACTTTTATGATTAATAACGAAAATATCCATACTCATTGAAAAAGACCCCACAAACCATATACATTAGTGTATGTTTTCATGACCAGCATGTATGTCCGTCTCTCTATATCTGTCTCTATGCAGTGCAGGAACACTGGCCTTTAAGTTCTATAGACGCCCTCTCTCTATATGTATATACATTGGTGTACATATGTATGTATATACAAGTAATTATATTAACAATTCAGAGCTAGCCGGCTATGCATTTTAACGATTCATCGTACAAAGTTCATCAGTGGACCGCAATATCTTCAAACTGCCGTACAAATATATGTATGTGTATATTGTTATTTTTAAAATAGTTTTTTGTATTATAATTAAATTCAATTTGCTTCAAATGGTGGCGTAACTGAGACGAAGTTGATCGATAGATCGAAACATTATGGGGCTAAACAGTGGAACATCAGAAGAGGCCATAAACAGTTTTCTACAAAAATCAATTTTCATTTTCAATTTCAATTTCCCAACCAATTTGAAGTTCCTTTGTGCAGCTTTCTGTTGAAGTGATGCCTTTTCTATACATATAGTAGTTGTTGTTGTTGTTGGTGTGTGTGTGTGTGTTAAATCAATGCATATATATAAGTAATTATCAGATATAATGATATTTGCTCACTGCTCAAAATTTTGAAGTGTTTCATTTTGATTAGAATTTTTGATCATATTTTCAACAAAAATAAAATCTTCAAACAATGCATGTTTTTAAACGATTTTCTTTTTTAAATATGCATATATATTCCACTAGTAGACTTTTGTTATTTTTGACTCTTGGGTTATATATGTTATTCGTCATTCGATTTTCGTTTGTTTTTCTTTTTTTGGTTTTGTTTTTTGGTTTTTCCTTCGATTGTTAAAAGCAGTTCGTTAAAATATACATAAATATGTATGTAGGCGTGTAACTGAACACCTAAATTTTTCTATTCTTCACTTCACTTGACACGTTTACGTGCTACTAATTGATCAGTCTTGCTTGTGTTATAAATACAATTGGGGAATTCAGTGTTACATAAGACTAAGAAATGCGGCAGAGAATGGTTTTTTTCACAGCGATCCGATCCGCAAGAGTCATTGTTTGATTTAATGCCTTGAGTTTCGCGTTTCAATGAAAATAATGACGAGATCGAGACACCACTTAACATATAGCTGCTGCCTTGGGAATTAAATATATATCTATTTTTTTAATATTTTATTTCAGAAATGATAGAACTACGCAAACCTTTTTGAAAATTTTGTTCAACATCCATACATACTTGTACATTTTACCATTTTACCGTTTTACCAAATAGCCCCTAGCAGTGTTGAGAAATTAATAACTATGCGTATCTGCATCGATACAAATACTTGTGTATTTTCGAACATTGATCGCGTAAGATATTAAAAAATTTGTTAAGACATCAATAAATAATCAACATTCGCCAAAACTGTAACATTTGTTTGTTTTCAACGGAATTTTTTCTCAACAACACATCATTCTATATATTCGTATTAGGTGCATATATATGTTATGTATTTGTACAATACAAGGTCTGTGCCAAGCTTCATTTCGACTAAATTCGTCGCATTCGATTCGTTTTAATTTGAATCGATGGGCGCCGCCGCACCGATTGCGATAAATTCAATCGAAACGCACACAAATACTATGTATGCAATGTTTTCTGTCTTATTAGCTATAATTCGTTTTCGTACAATTTGTTTTATTTGTATATTTTTCAATCATTCACCAATTCTGTGGATTTGTTTTATTTCTTCTCTTTTTTGTCGTGCATATCGGCTGATTTGTGTTAATTTCTTTGCTGTTTGTTGGTATTTTTTTTAAGAGATAAAAGTTTTGTTGTATTGAAGTATGCAGATTTAAAGCTATGGGGCTAATATTTATCAAGCGATGGTTTTTCTATTTTTATTTTTTTTTGGTTTTTCTGTAACTTTTACAAAATTATCAAATATAAATATTAAATGTCACGGTCAGCCATATAGGAACAATACATACATATCTAGTTCTGCCAATGTTAAGAGAGTTTGTCAACGAGATCTTAAATATGTTGTTGTCGAACGAAAATAGCTGCCATAGGAATAATCATCTCGAAAATGAGTTTTCTCAAGGATATGTAATCTTCGGTATGCCGAAGCTAGACTTTAATTCTAAACATCATCTGTTTTCAACTTGATTTTGTTTTCTTTCTCTTTCTGTTTCATTTCATTTGGTTGTTGTATTCGCGAAAAGCAGTGCGGCTATATATATATAAGTAGATTCCTTAAATGTTAGAGAACGTACCAATTAACGACTCGCTAACCATAGCCGTCCAAATAGGTGTCCAACGAGACTCGGATACTGGACTTGGCAGTGCAACATGAGCCAAATGTTGCGGCTGAAGTCGCCGATATCTCGTGGCCGAACCGATTTATGGATGGGAGGGCTATGATTTGCGATCTAGAGATAATTTTCTTTACGTTATACAGTATGGTACAGTTTCGAGTTATGAGTTAATAAGACGTTTCTTTTGGTTTGAGATGCCAAATATTTTGGTGCTTCATGCACACACATATGTATATATATATATATAATAATAATATATATTTAGGTATATTTATATAGTACAGAGTCTGGATATACATATATATAGTATGCATGAAAGCACAATACCGGCATCTGGATTCGACATACATTAAATGTACACGTCTTTTTTCGCTTAAGATGAATATATAGGTGTAGTTGTATACATACTTGTAGTTAATGTGTGCTTAAATATTAATTAGATTTAAAGGGTTCATCTTGTTTGTTTGTCTTGTTTGTTGCTTTTTACATCAATCTGTTGTTTGCCCGCAATAACATGAAAAATTCAATCGATACAAAACATATATGAATATAGTATGCTCGCGTGGCGCCAATAGTTATAGAATTCGTTTACATATATTTTAATATTTTAAGCATTACTTTAATCAAGTCATTTTACTTATTTAGCTATGGTTAGACAGACATATAATTTGCAACCAAATCTATCGATTACATTTCAGGAAACATCCAATTCTTGATGCCTCTTCTATCGAAAATAGAGCGGTGCATGCTCGATTCGTTTTATATCAATAGTATTTTTATGAGAAATCCCTAGTGGATTTTTTGCTAAAAGGTACGAGATTATTTTTAAGAAAATTTTGTAATCTTGTTTCTTTTATTGTAACAAAAATGCATAAAGAATTTAAGTATCAGTAAAAATCAAGTTCGTTTAGACAAGAAATGTGTTTCTTTACTGCATTTTGCGTCACATGCATCGCTCTAATGATTATTGAAAAGCAAATATGATCGAAATGGAATCTAATTGAAGTCTGATAAATAAATATGATATATGTTTGATGAATTAGGATCGGAGAAAAATATTCATTTAATTCGTTATTTCTTGCATCATATGGAATTCGACAAATTTAATTGGAACTTATAGTACAACACATTTTTTATGGCAATTTATTCAACTGTCTGACCGCAGTTAAAATTCTTTTTTAATAAAAGAGTTCGTATCGAATTTAATGACTTGCACAGATCTTCAAATATTTTAAAGAATTTACACCATTTGTACGCCAACTCTGAGAAATGTTATCGAATCGGAAGCTTGAAAAGGTATGTTTAACAAAATTTGTGATATTTGACAAATTTCTTTGCAAAATATTTCAAGTTTTCTCAACATTTTTTGTGAATGACCATTAGGAATAAATTTTGAAATATTTGTCATTTCAATCATCGACTTCGGCAAATCCGATCGAATTGGGTCTAGGACTAAGCCTCCTTAAGAATTTTTTTTTTTTTTTTTTTTTTTTGCAAATTACTGACTTAATTTGCAACGGTATTCAATGAATGACTCATAATAATAAAGTGTGAAATATTTTCTATTCAAAACAACAATTTCTTAGCCTTTTTTTTTGGTTTGTTTGAAATTTGAAAGTACAGACACGTTTACGTCCAAACATTTAAATAGTTTGTTAACAAATAAGAGTAAAAACTGTACTTACATATTTGCTGTACTATTTAATATTATGTAGCTTTAGAAGTAAAAATTTGTCGACTATTTCTATACTATTTGTATTTGGATTTATTTAATTGTGGGTTCGGAAGGTTAGGAAGAGTCGAATGACTTGATTATAGGCTGGCAATGGCGATTGGTTTGATTTGAATTTTCTCATGTGGAATGGGGACTCAACGATTTATATATAACGTATATAGATATATGTAAGTGTATATGTACTTTGTATGTACAAATAGGTGTATGCTATGCTTATACACAATTTTGTTTTTGTTTTCATTACTCTTTCTAACACTTTGGCACAAAATAATTCACAGTTCTTTTTCTTTACAATAATCCAGTATAGTGTATTTGTTTGTTGGTTTCTTTTATATACACATTCGCAACGTCATATGCAGGTATAGGTACATATATAGTGAGAGACACATACATACATACAGACATATGCATACATATATACGCACATCTATATATGTTTGTTTATCTTTCCTTTGCGCAAATATACATTTATAAATTTAAGTACAATATTTAAAAAAAAAACAAGTCGTAAGTATTTGAAGTAGTTTGTACATTCACTGGATTTTTTGTTTTTATATCAATTTTGTTATGCTTGATAACAGTACTTTGTTTTTGTTGTTGTTTATAATCAATATTTTTGACAATTGATTTTATGATTTTAGCTTTGTACAAATCCTATAGAATGTTAAATATCCTTCGCTCTGTAAACTCTATTTAATTTAATAAAATGTTAGTGTTTTTTTTGATGTTTTTGTTTTTTTGTTAATTTCATTTTCCTACTGCGCTGCTGGAGGTTAGATTTACAGGAATCGTTCGTTCGTTTTGTGGTATTTACCTACAAAGTATTACGGTTAGGTACATACATTAGTTTGTTACAAAATTCATTAAGTATTCCATTTATAAGTACTATATATTTATACAGTGCATTATAATGCAGACACACAAAACAAACATATAATCCATACATAATAATATTTCAAATATTTTGTATTATCATTACTTTTGTTTTAATTTTCGTTTTTGTTTGTTATTCCGGTTATTGTAGTTTCCCAAAAAAAAAAGGTAACTTAATATTCAATAAATATGATCATGTGAGGCTGAGAAACAGGATCTCGTTTCCCATACCATTTTATAGTGTACCAGAGAATAGAAATTAAATTGGATAGATTCCACAGTGGATGGGATTTACGTGATAGTCGAGAGCGTAGCCAGTTGAAGGGTCTTTGTTGAGGGCGATGCCATCGGCGAGGGTGTCGGCACGAAGAGGCTGGACGAGGCGGTCTCTGTGGTAAGGCTACGTTCCTCATAGACGCCAGTGCGTTCCTGAGATTCACATTGATTAGCCTAACAACTGCCTACTTGTATTATGAGTTACTGTGCTGATGACTCACATGTGATTTATCGTATTTAAAGCGTTTCCAGATATTCGTCTTTGGCTCCATTGGTGTGCCGTCGACATTATAGTTTGGGTTCGAAAATGTTAACACGGAGCGACTGGATCCACGTGAATGATGCCGTTTAGTCTTCTTGCGGTTCGTGTTAAAGGCGAGCACTGCAGAGCGAGTGAGAACAATGAGCGTAAGTATATAGGTGGACACGATAGTAACGCAATGAATCGGAATAGGAGGAGGATGTCAAAATTGAGAAAAAGAAACACTTGAGCGGCTTGTCGGGGCGCTTGGTTCTCTACACAAAAACGCAAGCAAACTCACGGGACAGCTCGCGTGAGAAGCTCGCGTGAGAAGCTCTCGTGTTAATAGTAAAGAAGAAAGAAAGAGGGAGGGAGAGAGAGAGAGAGAGAGAGAGGGAAAGGGAAAGGGAGGTGGAAAAATAAAGGAAGTTAGAAAGAGATAAGGAGAAGTGCAGCAAGAAAGCTGTGAGCGCAACAGAAACAGAAACTTTTGCAGTTCGTGTTGGATTTGCTTAAAATTCTCAACCCCCGAAAGTTCGATCGCTTCCAGGAGCTTCGTTAAAGTATAATCACAGCAAAGATAACAATAAATTGTGGCGAAATTAATTTCAGTAAAGTTTTTTGATAATAATTATACTGATGAACTATTTTAGAAAATATTAGTTTGATATAGTCGAATAAAATTATAATGAGATGATGTATGAATAATGAAATATTTCCGTGTGGAGCTAGACTTACTAAAGATCACAAGCATTATTATAACGACCATAACGATGACCACACCGAGTGCGACCAGCACCAGGAACTCGCGTTCAGTGTCCGCTTTCCGTTTGAGCTCCTCATCATCTAGATCATCGTCATTGTCCTGATTATCGTTGGATATGGGATCATCGGTGAACTCGTCTGAATATTCTGGCGACTGTTCGCTTTCGACGCGCGGCAGTACCAGCTCTTTGGGCGTTTTGGAGCACTCCTTCGATTCCAGCTTATCGGGACAGGCACAAACATAGTCTGTGACGCGATAGAAGCATAGATGGGTACAGCCACCATTATCTTGGGCACACTGATTCCAACTCTTGGCCTGACGCTGCAGCGACACCGCTCGTATATCCAAGGCACCACTGAGAGCATCTCGCACCTCAAACGGATTACTGTAACCAATGCGAGGCACTCGCTGGGAACGATACACCGACTTGTTGTACCAATCTGTCCAGTAGATGTTGCTGTCGAACTGAAAGTAGATTTAAGATAGTGGTTGTTGTTGTATAATGCCAATGGGTTAATCGTTAGAATTAGGCGAAAAGGAAAAGGTGAAAGGCTTCTCAAGCCTTCGTTCAAGAAATTTTCCACCATTGGGGTCTTAGGTTTATTAAGACTTTGGGGAATAACCATATTTAAACCTTAGTTGAACCCTTTTAAGCCCTATGTTGGAGCTATGTACTGATGTACTGATAAACAGGTTGATGCCCTGCTGGGTTTCAGAATTATTAAAGGAAAGACTTTAAACTTATATAATGTCTCTTTACGTTTTTGTTGATGAACATTTTGACAAACTATCCATTCTTCAAGCTAGTCTCTACGAACACGGTGGATTTTAGGTCACTGTGGTCACTTTTGTGGAAGACAATGAACAAGTTAACGATGAAATCAACGATGTAAAGTCGAACAGTTAAAGCAATGATAAGAGATTAAACACCTGCAGATGACTCGCGAGAAACCGTTCTCGGTCATCTTATTTACCCTTAACACACATCTGATAAAGCTTTTCACAGGAAGCCTGCTCGTGGTGGCTTAATATTTTCTCAAGGGGACTGTCCATTAAGAAACAAGACCTTAAGGACGAACGATAACTTAAATGTCTTTTTAAAAATGATATTTGGCTGCTGTATAGGCGTAAGGAGTCTCGTGAGGCTGAATTGTAAATCATATTTTTAAGATTAAATCATATATATGCTTACAATTGTCAAACCGAAAGGATGCGGCGCATATGGCACAATGGTCTGTCGGCGTTTGCCATTAAAGTCCACCTGTCCAATGTTATCCTCGAGCGCATCAGCCCAAAGCAAGCGGCGGTTGCTGCAAAAAAGAAAATAAAATAAAAATGGATCAATTATGGAACTGATTTAACAGTCAAGCCACTCACTTGAAATCAATGGTTAAGCCAGTGGGAAAACCTATGCCCGAAGTCACAATAGCCGTACGATTTGAGCCATCCAAGTAGCTGCGCTCGATTCTTGATGGGGAGTCCCAGTCAGACCAGAAAAGATAACTGCAAGCAAATAATCTGGCATTTTAATCATTGACCATTAATTAAGAATGGGAACTTACGCTTTCTTCGGATGTACAATCAATGATCTAGGATCGCCGAGATCGCTATCGATGAGTTTCTTGCGACAGCTTCCGTCTAGCCTGGCGACCTCAATTAGCTTCCGATCCGTGTCAGACCAGTAGAGATTTTCAGCAATCCAGTCAACGGCAATGCCATTCGGGGTTAGCAGGTCAGTACTGACGATAACCTTACTCTCTGTGAGGTTAAGCAAGTTGACGCGACGTATAACGTCCAGGTTGACATCGGCGAAGAAGAGCCAGTTCTTGCGATAGTGATAGTCAAGCACAACCGCACCGTGCACGCCACTGATGGGTAACACCACATCCATGTAGTCGCCGCTGTTCAGAGAGATCATGCCGATACCTGACCGCAAAGCAATTATCAGATAATCCTGTAGGGGAGAAGATATGGAATAATAACAAACTCGTAAGAAAGCATAATAGATTACACTTTCTCTAAGCTTTTATATCTAAGCTATTTGTATTCTTCTGTTCTTTCGGTAATAACACTATTAGTGCAGAAGACAGACACTAGTAAGGCAATTGTAAACGTTAAGCCTATAAGAAGGCATAATAGATTACACCTGTGCCTAGATTATTCTAATTTATAGTTAGTCTATCTCTTTCCACTTTACCTGTGGCCTTCCTAGTGGCTGTCTTAAGCCCCATCATACTTCAACAATTTTGATCATCTTCACATTCTGCCAACCACTACATATCATCAAAAAACTGTACTTACATCTGGCAAGTTTTGGCATTCCGTTGTGCTGTTATCACGCAATCGCAGGCCGATGGGGCACTGACATGTGTAGCCTGCAGGATTGCGAAGGCACAGATGTGAGCAGCCCCCATTGTTCTGACCACAAACGTTCTCCGTCAGGGTTTGTTCGGCAGTTATCACTTTGATGTCCATAAGACCGTCGATGTTGGTCATAACATCACGCTTGGCCGTAATATTGCGGCGTTCTGCCATGTGAAGGGCCTTTGACTTCCAATCAGTCCAATAAATATAGTCCTCAGTAAGGGCTAGGGCATAGGGATGATGAAGTGCGGACATGATTAGCTTGCGCTGATTGCCTGTATAGTCACAAGAGTCGATCGTCTTAAGGCGCGCATCGACCCAATATATGCGTTTACTCTTCAAATCGAGAGATAGTCCATTTGGCCAGCCCAGGTTGGCGGTAACAATGCGCGAACGTTCGTTACCATCGAGATGGGAGCGTTCGATTTTGCGATAATGACCCCAGTCTGTCCAGAACAATAGGCCTGCCTCATAGTCCAGTGAAAGACCGCGTGGCGATTCCAGATCTTTGTAGGCAATGACGTGACGATTGGCACCATCCAGACTGGCCACTTCAATGGTATGTCGTCCTGCATCCGCCCAATAGATCATGCGTCCCACAGAGTCAACAACCAAGCCATCTGGATTCTCCAGGCTCTCGCCAATAACCTTATGGACGTGCAGACCATCGGGACTCGAGCTCATGATTACATTCTCAATAGTATCCGACCAGAAAATATATCCCGTCTTTCGATCAACGTCCAGAGCAACAGCATTCGAGATCGGTGGCAACGGCAGCACCACATCGATCAGATGCTCAAAATCCAGCGATATCTGGCGTATATCGATACGATGCGCAAACAGAATGTATTTGGTCGGTCCTTTGGAGCACGTCCTACCATCCTCCTTTAGTTGTACACCCACGGCACAGGCACAGGTATAGCTGGTCGGGTTAAGGAGGCAGAGATGTGAACAGCCGCCATTAAACTTATCGCACGAGTTAAAGACACGTCTACGGGAACGATGGAAGACCCGTATGTCCATCAGATCACTGCTATTGGCGATAACTGTGCTTATATCCTTGCCCGTAAGCTTATCGGCACTCATAGCTGACTTGGTATCCCAGTCGGTCCAGTAGACGCGATTACCGCTGACATCCAAGCCAAATGGATGACCAAGTCCGTCTACATTATGAAAGGGGGGGAAATATAAAAAATAAATAAAAAGTTAGAAACGTCTTAAGTTGGGAACTCTACAATGAATAGGAACATTTATAGCTTAAGAGAGCACTTATAAGGGGAATATTAACGTTTAGAAGCGAAACTTCTTATGTGAGGGTTTCGAATGCTGGATCGGCAACGTTTTCTGCGACGAAACCAATTTCTAGACATTTTCTGGGATTTTCTCTAGCTACTTATAATTGGTGTTCTCGCTATTTTCTAGCTTCTAACTATTCTTAGTTGTTTTTAAGCCGTTTTCTAGCGGTATTTTGTATAAGACTTCAATCAATGCATTGTTTTAAGTGAGGAAATAAATATAATAGAGATACTCACTGATAATGACTTTGCGATTGCTGCCATCGAAATTCATGTTCTCCAGGGTCTTAGTGCCACCATCAACAAAGTACAGCTTGTGTTGCTCATAATCGATGGCCAGACCGTTCGGCCAGATGAGCTGCTTAGCCGCTACAATCACTCGACTACGACCGTCCATATTGGCGCGTTCAATCATGGCCTCCTCACCCCAATCAGACCAAAACATGAGACCCTCTGTAGCAGAAGTAAAATGTTCGATACCAGAGGCAAAAAAAAAAAGTGAGAGGGTCTGACTTACCTATGGGATTTACGACAATATCGCGCGGCTTGTCCAACTTCTCCCAAACCAGGAGAGTGCGCATTTTTCCATTTGTGGTGGCGACTTCAATGCGGTTTGTCGAAGGATCGGTCCAGTAGAGCTTGTCGGTGATCCAGTCGAGTGCCAGACCCACAGGTGAAACTATATTTGTGCTCACAACACGTTGCTGGTAGCTGCCATTCAAATGGGCTCTATTTATGGAGCTGCGCTCCACATCGGTCCAGTAAATAAAGTCCGTTTCGCTGCACCAGTCCAGTGCGACGGCATGTTTTAGATTGTCTAGCGGAACGATCATGTCCACATCGTTGGGTCCCTGCGGCTTGGTATTTAGCTGTCGCAGACGAATGTCCTTGCGACGAGCAACTAGCACCAGCTTGTCAGGGACACTCTTGCACGTCTTGCCATCCTCCTTGAGGGACAGACCAATGGGACAGCCACAGCGACGTGAAGTCTTATTCGGTAGACACAAGTGGGAGCAGCCGCCGCGTAGTCCACGCCTATCTTTCGGACAGCGGTCTACATAGTCGGGTTGACGGGCGGGATGGTAAGCGTGAATGTCCATGGGAAAGTGGAAGTTTTCGTGTACGGAGCGAAAGCCTTTGCCGGTGATTTTATTTGCGGCCGATACGGTCTTCGTATTCCAGTCCGTCCAGTACATGGTGTCTTCAAAGATGGTCAACGCAAAGGGATGTGGAAGATGGGAGCTCAAGATTTTAGTACGATCGCTGCCATCCAGATTGGAACATTCAATGGCATGCTGTTTGGCATCGGCCCAATACAGCTTTCGATTGGGATAATCGATGGTCAGTCCATTTGGCCAAGTGACACCCTTTGATATGATTATCTGTCTTTGGGTGCCATCCATGTGAGCGCGTTCGATTTTGGGGTTTGGTCCCCAGTCGCTCCAGAAAACCAGTGCCTCTCCCGGATGTATGACAATGGCACGTGGCTTATCCAAATCATTGGAGGCAATCACAGCCCTTAAGTTACCTTGGAAATTGGAGACTTCGACCCGTCGCGTTCCCGAATCGGTCCAGAACAGCAGATCGTGTACCCAATCGACAGCAATACCTCCCGGCGACTCGAGACCCCATTTAATGACATCGCGCACTCGTGTGCCATTCATATAAACCATCTTGATGACATCTGTTGAAACATCCGACCAGAACATCAGACCCTTCCGATAGTGAAAGTCCAATGCTATTGCATTGTGTAGACCCTTGACGATGGCCGTGTAACGATTATTACTGAGTGTTACACGCCGTATATCCCAACGATTGGCCACCAGCAGTGTCATTGCACCACCTAGGGCCTTACAGGTGCGTAAATCTGGACGCAAAATATAACCCGTTTCGCACGAGCATCGGAAGGATCCCATTGTGTTCATGCACTTTTGCGAGCAGACGGGGCTGGTTAAGTATTGGCATTCGTCGATATCCGTGCAGCTGCATAAAAAGATTGTGGTTATAAAAACATAACACATACAGTGCTTGATTGGAAAGTGGGGGTCTCTTTTTGGATGCCTCTGTGTTTTTAGTCGAGAAAGGTGGGTAATGAACAGAAAACATTTAATTAACTACGGAGAGTCTACGTTTTCGAAATGCCAGGCGTTAATTCTGGATAAAGTAACTCTTCTTGCAGCTTAGCTGTTTAATCGTTGCTAAGCGAGCTGTAGAATTTGTTACTAGAGCTCTGGTTGTTGGAAGGGCTTGGGTGGATAATATACATATATTACTATATGTTGCATGGCATTCATCTACACTAGCGCTTTATCTGTCGTTGACACTCTTCGTGAATCGACCTGCTTCCGTAATCTCTCGCTTTAGGGTTGAGCCTTCCAGTACTACTTGGCTGTTACTTATAAGAGAGTATTAAGATAAGCCCTAGAGATGACATTTCATTAAAACATTCATCGCTATGACCTAAATTTTAATAGATTTAACACATATTATGACTTTTCTCTAGCGAATGAGAAACATATATATATCGTATATCCTTTATGGGATTTTTCTTGCATCCTAATAGACTTACTTGCGCCTGTTCTCGTGCATCAAATACCCCAGTCTGCAGGCACATTCATCGCGTCCGCGCGCCGTCTTTATGCACAGCTGTTCGCATTGCCTTGGCTCGGGACATATCTGCTCAGTTGGACAGTTAACCTCATCCTCACCCAAAGGACAGTCGTTTTGACCGTCACAGACGTGCTTTTGATGGACGCAGATTCTGCGCAAAAATTCAAGATGCTTGCGATTGAAGAAAGAAATAAATCAATTTAGATTGAAGACTTACTTTAAATTGGTAATGTTTTTCTTGGCTGGGCAGAGAAACTGCCCGGCATCGCACTGTAGATGACAGTCGACCTCATCCTCAGCCGATGAGCAGTCCGGGTAACCATCACAGAGCCAAGTGCGCTGTATGAAATGACAAAATTGTGAGCAATTGATTTACAAAGAGGAACGTAGAGAGAGAGAGAGAGAGAGAGAGAGAGAGAGAGTGATTAATCGATTAGACTTACCAAAATGCAGCGTCCATTGTGGCACGTGAACTCATCGGTGCCACAGGTTATCGGATGATTGCTGCCCATATTGCCGCAGTCGTTCTCATCCTCTCCACCGTCGCAGTCCTGCTCTTTGTCGCACTTCCAGCGCTTGGGAATACAAGTACCGTCCGCACATTTGTATTCACTGGAGGTGCACTGCGAGGGTTTCTGCGGACAATTCTCCTCGTCACTCCAGTCCCCGCAGTCGTTGTCGCCATCGCAGCGAAAACGATTCAGTATGCACTGACCGCTCGGTCCACCGGCACCGCCCAGGCCGCCACGACACTTGAACTCGCCCTCAGGACAGCTGTTAATTACGGCCGGACACTTGTACTCGTCTGAATTGTCATCGCAATCGTGCTCGCCATCACAGCGAAAGGCCACAGAGATGCAGTAACCATCGTTGCAGGTGAAATGCTCGGAAGTGCAACTGGTTCGATTGCAGTGCGCCTCATCGGAATAGTCCTTGCAATCGTTCTCACCATCGCAGACCCAGGCCCGCTGAATGCAGAAACCGTTCTGGCATTCGAATTGGTCTTCTGTGCAGTTGGTGCGAGCACCACAGTGGGTCTCATCCGAATAGTCACCGCAATCGTCGTCACCATCGCAGAGCCAATCCTTGTTGATGCAACGATAGGTCTTGGGGCACATCACATGCAGACCCGTCTGCTCGCACTCCTTCTGCAGCTTCGTCATCATGTCACCCATATTATCGCAGTCGTATTCATCGGATCCGTCCGTGCATTGCACCTCCCGATTGCAGCGAGCATGCAGATCTATGCACTGGCAGTTGCTGCACTGCCACTGCAGCTCATCGCAGATGTTGTGGCAGCCGGTGGCCGCTGGTGCACTGAAGCCCTCACCGGGAAGCCCCAGTTGGCCGGGATCGTCCTGCACCACGCCACGATTGACAAATGGGCGAAAGCTTTTCTGTTTGTTGTTCGCTGCACCCACAAAGCCGTCACGTCCCCGTGAATTCTGGCGATCGGACTCACGCACGCCATAAAGATCGCCACGGGTAGCGCCTCCCTGGGCTGCATTACGGAATTTGGGTGTGTCTCCAGTGCTTGCACCACCGCTGCTACTTGGCTTGGAAATCACAATCGGCTCCATGGTATACACCTGGCCATAGAAACTGTCGCCCACATCCTTGCCATCCTCATGCACCGACTGATGCGGTGGATAATCGGAAACCGTATTGTACCCGCCGCCCTGCTCTTCGTGCTCATCCTCTAGCTCAGCGGTTATGCCATCGCTATTGAAGGCTATGCCCAAATGCTCGTCACTATTATCATTCTTGTTGTTATGATGGTGTCTCCGTGCTGGTTCCGTGCGCCAATCCTTGCTTACTGTACGCAATGCGGCCTGATGTTGTTGCTCCGCTTGGGGAAAGCCACGCGGCGCATTTACGCCCACAAAAGGATCCTCCTGTTCAGCATAGCTTGCCTCTGGCCAAGGGCTAGGTGGAAGTACGCCCGCCAGATCCTCCGCATCAACATCTCCCAGTGCTACAAGACAAAATTCACATATGTGCAATAGTTATTCATTTTTTGGAAATAATGTAAATTTATGTAAAGTAATTATGTGTTAAAATCTATAATATGTATCCAAATTATTATATGGAACCATTACAGCCACAATTTCACAATGGTTATATATATGGTTATATAGAATTGTTTTTATACAGCACGTAGAAAGAGAGGGAGAGAGAGACAGAGAGAGAGAGTAAGGTCTGTTGAGGTTAAGTGAGAAAGATGATTGCAATTTAAGCACAAAATCGAAATTGTGCAAAATGGAAAACAATTTTTGGTTGGTCTAGTTGGGTTGGGGCAGTAACGTTAAGACTACCTAAATGGCCATAACGACCTTCTAAAGACAAACGAAACTCAGGAAAGTTCTACACAGTGCTAATGATGGAAGATTTAAAACCAAAACCCTCCAGCAGAGAGAATCGGATTTCAGGTTGAACCGCATCTATATATTTTCGATGCTTTCAACACTAAACGCATGAGCAGAGGGCGTAAAGAAGATTATTTGTGTAAGGATTGTTGCTAAGCCTTAAAGGGATGTCAAAATTTATGTTCAATTTGGAATCAAGGTAGTACCCCAAAATCTTCATAACAATAACATCGGAAAAGTGAAGAAAAACAACACATTCCGGGTTAACCTTTTGGACTCGTAACACAAGAACAAATCACCATCCAGCCTGATTGTGACTGAAATCAAGCAGGTAAGCCATCGTATTCGCCCGATTTGGCTCCGAAACTCAAAACTCAATTCCGGGAAACGCGCCATAAGTTGATTTGCTGAAGGAACTAATGGCCATCCCGGCAAGTGTACGAAAAATTAGATCAACCGTAGGCATGTTTCTATTAGCTCAAAAGAAGCCTATATTGAAAGCAAAAGATCTGTATAAAAATAGTTAAATATCAGTTTATCAAGAGGAACAAATTATTGATTTGGTTCAAATATCTTAATGTACAAAAAATGTGTACTAATAGGAGTAATCGAAGCTGTGGTAGATACATAAATTAATGATGTGGTTTGTAAAAAACTTGCTCTGCGTGTGGAAAAGACAGCTTTGCTGTTGACAAGCTTCGTGTCCCTAGCTATTAAGATATTCATGCTGATTATCCGAGTATATATATACCTCAAGCGTGGATTCTGCCAGGCCTCCTTATGCCTGTTATATAACTGTAAAAAACACGTACACCAATTACAATTGGAGGCCTAATTGGAAGCCCTTTCAATGACTGCATCGAACGAGATAAGCAGCTTGTAAATGGCATTCAAGAGCACCCTTTCATATTGTTAGTTTATTGTTCACATGGGCTGCAGAATTGTTTACTTGTGTTGCACATTTCTTTTCCACTGCAAGCTCTACGAAATTGTATTCCTTGGAAAATCCGCCAAATAAAAGCAATTATTTAGGTTTCAAATGTTGCTTTTTCCTGCAACTAGTTCGGGGCAGTATCTTATAACAGAATTAAACAACGTAGAGGAGTAAGAGTTCGTTCATAAATAAAGAAAATATTAAAGGACCAAGAGGCACCTTGAGGCACAACAATTGGTCATGTAACCAGGCCCAGAAATATTCGACCTGCGCAAATGCAATGACTTCTATTTTTCAAAAACTACGATATCCAAAACAAAAAGCATGAAATCCTGGTCCATAAAATCAAAATTCTCTTAGCTACAATAACAAACTGAAATTGGAAACTTGATGTTATCTAAGATTTAGATAAAAGCTGAAAAATTTGCTCTTTAAAGACACAACATTTTTGTAATTTCGTTTTAAAACTTGTTTAAAGCCATGTGCAAATAAATGAATTCGCTTCTGATTATCGACTGCGGTCCTTGAAATGTTTTCGCAGAACTTTAATAACAACTGATTACACTTATGTAAATTAATATGATATTTTGTTAATTCCAGTTAAAACTGCATTTACAAAAAGCTCAATTCCCAGAAGCGCTGTTGATTTTTCATAGTTCTCCAGCATTGGAAAGGCTGCATTTCCAATTCGGAGAATGAAATTTCGTATCAAATTTCGTAACATAATTTGAACTTCATTTAAATATTATTATTGTTTTTACTGAATTCCAGTTCGAAGAAGCCGCTCTGTGTTGGTGTTTAATTAATTTTTTTCCCGTTAAAAAGGCTGCCCTTGAATTCGGCGAAACAAGCTAATTGCAAACCCAAACTCGTTCTTGCCATAAAATTAATGTTTAACATTTTTGTAAGAAGCTTATTGATACATTTTTTTTATATTTGTTTGAATCCAATAAATTGAAAAGTGTAATCAGTTCCGACTGCCAGAATGCTGAGTAACTCGCAATCTTATTTAAATACGATATCAACTGCTTTCCAGAAAAAAATCGGTAATATAACTTCCTTTTTAGTGAAGGCAAAGCTAAACTGCTTCCTTCGTTTGGAAACTGAAACTGAAACTGAATGCCTATTAAGATTCCGGCTGCAGCTTAAGCTAATTATAATAAGCTATAATTATAATAATTGGTAGAACAATCTCGAGCACTGAATATATGATGTTTATTGTTCATGGCTCATACTATAGTATAGACGAGTACTATTGTACTTTGAAATGTGCTGTCACATCTGTCCAATAAGCTCATGAGATTTATTAGATTGCGTTCTTGAGGATATGCTGCCCTCTCACCCTTTATACATTACTAAGTTTAATAACTAAGTTTTTATCTGGACAAAACACAAGCAGTCTTCTTTACAAGAAAACGGAAGAACACTTTCCTTCCAAGTTGCTAAATTAACTTGAACAATGTAGATGTGAAATGAATGAATGAATCAGATCCAAGACCATGTTCAATATATCATGAAGAAATCAAATAAATTAGTTTGTGTTTTAAGCCCATTTATAAATAGAATCTCCTGTTCCAGCATACAAAACAAAATGAATCTTTTCAGCTCAATTTTCTAAGCTGTTCCCTGCTATGGGGCCCAAATTGTGTATTAAAAAATGCAGTTTTTCAAAACAAAATGCATAAAAACAACATTAAAATGATCTACAGCCTTTCCTACCTCTTCTCCTGAAAGGATTGCTCGCCTAAACATTAGATTCAATAATTGATGTATGTACTCTACATACCTGTTTTTTTTATTTTTTTATATAATGCTAGCTTAAGATTAAAATCTTAAAACTAACAGAAGAGAATTATGTTAGCAATGGCTACTAGGGCCTTCAGCTAACTTTACATTTTACAGTGTTAAAGAAAAAAGTAGGAATACATATGTATGGGGATTGGGTTTAAATGTTTGTGGCTTTTAAATATTTAAATATGACTTTGGAGTTATGTATTGATGCGTTTGCAATTAAGGTGATGGGGTTAATGTTTGGGAAAATAGATAATCTATATGGTAGGAGTGTGGGGCATGAGGTGAGGATATGTGCAATGTTTATTAGCGCGTTATTGCAGAAAGGGCAGTGTTTAGATAGAGTTTGGTCCAGGAAATGTGTGTGTGTGTTAATGCGGTCTGTCCAAGGCGAATTCTAAGGTCAAGGAGAGATAATTTTTTAGAGCTAGTGTTATGTCGGAGGAATTGTAGTTGGGGGCGTAAATAAGAGGAAGAGCTGTGGCCAGTTTTGCAATACATACCTGGTTATAAATAATATCCAATTTAAAAAGAATAAAAACTTGTAAAAATTTTGTTTAATGCTTATTAAGTTACGTTTAAAAGTTATTAAGCTTTCTGGTTTTTATATTTGTATAATTCTTCCCGCTTTGCACTGTCAATAGTTGTCGTTTAACTATTTATTTCAATTAGGTAGAAAAGGCTAAGCTGCCTGTACTCTTAATATTTCAATATCTTTACCACACTTGTACACTCGTAATGTTTTAAGAAAAGTGAATAAACTGAGATTGAAAAAAATTACTGGTTAAGGTTAGGGACTCCGTCTAACACGATTATAAATTTGCTCCCTTTCCCCCCAAAAACACGTTCTTACACGATTAAAGTTGAAAAATATTTGAAAAATAAAAGAAGCAGCCATTGGAATGGGGAATAATTTGAACTTTCAAGGTATACTACTATTTTAGGCGCTCTATAGTCAGAAAACTGACAACATCGATGTAATCAGTGCTGCCTTGAATTGGATATTTTATCCATAAAAGAGCTTTAGGAGGTATCCATTGATGGTGGAGGTGTGAAGGTGAAGGTGGAGGAATCGAATACGATTTGTTTGAAGATAAAGTCATGGATAATGGAATTATTATTTTTATTATTATTTATAATTTTATTTATTTTTTTGCTCGGCAAGAAGATAGCAATTCAAAAACAGTTAATAGCAGCTCTAACGAAACCATTAATAGTTTAACTATCGAAAAACTTCAAGACCATTCGAGTTTTTAAAAAATATTCTTGCTACAAAGAAGCTTTAAAAGAGACTAAACAATCGGAAAGCAATTTTTTTCGCCAAATCAAGAGGACCACCACAAAAAAAAAACAAAACCTGTTTAATTAGAAAACGGCTTATAATTAGATTAAATGCCACCAAGTGGATACACAATTTTAACACTTTAAACGTTAAATTTTTTTTTTTTTGTCAATAATCCTAGTCTGTTAAATATTAAACCTTGAAGTAACTTTTTGTTTTAATTTTGAAAATGTTTCATTCGTAAAAAGAGCACAAATTTTAGCAGCAAAACTATTTTGTTTGCCTTTGTTGAAATCTAGAAACGCAGTTCCATATTTTGAATAGGGCTGGGTGTATATTATTATACATATGTCCCCAAAAATCTAGTATTTGTGTATATATTTACATCAAGTAGAATGTTAAATTCATGTCAGTCCGACTCCTGAATACTCTGTACCCACCATCTCGCTCCCTACAGCCGTTCAACTTAAGCAAACCATGTTGTAATAAATATTGCCATAGTATCTTAAAAATATAGTGCACCTATTGTGGTGAAAATCAGATTATGAAGAGGCAAAAATGATTGATTTAGTTGAAATATCTGCTCTGCCTATGGAAAAGAC